ACTTTCCTCTTGCTTCCCCTCCGGGATCTTCTAGCTCACACTCTCCTTTGCCTCACATCTCTCCTTCCTCTTCATCTTCTCTCTACCTCCCTAGGCTCTGGACGGCAGCGAGAGAGACTCATCTCTCTCTCGTGATCTTGTCCGTGCTCTCCACCAGCTCGGCAGCGATAAGCTCTCTTGTCGGGCACTGGTCACAACGCGACTACCCTCCATTAAACGGCCGAGAGCATGCCGCATCGATTCCTCTATTGTTCAAGTGAAGTGTCAGCTCTGCCTGGAGTTTAGCCCGAGGGACGCGCGAGTGGATGGATGAATGTGAAAGTCGGCCCCCTGCGGTCCCACCGTGGGGGTCCGTGAAGAAGTCACAGGGTCGCGTGGTCTGCCTGACGAGGAGCGGGAATGGTGGTGGTGAAGGAAGAGAGAGACGAAATGGAGACGCCAGGAGGAGTAATTGCAGGGATTTCACTCGGTCTCCGCAGCGAGCTGCTGTCTGCGGAGGAGGGCAGCGAGTGACAGGGGTGAGTGACTCTGTGAGAGTGTGAGTTGGTGAGGGTGACAGTGTGAGAGTGGGGGAGGGTGGCAGACTCATAAGCAGCGGAGGATGCCGGGAATTCTTTGAGGTATGTTGAGGGAGAGTGGGTGGAGCCAGCGACTGAGTGGGCAGGAGCCTGTGGTAAAGAGGGGAGGCAGAGGGTTTGTGTAGGTGTAGACAGTAATCAGAGGGGAATCTCCACTGTATGTGATCTCGGAGGTTGCCCGGTGGAGTGGGTGTGGTCTTGTGAACGAGGTGTGGAGGTCTTCAGTTGCCTCAGTTCAGAGAGTTTCTGACTTTTGAGAGTAGAGAGGGTCTGGTGGAGGTGGACTACTCTCCCTGTGAATCTGTGAGTGACACTCAGCGGGTCCACGGCATTTCTGCTCAGGGGTGTGGCCACTTCGAGCTTTGCCTCCGTGCCGAGAGAGAGAGAGCGAGAGACAGCGTTACGGAACTAAACCTTCAACCACAGCAATCACAGAAGCAGTGTGGGATATACCCAGTATTTCAGTGGGAGTTGCCTGCCCCTCCGTGTTCTCCCTTTTCCGTCCCCTTCTTCCCCCCAATCCTTGCGCCTGTCCTTCCACTACTCCAATTCCCTACACCTAGCATTTTACCCGTGGCCTCTTTCCCTACTGTTACCACGCGCGTTCTTTTTGGCCCTCCCTCTTCTCTTCCCGTCCTTGTAGGCCTCAGTCAGAAGTACCACTTGTGTTTGCTGTAGTGAAGGTGCATCTCTAGTCGTGACGTGTACACACACATACTGTATGATACTAACCTCAGTTGGGGCTACTGTGGTGGGCTTCAAATGGAGTACACTTGTGGAGGTCTGAACTGCGACAGAGTGAGAGGGAACGGCTGGCTTCAGGGGAACACTAGGAGATGACGTGTTGAACGTCTTCTGGACACCACTAGGAGCTGTTGTCAGGAATACATTAGATGTTAGAATTTTAGTTTTTAAGAGGGTGTTTTCAGGACACCGTTTGTTCTAATTCCGTCTTCTTCTCCGTCCCCCACTCTGCCCAGCGAGGTCGCAAGGTTGCGACGTACTCTGTGCCGTCTGAAGAAGGCCTGGATCTGTGTGGCAGCTTCCCCTCGTCTCCTCACCTCCTCTGTTAGCCGTGCCTGCCTGTGGACGTTACCTACCCCCGGCCACGAACCAATGTCACGCTGTGCAGAGAGGTCAAAGGTCGGGCGAGTTGTTAACGAAGGGGGAGGAGTCGCTGTTGTCACGGTGATGCTAACGTGACCAGGGGTCTTGGAGCGAGCTTTTTTCACTCTCTCAGCCTCAGCTGCTATCTTCTTCTTCAGTTCCAGAGCTGATTGAGTGAGGGCAAATATTCGGTCTTCATGGCTGGTACGTTGGCTTTCTGTGGTCCGGATCGGCTCCTCAGGGGGTGGGGGTGAAGGACCGCTGGTGGTTTGTGGTACCAGTGGGTTTGGGGATACGGTGTAGGTGTGTGGAGAGGTGGAGGAGTGTGGGCTGGGGAGGTGGGGAGGGGTGTGAGTTGTGAGTCTTGGAGGAGAGGGGGAGAGGGAGGGAGGGGGAGGGTGTGCCAGAAGAGATGGAGGTGTCCCTGGTTCCTGAGGGAGAGACAAGTGGTATGTCAACACTGCATTCTCTGATCAGTGCCTATCACTGTAAACAGGTGCCAGTTACTGATCACAGCCAGCTATCATGCTCAGTAGGCATTCTACAACACAAAAGGGATCTTCACTGGATAGGCGTGTGAAAGACGATACTTTTGAAAGATGGTAGGTGTGTACATATAGTGTTCTCCTGTGAAGATAATGGCTCACTGTGTCAGTGTCTTTCTCTCTCCATCTCTGCTGGGATCTGAGGTTGGCCTGCAGGATCCTCCGCTGTCTCTGGACCAGATCTCTCTGTCTCATCTCTCTCTCCCTCCTCCCCCTCATCTCCTCTTCTTCCCTCTTGCGGGCCTCCACTCGCCGCTCCCTCTGCTTCTGGCGAATGTAGCGCTGTGGGTATATAGCAGCACAATGACATGACTAGACGTGTACAGTGAAACCTCTGAATAAAGGAGACATTGGGGACATTGAAGGTGTCCTTTATTCAGGGGAGTCCTTTAGTATAATACACTAATGTATTAGTATGGGGCAGAACCAAGTGTCCTTTATAGAGGTGTCCTTATTCGGGGGTTCTTTTTTCAGAGGTTTAACTTCAGTACATGACAGTGGTGTTCATGTTTTGTGAGTGGTATGTATACACAACACTTTGTTTCTTCTACCTTCATACCTCTAGACACAGAATCTAATGAAGGAATGGAAGAAAGGAAAGAGAAGAGAGAGGGGGGGGCCTCACCTGGACTTGAGCTGGGTCGTAAGGCTTGGTTGAGGAGGTGGAGGTAGTGGCCTTTCTTCAGGATCTGAGGGAGGGAGTGCATCAGCTTACAACACCACTGAAGTGGGGTACGATGGTATGTACACGTCATAAACTATAGAGGTGTGCATGTACACATGTGGTGTAGACCACTTCCACGAAAGAGGAGGAGTAGATACATGGTTGTAAGTAAAGAGAGGATCAAATGGTGTGTTGCTGGCACTACTCACCGGCCATCTCCGTCTCTTGAGAGCAGACGTCACATGTGGAGGGTGTCTGCTTGTCTTCTCTCTCCTCCCCTCACCATCCTCTCCCCCGGACGAGGACTCTAGATCCTGCAGCAGCCGGGCCAGCTCCTCCCTCGCTTTCCCTCTCCCTCTCCTCTCCCCCTCCTTCTCCTCATCCTTCTCTCTCCTCTCCCCCTCTTTCTCCTCATCCTTCTCTCTCCTCTCCCCCTCTTTCTCCTCATCCTTCTCTCTCCTCTCCCCCTCTTTCCTCCCTGGTTCTGCCACGTCTCCAGCAGCTCCGTGTGGGTCAGTGATCAGCACAGACGAGGCAGACGGCCTCAGAGCCCAGCTCCTAGTATGTGGCGGAGTTGTCTCCCTCACCAGCTGCCTCTTCCTTGACCCCTCTGACTGAGTGGTGGTCAAAGTCTTCTTGCTGGGTCTGGTTCGAGATCTCAGGGGGTCCACGGGGGGCGCTACCTGGATCACTTTTCTAACCATCGGACCCCCCGTTTTCCCTCCGCGTGGACGAGATGATGAAACTGATCGCGAGGTCGTCCCTGTCGTTACTCTTCTACTGGGCGGAGGATTGTGGGGAGAGGGAACTTTGTGACTTGTCGGCTGATGTTTTGTGACTCCGTTGGGTCTGGTGGGTAGGGAGGGAGGTGGGGGAGGGTGTGAGGATGTGATCGTGGGGAGAGCTGAAGATGAAGAGCCCGAGGATTGAGTCACTGTACAAAAATAGACAAACTTTAAAACAACAAACTTCAATCCCTCTTCACAGTGCATAAGAAAACTTTCAGAGCTTTACACACCCTGAGAGTACAAGGCTCTGTTATGACGTAACAAACCTTCAGGGAGGGGGTATAGGCAGGGTGCAGAGGTCACCGGGGGCTGTCTGAGAGACTGGAGTCTGGAGTTGGTGGCCTCCACAGCCTGTTTCTGAGCCTCGACCTTTGACCTCAGTGTCGCCAGAGTGTCTGCAGACATGAGGGACAGGTAATGGTGTCATTATTACATCGACATTATTACCTTCAGGTAGGTTGATCTTGGGGGAGGAGGACTGGGATACCCTGCTGGGCTTGGAGTATTTGTCCTCCGGAGTAGGAGAATTCCCGGAGTGGGGGATCGGGGATTCGAAACTGACGGGGGGACCGAACATGGCAGTGGAGTTGGAGTGAGGGTGTGAAGAGGGGAGTGTGGTGGAGGTGTGAGGGTGTGGGGAAGGGATTGCGGTGGATTTGTGACTGGCTGGTGTGGACAATGAGACACACCCATCTTTCTCTCTCCTCCCCCTCCTCCCTTCCTCCCTGGCTCTGCGACTTGCTCTCTCACTCCCGGCCTTCTGGGGTTCCTTCTTCCCCGATGACGTCTCTCTCTTCCCTGGACCGCTAGGGAAACCCTCTCTCTTTCTTCCACTGCTAGCTGGACGAGGGAAACCCCTGTAATCAGCCACAGGTCCATGAGTCTCTCCGGCAGTTGTAGTAGGAGGAGGCGCCAGAGGTGGAGGGTGGGCGTGGCTTGATTTAGCCGGCGGAGAAGAATTCAATTTTTCAAGCTGCAATGGAGAAACCAACACAGTAGTTTCCGTGACTACAGTACACATCATTACTGCTCTCCACTGTTGGTATAGTGGGAGCCAAAGTACACAGTGTTTTGTTAGGGCAACAATCTGAGGTAAACACACAAACAGCCCCACAGGAATGGAAGTACTAAATAACACACACACAGTGTGACCGCCTCTTACTGTGCCAACCCCAGAGGGACAAGGTATCAGGGACCACGCCTCTTACTGTGCCAACCCCAGAGGGACGAGGTGTCAGGGACCGTACAGGGCATTCCATTACAGGCTCAGTGCCTCTGTGTACGCACACATTCACTGACACACACCATATCATATGACAAACAGCTTCCAGTGAGGGTTTCTTTCTGCCGAGGTCCATCTTGTAGGGCACAAGCTATGGACAAGCAGTGACAAGTGGTCCTGACAACCAGGCAGCCACTCTGGTGATGGCAGAGAGAGAAAATAGACCCAAGCAGCCTTTCTCGGGTGTAAACTCAAGCCAATCTGGTCCTTCTTCACCAGAAACAGCCTCTACAGCTTTGCTTTGCTTCTCACACCCACACATGGACGACAGCTGATGTGGCATGACCTCCAAGAACCCTGGCTCTCTGCAGCCAACCACTATATACACCAAATACACCCACCTGCTTAGAGGGTTCAAGTGGTTAATATTGGAAGCTGATTGTACACTGGCAGTCAATGAGACTATTTGAAACAAAGGGAAACAGCCTCTCATGGGACGGTGTCTACAGCAATGCCAGTGTCACTGAACAGCTGTACCCTATTTAGACTAACAGCCTTTCAGCAAGCTAGTCTTTCAGCAGATAATATTCATGGTTCTCTCCCTCCCTCATCATAGGGAATACCGTGCCTGCTACACTCACCGCACTCTTGGCCTCTCCGAAGGCGGCCCACGCCTGCGCCAGACCTGCAGGGGACAGAGGAGAGGGTCGGGGGTAAGCCGCTTGTGGCGTTACCAGGTGAGCACTATTTGGAACTGCAAACCCAAAAAGGCGCGCAGCTGTCCCTTCGCCGTTTCCTTAACGTACTTGAGGAGGTGTTAGCGGCTGGACCTCGCTGGGAGGACGGGCCAGGTCGCGACACCACCCGCGGCTCTCTCACACGGTGCCCGTGAACTCTTCCGCTCATACTTGTTTCTCCGTGTTTCTGTTACTTGAGGTCCAGATTTCAGACCTAACGTTGCTCGCTGGTTGGTCACTCAGAAACCGGCTGCACTAGACGATGGATGCACGACATTCTCCAGATCTTCAGTAGTCACTAATAAACACAGGAGGTGCAAGGACCGAGAATTTTCACACTGATCAAAAGAGCGCGCGCCGCTAATTAACGATCAATTATTTTTGTGACAAAACAAGATGCCGAAGGTGATTTCTCGCAGTATCGTGGTTACCGACTCTCGGGATAAGGAGGAGTACAAGGGAGACACTCCGCTCTACGTCTACCTGTGCGTGTGCGGTCAGCTGGCACTCGTTCTCGGTCAGTAAGCTGCCGCGAGAGAGAGATGCTTTGTTGGTGGGCATCAATTGGAGCCCTGGTTCTTTTTCTCGCTCTCAGATGCGACGCTGGATAAGCTCCCTCTGAGAAAGAGGGACGGAGCTAGAGTGGTGGACAAGACCCGTAACGCTTATCGAGTTTACTACGAATCGGCGGGTGTCAGGTACATAAAAAGGTCGGTGTCTTTCCATCCAGTGTATATGTCAATAATAACCTGGCGTGTACAGAGATGGCGGGGTCGAGCAGCAGTACAGGCAGAAGTGCAAAAAGTAAGTCGCAGTATATGTTTTTTCGATCTTAGATTTCCCCCTTTTCTTGGATGTAGGTGTAACCTGGATATCTTCTATCGTCACAGCAACACTGATGAAGGTGTTCATTTCATCTTCCCTGGGAGTCTGGTGAGGAGTGGAGAGAAGCCAGTGACGACCATGAAGGCTGAACCAATCTCTGAACCTCGTAGAAAGAGAAGCAAGGTTCTTTTCCCCCTTAGCCCGACAAACAGTGGCTGGTGTGATTACCTTCTCTGTGTCTGTCTAGATAATAATGATGAGGCACACGGTCGACGCTGGTAAGTACAGTACAGTGACAGTGTCGACGGTGGATGAGGAGGAGGACGAAATCGAGGCTGTGAGTCAATCGCTCTCTTTCTCTCTCTCTTGTTAATCTCCTGCTGCTATGCTGTAGAGAGAGATTGAAAACTCGTTTGCCAGTAATGCTGGTCTGGTTCACCATCAAGTCATCAGGACTGAAGAAGGCCGCAAGAGATACGCTGACTTGGTAAACCCCCCCCCCCCCCTTCATTTTCTACACCTGTAATTAAACTGTCTCCTTTTGTTGCAGAAAGCTATTGAGGAGCATGTCAAGTCCAAGAAGCAGAAAGGAACACTCATTGACAAAGTCACATGAACAGCACACTGCATGCTCCACTCTTCTCATTACTCGAAGAGTAATTGTTGTTTTGACTTGAAAATTTGTACTTAACCATGACCATTAATTTTTCCATCTGTTTATTGTCTGCTTCTACAGCCAGCCTAATATTGGAAAGAAGGCTGCAGAAATACTCGTGCACTTATCTAGCTGTCACACGTTTTTTGTGTCATCTTAATTTCTAACCCATTTTTGAACATGTCAGTGTAGTAATGAAAGTGTAGCTGCAATACACACAGACAGGTATATATAGGTTAGCTGTGTTCATTGTGAGGTGACTGGTGGTGTGACAGTTTCTCCAGGACCCTGCTGGCTATGGAGAGGTAGGCAGAGGAGAGGGGGGAGGTGGGGTTGAGTAGCTAGCACTGGAGACCCTCTGTCAGCTCCTTCCCTCACATCCAGGTGGAGGGGCACATCTCCTGTAGCAAAAGAGATGATCCAAGATGAAGAGAGCCACAGGCTGAGAGAATACAACATTTCCTGTATAATACCAGGTCCACTACCCTCCGATCTGAGGACGAAAAAATTTCTCTAGGAAATGCGAACTTCCTATACAAAATGTTCACACATGGTTAATAACCAACGAAAATCGTTTACTGCTACATACGGTATCTCCAGAGATACATAGACAGTCTTGGATTACCCAGGAGTTCAAGGTTCATCTCGGAGGCCAGCCGGGCGGCTCCGTCTCTCCCAAAGGGGTGGGAGGTGTGGCCACACTGCGAGCAGACGTGGTGGCTCATGTTCTGGACCACACCCAGGACCTGGGCGGGGTGGGGAATGGGCAGGGTCATCAGGAGAGCGGTGGGCGGAGTCTCACCGGGGTGTGGAGGTCTCTGAACATTTGAGCTCCTCTCCTGGCGTCTGCTAGAGCGACGTCTTGAGGAGTGGTGACTATCACCGCTCCTGGACAGGTGAAAACACAGACACCTTTCATCTTGCTATATATACATACTTCCACAAAACCCTAAAGTGCATTGTAGAACAAAGCACAGAAATCTTGCTGTATAAGAGTTAAACTCTCTACTCAACACTGATGGGCAGAAGAAATTGTACATATAGGATTATGAGTTAAATTAACGCAAAAACTGTTCTTCGGTTGAAAAAAGGAGTCGTTATTTGCTCAGTGTGTCCTTATATAGAGAGTGGTTCAACTGTATATTATTGTAAAACAGATGCTCTGAAGAAGGGAAGGTAGAGGGACCTGAGATGGGGACCTGTTGAGAGATGGTGAGCTGTGTGTCTCCCGTGCCAGGAGGCATGTCGACTAGCAGGAGATCCAGCTCACCCCAGTCAACTCCCCTCAACAGCTTCTGGACTGCAGACATCACCTGTGGAGGACAGCTGTAATAGGTCAGTGTGCAAGACAGTCAGTCTACACGATGGATTTCTCAGTCAGCCGAGAGCAGTTCACTGATACAAACCGGAAGCCTCTCTTACTGTGCGTAGCTGACTCTGCCACCTACCATGAGTCCTCTCCACACAATGGCATCCTTCTCCTCCACTAGGAACCCCATTGACATACTGCAGAGAATGCCACACAACACCAAGGATACCATACCACATCAAAGACACCATAGTGCATACAATCTACGTCCACACTTCCTAATCCTTACCATTTGATCCCATAGTTGACAAGAGGCAGCATCTTGTCCTCTATATAAGACACACACACACATCAGACTGCAAACATGTTCACCATAAGACGACTGATTGTTGTACTCACGATTGCTGAGCTCTGGGCGCCCAGACAGGTTCAACATGCGAGGAATCGAAGGTCCGTACACATCAGCATCCAGTAGTCCTACAGACAGGCCCTGTGGTGACGTCACAGACTGAGGTAATATGCAAGTCTGAGGCTGGAAGACACGACCAGACCTTGTTCAGAGCGGTCGCAGCGAGAGCTAGGTTGACGGTGACTGTGGATTTGCCGACTCCTCCCTTTCCCGAGGCAACCACCACGATATCCTTCACTCCAGGGATGGGCCATCGTCTCGGAAGACCTCTGGCGGCCTTCTGTGCCTGCTCCTTCGTCTTCCAGTTCCCCAACAAACCCCTCAACACGCGCACCATGCTGCCGCGGTGCGCTCTATTTAGAGAATGGTTGGCCCCGCCCACTATACTGATCTTAGTAAACAACAAGCAACGAATGGCGATTCTGTGTTCTCTGCAGCCACTCTGACCGTCTCGTGAGAGCTCATATTAACTGAAATATAGTTTATCTTTCACGGGAAGTCGCAGTCGACTGCGCATTCTGCTTCAGATTGTCTCCGTGAGGTGTTTGTGTTTGGTTTCCATGGATACGCAGAGCAGGAGACGGGTTGTGGTACGTGCAGACGGTCAGCAGCGGAGCCTGGAGGCAATGTCGGGGGGCCCCCGGGGGAATAAATCTGAATCCGAGCCCCCGTTGAACGAGAATGCACAAGAGGACCCTTCGCCCTCTGCGGTTTTACCCCATTCTACTCCACTCCACCCCACCTTTCCTCCATCCTTTCGGAGTACCCCATCCCCCACCTCGCCTCACACGTCTCTCCATCACCACAGAGAACCGGCACTAGTCCAGTTCCCAGTCCACCAGGAGTCTGGACTGGAGACCTCGTCCAGTCGATTGGCGAGAGAGGGAGAGAGAAATCACGATGGAACTCCAGACAAGAGACAGAGGAAGAGGAAGTGGAGGAGAAAAAGAACACAAATCCATCCTGTAACTGACGGTGTGCCTCGTCTGACGGAAGACCAAACTCCTCCCACAACTTTCCTTCCCCCCACAACCCCTAGCTCTCCTCCACAGTCCAGCAATGGTCGCCAGGTTGTCAGTCTGTCTCCAGCAGCTGTCCTCTCTCCTGACAGACACCTGAGCTGCAGTCTGCCGCCACTGCTGAGCAGTCGGGCTAGGAAGGGAGGGAGGAGGGCCTCAGCCACCACCGACTGGAGCAGTTGTGGACTGACTCAGCTGGAGAGATGTCTCCCTGTCAGAGAGATGAGGCTGTTTGTTGGGACGTGGAACATGCAGCAGATGAGTGTGAGTGGGGGGAGTAGGCTGGGGAGACTGCATAGCTGATGGAAGATGACTGTTTCTCTCTCTTTTGTGTGTGAAACTATTGGGTAATGAGCATTATGGCATCTGGTGTGTATTTTGGTTCCCAATGGCATCGAGCATGCTCTAACGTTTTTATCTTCATCTCTTCAACTGTCTGCAGACTCTTCTTTTAAACACATGTTGTTTAGGGTAAAATGTGATCATTTGCCCTCTTGTACAAATTATATGTAACGGAGAAATCAATAAAGTTGTAATAAATTGCTCTGCAGACTCTCCCCGAGTGTCTTGATGATTTCCTGCTGCCAGCCAGTGTGGAGACTGTCCCTGAGCTGTACGTTGTGGGGACACAGGAGAGCACGGGCCAACTGAAGGAGTGGGAGGTACTGGTCCAGCAGACTCTGGGACCCTCCCACCTCCTCCTCTCCTCCTCCTCCCTCGGAGAACTGACGGTTCTCCTCTTCCTCCGTAGGGACCTCATCTGGTTCTGCTCTGGTCAGCTGTAGATCTCTCTTCCTTCTCTTCTTACTCTTCTCTGTACTAATCTAGCAGTACACGCAAATATAATGCAGATGGAGCCTTATATAACAGTATGTGCTCTGGTCAGACGTGAAAATCAAAGACTGCATTTTTATCCTTGTGTCCAGAGGTGCAGTCTGCAGGATATTCCACGAGGCCGGGGAGTGTGGTAAAGACAAAAGGTGGAGTTGGACTCAGTTTCTCGCTGTTTGGCACAACTTTTCTCTTTGTCTCCTCACACCTCACCGGTAGGAGACCTGAATAATCATCTTCTCTCTCTCTACCATCTCTCTTCTTTGTGCTCAGCTCACCAGGACAAGGTTGAAGATAGGAATAGTGACATGCAGAGAATAGCAGCCAATCTCACCAATAACAAACTGAGTAAGACCAGACATACGATTTGCTCATGCAATATTATCTCATAAGGGTTGCATGGTCAAATGTTGCATGTTCAAATTTGGCTCGAAGGTCAAAAGTGCTGATCTAAGTAGTGCATTTTAGCTCTCAACAAGTCCAAAATTGTGGGGAAAATCAACTGAATGTCTGTTGTGTTGGCAGGTGAGTTTGACTATGTGTTCTGGCTGGGAGACCTCAACTATAGACTGGACCTGGACAGAGGACAGGTGGACACTCACTTATCACAGTGGCAGCTACAGCAACAACAGAGGATGGAGGAGAGGGAAGAGGGTCATCAGGATGGCTGGCTGGTGGGTCTGGAACCTTCTCTTTCCTGTCACTAACCCTCACTCTCTTTGTCCTGCAGCCTCTTCTTCTCCATGACCAACTGACTAAAGAGATGCTGCACGGTCAGCTGAGGCAGACTTAAACCTTCACTGAAGTACCTCTCCTCATATCTTCTCCCTCCCTCCTCCCTCTCTCCTCCCTCCCTCCTCCTTCCTCCTCCTTCCTCCTCCCTCCTCCTCCTCATGCAGGACATGTATTCCGGGGTTTTCAGAGCAGCCCGTTACCTTCCCTCCATCCTACAAGTTTGATCTTAACTCTGACGTCTATGACACCAAGAGAGTTCCTTCCTGGACAGTAGGTCTTGGTCAGGATCCCACGATCCCGTACTACCATTCCCATTCCACAGGACCGCATTCTGTTTCGATCGCGAGCAGGGTCAGGGGTCAGTGGGTGTGGCTACGACATGTGTCGGGCACTGAAATGCTCAGATCACAGGTAGATATCATAGCCCCATACATCTATGATACGTACTTAGTGATTGTTACTTCAACTAACTTTACACACATTCAATAATGACTGTAGGCCGGTGTATGCAGAGTTCAGAGTGCGGCTGGAGCCATGCACTGACACTGACGGGTAAGGTCACACTGAACAAGAAATCTATCATAAGACTTCAATGTATGGGCATATTATGTGATGGGTCCACGCAGCCAGTCACACAACATGCAATATATAGTTGACTGATCTCCAACAAGTTGCAAAGTGCACGCAACAAATTCCAGCAATTGAACCTGGGACTGATGAACATAATGTCATCTATTTCTCACTAACCCAGGGTACCAGAGACTATGGCAGAGTTCAACAGAGATGTCTACAGAATTGGTACGAGAGGTTAAAGTACACACATTGTGACATGTTGTGTCCCTCGCCCACAGCCCAGCGGAGGAGGAGAGAGGTGGCGGCTCTCTCTCTGTCTCTCAGAGAGGGTGTCGACAGTGGAGGACTACCTCCTGCTGCCAGAACTACTGGTCACGTGACTTCCTCTTTCTGCTCCATTTTGTAAATAAAAACTGAGGGGAATGGGTGGGGCTGGGCGTCCATATTGCGCATGCGCAAAGCCAGCTACACGGTCACAGTCTAGTCAAAGGTCGATCCACTTCTCGAGAAACCGATACTCCGAGTCACAGTTGCTTGGTTTATTCGAGCAATGGCGAATCCGTTCCCTCCGGATGATGAGGTAAGCCTATAACTGGCTGCTTGGATCCGTCCCAACTTTCGTCCTAACAAACATGCACTAGCATCCATGACTGTAGCAGTGGAGCTCATAGCTATAGAAGAAGTATACGCCTCTCTCTCTGTCTGTCTGTCTGTCTGACTGTGTCAGGAGGGGGTGTTGGGAGAGCTGGATCTGGGAGAACTGAACCTCACCAGTCAAGATGACGACATCCTCGAGGCCGCAGGCCACATTCAGGAGAACCTCGAAGACGAACTGGTCCAGGAGGCTCTTCGCAAGGCTAGTTGACTGAGGGGGTGGGGCTTGTGGTTGTCACGGTGATGTTTCCTACACAGGGAGTTGACCTGCGGCAGTACTCGCGAGAGATTGAGACCGAGTTGAGAAAGGTCGAAGTTCACTCCATCCAGGACTGTAAGTCATGTGACACTTCATGTGATGATCATGTGACTCGTCCTAACACACGCAGACATAGCTCAGAGCAGACAGATAGCCAGTCTCCACTATCAGATCCGAGGATGTGACGACATCTTAGCTGTGAGTAAACTACCGTCATCCTCAACAGATGACGTGGAGACTAAATTGACACTGATCACTGATCCATGTACATCAGAATGTGTCAGTGTTTTGCAGTGGCTTACTCCATGCATCAACTAGTGGATTAGGTCAATCCACTAGTTGATCTGGATTGCTGATGTAGTGTAGAATGCTGTTTGATCAGTGTGATTGCTACCAATATCTTCTCTTGTTTCTCTCTCTCTCTCTCTTTGCAGAGAATGGAGGAAACTCTCAGCAAATTTCAAGTAAGAAGTGACACAACTCCGCACTCATTTCCATTTCTAAACCTCCCCTCCTCCTCCTCCTCCTCCTCCTCCTCCTCCTCCTCCCCAGACTGACTTGGGGTCCATCAGCTCTGAGATCCAGAACCTCCAGGACCAGTCTCACTCCATGAACATCAAACTGAGGAACAGACAAGTCAGCCACTCCCTCCTGTAGTCATGTCAATCTGGCTCTCTCTCTCTCCCTCTCTCTCTCTCTCTCTGCAGGCTGTGAGGAGTGGACTGAGTCAGTGTGTCTCCGATATCACTGTCACTGAACACCTCATCCAGTAAGTTAGGGCAACTCACTCCTTCTCTCTTTCTTTCTTCATCTCTAAAACAACTGCGCGACAGTAAACAGACACTAAAGGAGGTCTAGTTTACAGACATGCTTTAACATGCACAGATATTGCACTAAACAAATATAAACCACAACAACAAAGAGCTTGAATAGAATGTGCATTAATATACCTGGCTATTACGCTGTCTCCATAATTGTTCTATGAGATTTTAAGATGTCCTTTTTGGCCACTTTCTACAGAAAGCTCTGTTTTGTCCTCATTGTAAAAGACAAACCTCTTCCTCTCTGCCTTCATTTCCCCAAGGCATATTACAGACACGCCAGCCAGTGAGAGAGAGTTCATCGAGAACCTCCACGAACTGAACCAAAAGGTCGTCTTCGTCAAGGAACAAGACTTCAACGACTGTCGTGCCGTGGCCGACGTGAGAGACGTGGTCGAGAAAGTTGAAGTTGAAAGCAGTCGGAAAGACCCGGGAGTTTCTGCTCCATAAGATATTCCAGTTCCGCCGCCCGATGGCCAACTACCAGATGCTGCAGAATCAACTACTCAACTATCGGTATTTACACAGTTACGTAGTTCCCCTCTCTCCCTCTCTGCCCCTCTAATTAGGTAGTTCAACGAGTTTTCCCCTGTCTCCCTCTCTGCCCCTCTAATTAGGTATTTCAATGAGTTTTTCCCTCTCTGCCCCTCTAATTAGCTATTTCAACGAGTTTTCCCCTCTCTCCCTCTCTGCCCCTCTAATTAGCTATTTCAACGAGTTTTCCCCTGTCTCCCTCTCTGCCCCTCTAATTAGCTATTTCAACGAGTTTTCCCCTGTCTCCCTCTCTGCCCCTCTAATTAGGTATTTCAACGAGTTCCTGATGGCCCACAATCGAGACACGGCGCAGCAGGTGAGGTCAGAGTACATCGACACCATGGCCAAGATCTACTTCTCCTACTTCAAAGACTACTACTCCAAACTGATGAAGATACAGGTGTGGAGTAACTTACTCCATACGATGTACTATACCTTATTACTCCGGAGTTAGGGGAACCCCTATAGTTAGTGATACAACACCTACTTACTCCAAAGTTGAGGTACGTAATATAATGAAGATACAGGTGCGGAGTACTATTGACAAGCACAATTACATGTATTAGTATGGGGCAGAACCAAGTGTCCTTTATAGAGAGGTGTCCCTATGTATTAGTATGGGGCAGAACCAAGTGTCCTTTATAGAGAGGTGTCCCTATGTATTAGTATGGGGCAGAACCAAGTGTCCTTTATAGAGAGGTGTCCCTGTGTATTAGTATGGGGCAGAACCAAGTGTCCTTTATAGAGAGGTGTCCCTGTGTATTAGTATGGGGCAGAACCAAGTGTCCTTTATAGAGAGGTGTCCCTGTGTATTAGTATGGGGCAGAACCAAGTGTCCTTTATAGAGAGGTGTCCCTGTGTATTAGTATGGGGCAGAACCAAGTGTCCTTTATAGAGAGGTGTCCCTGTGTATTAGTATGGGGCAGAACCAAGTGTCCTTTATAGAGAGGTGTCCCTGTGTATTAGTATGGGGCAGAACCAAGTGTCCTTTATAGAGAGGTGTCCCTATGTATTAGTATGGGGCAGAACCAAGTGTCCTTTATAGAGAGGTGTCCTTATGTTCGGAGGTTGGTTCCTCACTGTAGCAGTTTTAATTCGTCACTTGATTACCTGGTTTTGGGGTAACCTGTGTTACTCCGGAGTTACTCCACTCTCTCTGTGGTGTTTGTAGTTTGAAGAGACGGCTGAGAAGGACGATCTGATGGGGGCTGAGGATTCGCAGAAGAAGAGTTTCTTTTCGTCGAAGGCCACCTTCAAGAACAGGTCGACTGTCTTCTCCCTCGGCAGCAGAGACACTGTCCTCACCACTGAGCTGGAGGACCCCATCATTGTCATCCCTCACGCACAGAAGATTGAGAGAAAGGTGTATGAGGGGGTCGTGCACCTAGAGTGAACATGTATGAGGGGGTCGTGCACCTAGTGGGAACATGTATGAGGGGGTCGTGTATGAGGGGGTCGTGTCTTTAGAGGGAACGTGTCAGTACATAAGGACCAAAAATGGAACTTAAGAATGGGGCAAGAGTGAAAGAATGCAGTTTTTTAGTAACAGTTTCACTGCTCCGTTTTCAATCCCTTTTGTGCATGAATACAGACTCTGTACATGACTACTGTGCATGGGTGTTAGGGGCCAGAACTGTACCGCGATATTTTTGTACATCCACTGCTCCCCTCTCCTCTCTCTCTCTCTCTTCTCTCCTCTCTCTCTCTCTCTCTTCTCCCTCCCCCTCCTCCTCCTCCAGTACCCCTACGAGGCCCTGTTCCGCAGTGTCCAGTTTGCTCTCATGGACAACGCCTGTCGAGAGTACCTCTTTGTCGTGGAGTTCTTCGGTCTCACTTCCAGCACAGCTCAGGACTTCTTCGACACCATTATGGGGAAAACCCTGGCCTACCTGCTCGTTAGTCTCACCTACCAGTCGTCATAACAGTAATAATGTGATTTTTGAATCCTATGAACAGTAACTGCTGACCATGATTGATTGTTAATTTGTTGTAAAATGGTCGTGATTATTCCCAACAAAACCACTTTTTTTTCCGTTTGTACTGAAAGCAGTCAATCTACCATTTATGTAGCTTCATTTGTTTGTTGATGGTTTTAACGTTAGTGTTTCAGAATACTATTGTTTTGGTTAGCTCTTTGCATCTTGTCTCTCCAGAAGCACATAGAGAGTTACGTGGAGAGCTGCTACGATGCCATTAGTCTGTTTCTCTGCATCCACATTAACTACCGGTTTGAGGCCATCATGACACGCCGCGGAGTCCCTTGTCTCAAAGAGTTAGTTCTCTCTCTCTCTCTCTCTCTCTCTCTCTCTCTCTCTCTCTTCTGCTCTTTCCCTCTCTCTCTCTCTCGCCTCGCCTTATTTCTCTTACTTGCCTCATTTCTTTTCTCTCAGGTATTGCAGAGATATCCGTGGGACCCTGTGGCCGAGGTTCAGGCACATTCTGGAACTGAACGTGGCCAGCGTCAGAGACACTGACCCCTCCAAACTGGGACACATCGACACCAGACCGCATTACGTACGTTTACACCGACCTTCTGACCTTCTCCTTCGTTCCCTCTCTCCTTCGTTCCCTCTCTCCTTCGTTCCCTCTCTCCTTCGTTCCCTCTCTCCTTCGTTCCTCTCTCCTTCGTTCCCTCTCTCGCTTTATTCCCTCTCTCCTTCGTTCCCTCTCTCCTTCGTTCCCTCTCTCCTTCGTTCCCTCTCTCCTTCGTTCCCTCTCTCCTTCGTTCCCTCTCTCCTTCGTTCCCTCTCTCCTTCGTTCCCTCTCTCCTTCGTTCCCTCTCTCGCTTTATTCCCTCTTTCTTCTCTACCGTAAACCTCTGAGTTTTTACTGGATCGTGATTTTGGCATAATCGGTCTTATCTCGCCCTCCCTGTTCCTACACCTCGTTCCACCAGATCACACGTCGCTATGCGGAGTTCTCTGGAGCTCTGGTGAGCATTAATCAGAGTCACCCCGAAGAGCAGGTGAGGACGGAGCCGAGATGTCTGTGGTGGGTGTGGTTTACGTAGCCCCACCACTTCCTCCCTTGCAGGTGGAGAAGTGCCTGTCGTCCCTGCAGACCGAAGTTGAGAATGTAATTCTGAGGATGGCCGCAGAATTCCCGCTGCGCAAGGAGCAGCTGCTTTTCCTCATCAACAACTACGACATGTTGCTATCCGTTCTCCAGGTGACACACCCACTGACAACTGGTTGTTCACTGCATAATACACTGCACGGTAAAGTGGTTTGCATTATCAATAAGGAAGAAGAAATACGTCACTACAATAAAACAGACAGTGAATCGTAAGTCTTTGGATTTCAGGTCACTTGTAGAGTAAATCTGCTTATACAAGTGCACAGCCTCTGTTTCTTTGGTACGCGGAAGGAATGAGCTAGGTTTTTGCAGTAGTCGAGTTCAAGACTGTTTCCATTTGTCTCAGGAGAGGACTTCCGAAGATTGCAAGGAATTGGAGTCTTTCAAGAGCCTTCTCCACGCCAGGACCCAGGAGTTCGTTGAAGAAGTACGCTCTGCACCCACACCTCCCCCTCTCCTCCTTCCCTTTCTCCCTCTCCCCTCTCCCCTCTCTCCCTCTCCGTTCTGTCTCTCCCTCTCCCCCTCGCCTCTCCTCCTTCCCTTTCTCCCTCTCCATTCTCCTCCTTCGCTCCCCTCCTCCTCCTCCCTAACTCGCTCCCTCCCCAGGTCCTCTCCCCCTATTTCGGAGGGATCATATCATTTGTGAAGGACGTCGAGCCCCTGTTGGAGCGAGGTCAGAGAGACAGGGTCCGTGTGGACGAGGCCAAGATCCAGCTCCTGGTCCGAGGGTTCGCTGGAGATTGGAAAAAGTCCATCGAGGCTCTGAACACTGACATAATGCAGTCTTTCAGCAACTTCAAGATAGGAACTCACATACTACAGGTTGGCCACACCCCTTTCTCCACTCCAACTGTTCCAACTACTAACTTATAGTTTCGTTTGATTTGACTGCAGCTCGACCAATTTCTGTGCCTGGGCTGGAAATATTTCCCGTTTTAAACGCATATGAGTTTAGCTATAAGTTTACCGTTAGCGGTGGTGACCTTAGAGCTAACTCAACTGTTGTTAACGTTACCAGCTGAACTAGCTAGTACCTTATTTTGATGGACCAATCATAAATTATAAATGAAAAGCACGCATGCGTGCCGAGGGTTAACCAGTGGTATTGTCTTGCCAACATGCTAACACTGCTCCCTCCCTCCCTCCCTCCTGCTCCGCCCACTCGCAGGGATCTCTCTCCCAGCTGATCCAGTACTACCACAGGTTCCAGAAGGCTCTATCGCAGCCTCCGTTCAAGAGTCTCGCCATTAGAGGAGAACTCATCAACATTCACCACCTCATGGTCGAGGTGAAGAGACATCGCCCCACCTTCTAACTTCTAGATCACACCACCGTCATGTGACTTGGACTAGTCATCACACCATTGTCATGTGACTTGTGTTTGTCATTACACCATTGTCATGTGACCGCAAAACACTGTCATGTGACTATATCCACTTATTAGTTTAAAATTCTTCTGTCAACATTTTTATGTGAATTATGTTGATGAATTGAATTCTAGTGAAAAATAGGGTGGTCTAGTGGTGGTGTGTTCTGCGGGAGCGAGAGTGACAGGAGAAGGGAGGAGAGATTACTGAGGAGAGGAGGGAGAGAGGGGCCCTGGGGTCCTTGGCAGCGGTCTTCACCAGCAGGCTCAGTTCTCTGGCCACACCCTCTACCAGGTCCCTCCGGAGGGTGTGTGGCTGGTAGAGGAAGACTCCGCCCACACTCTCACTCTCACGTCCCTCCCACAGACATAACTGCAGAGGAAACAGACAGACCTCACCTTAATCTACCAGTGAAACCCCTATAATCAGGTACCCTAATAAGTTGGGGTCTATAATACAGAAGTTGGAATTTTGGTGGTTTTGGGTTCAGAGTAAGTGTCGACAAAGATCATACCTACATGTAGCTGTGAGATGGTTTGGAGATGAACTGTCTAGAGAGGTGTCCTTGTTTTATGGGTGTCCTTTTAGCGAGGTTTGACTCAAGATGATGTAATCATAACAAGCCAATTACTCTGATAACACACACACTACACACATGGAGACCTCGAGATGTCTGGAGTCGTCCAGTCTGGAACAGAGGGGAGAGAGGTAGCACGCCGAGCCGAGCCGGGCCAGTCCGTGACCTTTCACCCCAACTGCCGTCTCCGGAAAGTAAAAGTGGGCGGGGTCAGAGAGCTGTAGGATGTCCGAGCGATGGAGATATGAGAACCTCACCGGAAGACCTGCAGGAACTCCTAGCTGATGAGAGAGAGAGAGAGATGTACGTTGGAGAATCTCATTTTGCAAAATTGAAAATATTTCCTTTTATTTACGCCACTTGCATCTCTGGCCTTCTTCAGCCTACCTCATCGGTGACCGTGGCGAAGGGGAAGTGGTGGTGATTGTGGACTGATTGCAGGGTCTTCCCCAGAGCCAGCACCAGGTCCAGGAAGGTCTCCGAGGAGCTGAGGTTGACTCGGATACCGACATCTGCAGAACATCAATAATATAGAGGACATCTCTTTATAAAAGACACGCAAGTCTGCCCTATAGATTACATTTGAACCTCCAAATAAAGGACACCTCTCTATAAAGACACTTTTGCCCCATCTAGTGTTCATAACCTCCAAATAAAGGACACCTCTTATGACGACACTGATTGCACCCCATACTAGTTGATTACATTAGAACCTCCAAATAAAGGACACCTCTCTATGAACGACACTTGATTGCACCCCATACTAGTTGATTACAGTAGAACCTCCAAATAAAGGACACCTCTCTATGAACGACACTTGATTGCACCCCATACTAGTTGATTACATTTGAACCTCCAAATAAAGGACACCTCTCTATGAACGACACTTGATTGCACCCCATACTAGTTGATTACATGAACCTCCATAAAGGACACCTCTCTAACGACTTGTGCACCCCCTACTAGTTGTACGTAAACCTCCAAATAAAGACCCTCCTATGAACGACACTTGATTGCACCCCATACTAGTTGATTACAGTAGAACCTCCAAATAAAGGACACCTCTCTATGAACGACACTTGATTGCACCCCATACTAGTTGATTCTACAGTTGAGAACCTCCAAATAAAGGACACCCTCTATAACGACACTGATTGCACCCCATACGTTATTACATTTGACTCAATAAAGCACCTCTCTAAACGACACTTGATTGCACCCCATACTAGTTGATTACAGTAGAACCTCCAAATAAAGGACACCTCTCTATAAACGACACTTAATTGCACCCCATACTAGTTGATTACAGTTGAACCTCCAAATAAAGGACACCTCTCTATAAATGACACTTAATTGCACCCCATACTAGTTGATTACAGTTGAACCTCCAAATAAAGGACACCTCTCTATAAACGACACTTGATTGCACCCCATACTAGTTGATTACAGTTGAACCTCTCAAATAAAGGACACCTCTCTATAAACGACACTTAATTGCACCCCATACTAGTTGATTAGAACCTCTGAAAAGGACCCTCTGACTAAAGGACACACTCGATGTCCCTGATTGTGTGTTCAGAGGTATCACTGACCATAAGTAAGAGGCCCAAAGAGTCCCTGTGTGTGTCTGGGGTTTGTCTGTCTCAGAGAGACCTCCAGTCCCACCAGAAATGACCCCAGATCCAGTCGACCTCCCATCCTCGCTCGCCGAGAACTCTGATGAGGAGAGGAGGAAGGTTCGGGGGGCCGGTACCCTCACTGCAGGTGGACCTCTGCTAGTCTTGTACCGCTGGAGAGGGTCTCTTGCAGCCAGCGACAGAGGAGGTGGCTGGTTCTCTCCCCCTCTCTCTCCTTCCTCTCCTCCTCCCCCCACCCTCGACAGCAGCGACCCAGCAGTAAGACGTAGCACGCCAGACACGCCAGATTCAGTAGATCGTCTCTCCTCACTCTCTGATCCTGCGTCTCTTCCAACAGACTCTCCCGCAGCCTCACACACACCTCCTCCTCAAACTGACAAATATAGTAACAGTTATGATGTCATTGCTTCTAAAAATAAATTACCCTGATAAAGTGAAACTCTGTTCTTGGTCCAGCCAGAGTGTCTCTTCCCCAGCTGCATCTCCACTAGTCTCCGCCCCGTCTGAGGCCTACCCCGCCCTGTGAGTGGGCGGAGTCTGGACGTCTGTGGGCGTGGCACACGCGGGACCTTCTCTCCAAGTCCAGAGGGTATCCGAACCGGCGGAACAACTTTAACCCTGTTTGGGCCACGCTGTCGTCTGATGACCGCTGTGAGGAGTCCCTCCCAGAATGCCCAATGTTTCTCTCTCGATACAAACTTGAGCATCTGTCTCTCTCGCAGGGACACTTGCTGGAAACTCAGCTGAGCAGGAAGCGAGGGCTGATACCTTTCCTCTCCTCCTATCTCCCCCAAACACACCGCCGCTCTACCCACCTCTCTCCCTAGTCCTCGAGACTTGTAGTGTGCCGGCCGTCGGTGACCAAACCTGGACACAACCTCTCTTCTGGAGGCCTCGATCCTCCGAGAGGCACCTGAGGCCCTCTCCAGCTGGCCGTAGGCCTCTGCCAGCTGTCGAACAAACAGAGACGAGGACCAGAAGTCACAGATTATCCTTGGGAACGATAGGACTAGGGTTGCCTCGCGAACACTCTCCTGAACTAGTCTGGCTCTCATGAGAACTGCTCTTGTCATCTCCTCTTCCTGGGTCACTGGCAGAGCTCTCTGAACTGACTTTTCATCGCGTTCCGCCTGGAGTTGAGTGATTTGTCCAAACGTGACGGATTTCTTGACGGCAGAGGGCAAATGTCTCCGTTTGGGGGGTTTCCCCTCCTCGCTGTCATCGCTGTTCTTGCTGCTGGCCAGACTCACGATGCTCAGGACTTTGCCTCCCTCGCCCCCGTCGCCACCGGCAACCAGGTCGTTCCTCATGGGGAGGGGGAAAGGTTTCCGACGGGCGTTTGTGATGAGGACCTCTGGTTTCTCGTGACTCACGACTGGACTCTCCAGATTCACTGACACTGGACCTGTGCACCGGAGGAAATGAGTATTAAACTACATAGTTTTCGCAGAAAAAATATGCAAATTGTGAGGCAATAAATTTTGCTAGTGGCGAACTATTGAACAAGCAATTCTTGACTCATCCTTCTAATTTCCTATCGTAATATAACCCCTAAACGATGTTTTTTCACGTGTGAAACGTGTGTGTGCAAATTCCAATAATCATTAAGCGTACATCTGCTGAAGACAGTTGCTGGTGTGATAGGCTATAATGGCTTAGTTAATGAGCAGTTGAGAGTCTATTCACAAGTGCAGGAGAGATAGTGAATAAAGATGGACACACAGCCAACGCACACATTCACAGCCCAGTGGGAAATCACAGCCACTAGCACACTGACTAGCTAGCTCACCAGGTGGCAGAGTCTGCATGTAGAGTCTGTCACTGGTCCTCTGGAAACAGGCAGTCAGGACAGGGTGCAGACTGGCCACCGAGTCCAGAGCACGACTCAGCAACTGGCGGTCTAGTGCGCCGTGGATCGTGAAGGCCCTGACGATGTTATTGACTCGGGGGCTCAGCCCCGATGGGAGAACGGCAGCAGTGAATCTCTCCGAGTCCAGTTGGAGATGGTCCTGGAGGAGGGTGGCAGGGAATGGAGCGTCGGGGCATGAGACTGGGGAGAACGGGATGTCAAACACGTGGGTACTCTGCTCGGCTTCGGACTCAAACCCAGGTCTGCTGGGAGGGTTGGTCTCTCCCTCCTCGTCTGAATAAATCTGGAGATGAACAAAACAAACATAACCTTGCATTGTAAACCAGTACATTTGCACAAGTTTGCATGGTGTGTGTTCTTACTTTGCTCAGCTACCTACCTCCTCGCTGTCTTCCAGCGACGAAGATTCTCCCTGGCTCTCATTAGAGGACTTCTCTTCTTCCTCTGCAGGTTCCTCGCAACGCGGTGGGCTGACTGGTAAAGGTGGGAGCATTGTACGAGTTGCCTTGGGGTGCGCTGTAGAGGAGGTAGCTGGGAAGGCGGCTGGGGGCTCGGTGGGGAAGGAGTGTGCCGTCTGTCGAGGTAGGAGACGTGGAGTGTCGCGCAGACTGCTTCGTCGCTGGTTCCTGGGCGGTGGGTAATGCAGAGTTCTACCGGTCGGCTCGGAGCGAGAGTGGTGACGAGTGTCTTGAGCAAGTGGAGGCATTCCGTGGGGCTCTGAGAGGTGTTGGGGGACGTCCATGTGTCTTACAGTCAGTCGTAGACCGCTGCCAGGCCGCGTCGTGACCCCCGAGGCCCGCCACAAGATGTCGGGTAAGGCCCCAGGTCGACTCTCTCTCTCGCCGGCCCGCGGCGCGAGGCCAGGAGCGACCAGCCGATGACCAGGGTGTCCGCCGCTCCCTCCGTACTGCATCGATCCTACGTATATGCATGCAGCAACGGCTTTCTAATGCGCGCGCAGCTAGCTACTAACTAACTAACAACTAGCTAGCACGTACACGCGCACGGACGGCGGCAGAAAAAGTGGGAGGGGCTGGATTCTACGCGCATGCCCACGTAGCCGTATATACTATAATATACTACCTACCTGCCAGCCATGCAACCGACTATTACCTCAACCCGACGCCCGCCCGCTGTGCGTGTGTGTAGCTCGGAGCTCCGTACTCTCGCATCAGTCTGAGAGGATACCATTCGTCGTCGAAGAGAGAGGGAAAGAGAACATCGGGTCAGTGAGACTCCTGAGCAGGGAACGCGCATATTCTTTACACGCTGCCTAGCTGTCATATCGATGCGAAATCTCAGCGAAAGAACTCTCGTCTATTCGCTGGTATTCGCTGCGCTCTTCAATACCTGACCGAGGCTGTATATACCTCTTTCCAATCTTCGTGGTTCTAAGGTTCAAGTTGTAAATAGGCTAGGATGGCTAATGCAGATACAGTCATTGTGTGCTCGCTCCCGCTCGCCAAGCATTCGCCTACTACCAACGACAAGCGCCAAGCAGCCATAATTGGCGAGCGCGTTAGCGTGAGGCAACTATTCTCGTACGTATGTACGTCGTCAATTAGTCACCAAAAGGAAGTGTAACTTCCGTCATTCGTAGGAAGTCGTGCGCGCGCAGATTCGAACGTAGGCTTCGCACGCGCGCAGTCAGTATATACTCAGTTAGAGAGAGCGCGCGTACGAGCGGCCTCAATCGGACTGTTTACGCAGCGCAATGGCTGATTCAATCCCCTGGCTACGCCCTTGGTTTTGTATTTTTGTAATACAGTTCATAGAAATAACCCCCCTCCCCTTCCCTCCCGGTCGTTTGGCCAGTCGATCATGCACGGGCAAAGGTTGGCAGGTATGTATGGGAGAGTGAGTACAAAAACTTCGGCTAATAATATGCACTGTTTATCATGAAAACCACAATGACAACAAGTGCCTCTACTACGAGACCAATATAAGTCCTTCGGTCAAAGTAGCACAAGGACAACAAGTGCCTGTACTACGAGACCAATATAAGTCCTTCGGTAGGAAAGTAGCACAATGTCAATGACAACAAGTGCCCCTACTATACGAGACCAATATAAGTCCTTAGTCCGTAGGAAAGTAGCACAAGGACAACAAGTACCTGTACTACGAGACCTATACGAGTCCTTCTTCGGTAGGACTCCATGAAATCCAATTTTCTTGTCTTGTGGTTGAAGCTCTTCAGAGCCCTGAGTCCGCAAAATCCGCCCAGCCAGGCATCACTCTTCAACCTATTTTCAGGAGTACGATACATTCCCATAGTCGCCTTCCTTTTGTCTTCTCTCACATTCGCGTACGCACAGTAGTTCTGCGAGGCGAGGAAGAGTAGGAAAAAACCTAAGATAATGCTGACAAAATATCCACAGACTAAGACACAGAGGTAGATCAAAATAACTGTAACAATGGCGGCAAACAGCATTGTAACATCGCGTCGCGTCGCGTCGCTCGTCGCTCGTATAATTATATATACGACGGAGGAGGCCGAGTATTGTTTCTCATTTCCCGTTTAGCCATTTGACGCTCACCTGCCACCTGGGACCACGTAGCTGGCCACGCTTATCCCAGAGCGCCGCTTGCTGCTGCAGGCCCCGAGCCCGGCCGGAGCTGAGCTGCCAGCCGTGAAGTTCAGAGCGCTTAACTGGTCTAATGGCTACTAGGGAAGGTGAGAGTGAGTCATGTGCAGCATTTTGGAGATCGGTTAGAGTTGTAGATGATGCCGTCGTCAGTGAAATTTGCGCAGGTTTCAGCCGGGATCAAGTGCGTTTTTGCGAGAATACCTCACAGCTCCAGTACATTAAGGTAAATGTTGGTATTTTGAGCCACCTAAACTTTCTTCTTAATTTTTCCTACAAATACCAGTGAATTAAAGTGAAATTTATGTTACATGATTATCAGGACATGGCGATTCTAAAAATCAAATCGGTTTCAGAATAATATTCACAGTAGGTAATGCAAAATATTTGTTTTATAACCCTCTAAAAGCAGCAATTATGAGTCAGTGATGGTATTATGAGTCGACTTAAAACGTATTCTTTGATGAAGCAAGCAGTTGCCCAGTCGTGTTTCACAATAATTACTTAGATATACAAATAAGCAAAAAACCACAAATTAATCATAATTTGACCAAAACATTTATTTAAAACCTCCCCCAAATTAAACCCTTTGAGTCAGTGATGCAACCATTGTGACCTCTTGACTTTTGGCTATTTTGTCGCAAAAGTAACCCGCAGCACGTGTTAAAATGTGGCGACGATTTGCTGGGCTCCCGACGGTATATAGGAAGCAGTTACAAAGTGTTTGCCAGCTTTTTGGAATATTTACCCATAATACCCGACTCATAATACCAACACTTACCTTATCCAACACCTCACGCTTTCTGCACACCATCATCACTTGATCCCGGAATGGTGCACAATTACCCCCAATTAGCGGACACCTTCTAATTAATTTTGCTGTTATCAGGTTTCTATAATAATTATGTGGCAGTCTGTGGGCCAAAACTGATCACTACTACTTGTACTTGTGCAGGTAGATGCAAGTGGGACAGTGGATAAGCAGTGAAGTCAAGGTCATCTTCAGACAACTGTTAGCAGACCATTGACGACAGCACTGCATCGAATCACTGACATTACCTCATCACGAACCAATCACATTGAATAATGTATAATTCACAGTATAATTATACACTGAGGTTGAGTTAGAACAATGACAATGGTGAAAACGGAATTCTCTAAAAATAGATTTTGTGTCAAGTCTTCTTTGTGAGAGAGAACCTCTGCCTGGCGCCCAGCACCGCTCCCTGCATCTCCTCCGGAATAGATCCAAACACAGCAGACGGGACCACCTGCTCCTGGATCTCCACCTCCTTCTGGTTCTGGCCAGGTTCCGGTACCGGCTCGGGACCCTCCTCCTCCTCCCCTCCACTGTCCCCCAGCTCTATCTCATCCGGGTTGGCACCCGACACTTTGGCCATCTCCTCCATCTCTGCTGATGCCTCGCTGCTCCTGGGAACACAATGGCAAAGCTCAAAAAGGAGAATAATTATATAAAACGGTCAATGGGCTTGCAAGCTGCACATTTTGCAGTGTATGTATATACCACAAAATCATATTTAGACCGCAGTCACGCGCAATTGACCAATCAGATTACAGAATTGCGGGGGGTTTATTTTTCATAGACACCTCGTTTCAGGTGTCTAATGGCGTTTGCAGGTGGTCTACAGCAAACTCCCCGTACAAAATGGCTATTCTCAAAAGTCGTTATCTGCGCAAACCGGCCGATTCCGCGTTCGGTATATGTAAGCGTAGAAGGCGCGACTGGCAAAGTAGCTCTTTTAAAATGCGTAGTGCACCTGCAAGAAGTCTGTGGACAGTCTCCGGAGCTCGCGAAAGTCAGAAATCACGTCAATATTCCACGAAAAAAGCGTCGGCTTCTTCAGCTCTGGCGATACACAAACACATTGGGCCGGCCGTTGCCGTGCGTTGCTAACCCTTTCAAACGCGCACCACCAATGAGGGCGTTTTATGATGACGTAAACGATTTTTGACGGGGGGCGGGGGCTGTCTCCTCGGAGTCTCACACGTAAAAAAAGCGTCTTGTTCCATCCGAAGGTAAGGAATGAGGAATGAGCGCAGCGTTGCTAGCTTGTTGCTACCAATTTGAACGCGCAAACACCAATCAGATACTCCGGTCTAAACCGGTTAGACGCGGAAGCTCGGTTGTCTACGCAACATTGCAACCCTCGGGGCATGTGAGTAGCGCCCTCGCTGCGCTCGGGACGCCAACATTCCACAGTCCCTCGGGTTGCAATGTAGCGTAGACACCTCGCTTCCGCGTCTAACCTATATATAGTGGACATTGCACATACTTTCCTCTGTTATGCAATGACCTACAGAGATTGAGATGAAATTGTTGTGCTAACTTGACAAAGGTCATGGTCTTGGGTTTGTCTTTCTTTGCCTCTTCCGCGATCCTGCGAGCTTGTTCCTCCAGCAACCTCATCTCATCCAGACTCTCTCCTGAACACACATCACACACCACCTTCTTTTCCGCTTGTGCCTATTTTCATTGATCTATACACACGTCTTTCCACCACTGATCCTATTTCTTGCAGTTAAACTAAAACTCTACCTTTCTCAGACTTCTAGACTTTAACGACCTACAAAGTAACCTCCCTTCCTCTCTCCCTCTATATAATTATAGCTAGAACTCAAGACAGATCCTCACCTGTGACCTGGACCTCCTTGTTGGCAGTGGCCAACATCTGAGCCGACATGAGGTTGACCTGAGTGTTGTACTGGGCCTGGACGCTCCTCTTTATCCTAAGCATCTCACGAAAGGTGTCCTCGTTACCATAGCGAATCTCAAACTCTTGCCACACCTTCCAGTAGGACTTGGTCGTCTGTCAAGAAAGAGTTAAATGTTAACTTGTGTTAGAGTACACTAAGAAATGAGTGATTATGGAGAACGAGGTAAGAAGAGAGGCCACACCCACCCTGGGATCACTGAACTGTGACCCGTGGCTGTAGATAGAGCGAGCTCTGTCCACCTCTCCTAGTTTGGTCTCCAGCTGAGCATACCTCATACACATGTCCCTGGGAAGAAGAGGAGAGAGAAGGGAGAACTTCACCTGCCTAGATTTGCACAGGCACTTCAGTTAATAAGGGAGCTCAAGCCGCAGAATTAATGTTCATGTGCAGAGATAGTACAATATTCATATGCAGAGGTAGCAGAATAGGTGGAGTCAGACTGCATGTCTCAACAACTTGGTAACGAGGTAGAAAGGCAAGGCAAGGCAAACTAAGTCAACTACACCCAGGACAACTCTTTCTTTCCAAAGAAAAGAAGAAGAGCTGCCCTGGGTGGGATTCGAACCCACGACACTCTGCAGTCTAGGCGAGTGCTCTACCAACTGAGCTACCAGGGCAACTCAGCTGGTAGCATGTCTGCTATAGTTTGATTGGTTAGTGGGTACTAAAGGATCTGGGCGACATCATCCGTGATCAGGACACCAGACTGTTCCAGTAGGAATGGGAACAGAGCCAACACCAACACACACACACTCGAAGCCGACTCCTTGAGTCTCGGTGTGCATCGGCTAGGCCGTGGTGTGTTAATTACCTTGACCCTTCGTCAGGGAGCACCTCGATTGCCTTCTCGTAGATCTCCCTGGTGTGAGTGATGCCAAACGCCTCGGCTGCTCTCTTGATGTAGATGGAGAACATCTGCACGTGTGAGTCCAGAGGAAAACATACACTAGAAACTTAGTGTTAGGAAATATAGGGGGCCAGTAGTGCTATATAACTCCTTCGAAAAAGGCTCTACCTAATCAGGCAGTTTTCTAGAAAGCAGGCAAGGGAGACCTTTGTCCAAAACTCATGCAAAAGAACTGTACATATCTTGTTTGAAGAATTTGAAACAAAACAATCTGTTTCAGTCTGCATGCAGTGTGTTACCTCAAACTGTTCCTCAGCCAGTACAGCAGTGGTAGCTCTGTTGTAGACAGACATGGCATGTCTTGCCAGTCCATGTTCTTCCTCCAGCTTGGCATACAGCAGGAATATGGCTGTCAGAGAGAGAGAGTGTGTGAATGAGTGAGGATGGGGAAAGAGCAAACATTCTCACTTTTGGCGAACTTGGCAGGACAGCCGTCCAGAGCCTGCTCGAACAGATCACGAGCTCTCTCCAGCTTCTTTCCTCCCTACAACGTCACGTACAGTACAATGTCCATCTGTCCGTAGACCCTTTCATTCTCCACGTAATTACACAAAATATGCACGAGCGGGAAGGTGATGATACTCACATATCGTTTGATGAATTTCGTGAGGTACGTGTTCCAAATGTCAAAGACGTGTGGCCATTTGAACAGAGACACTCCGTGTTCATATGCCTACAGAGACAGAGAGAGAGAGGTGGATGGTGGTGTTTACAGAGACAGAGAGAGGGGAGAGGTGGGATGGTGGTGTTTACAGAGACAGAGAGAGGGGAGAGGTGGGATGGTGGTGTTTACAGAGACAGAGAGAGAGAGGTGGATGGTGGTGTTTACAGAGACAGAGAGAGGGGAGAGGTGGGATGGTGGTGTTTCCACTGCACTATATATAATATTAGAGTCAAGGTATTCAGAATATGTAGTTGGCTTTTCCTTCATCTAACATACTGGCTAAAAGTACAGGCCAATTTAATTTGATTGCACTGCACTCTCCAGCTACAGTCAAGGTGTTCAGAATGGTCTGTTGGCCTGTCCTTCCCCAACCTCAGCACCCTACCGTACTTAGTGACACTGACCTTGAAAGCCTCTTCAAAGAAGTTGTTTTCCTCCAGAAAGAGGGCGTAGTTTATGATGATCTGGGGAGTTGCAATCTTGAGGTCCACGATCCTATTGTAGACAGCCTTGGTGGAGTCCACTGTTCCCAGACTCTCCTCGAGATCCGCGTACATCGACCACACCTTCAGAGACCTGAATAACCGGTTCTGAACCGGTTCGCTCTGCAGTTGAAGAGAGAGGGAGAAACAGGTTTGGGGAGTGTGTGGCAGGCTACTAGTGACCTTGTCGTGGTAGGCGGCCCTCTTGGTTGGCATGGCAGTGGCCCTCTGCATCAACTGCAGAGCCTTGTCATAGAACCTGCACAGTCACACAGAGAAGAGAGAGCATTATTGAAAATCCTAAAACATTGAACTTTATCTTGATAATTATATTCCGGGTTGCAAAAAATTTGTGAATCCCGCCAAAACCACAAGTTTATAATAAAATTCACTTTGCAAAAGTTCACACCGACGTTACCAAAGTTTTACTTTTAATCATGCACTTTCTGAGTTAAAATTGTTCACAGACTTTCATACGTTTCATGTGCTTCACTCGTTACTCTGAAAAGAGAGGGGCTTACTCGTGGCGGAGCTCCATCTCGGCATATTCACACCACACAGTGGCCAGGTCGTCAACGTTCCTGAACGGAACTCTCGTGGCCTTCTCAAAGACGACCCTGGCCTCCGCCAGCTGACCTTTCTCCTCGTAGAACTTGGCAAAGCTGGTCCAGAGAGAGTGGACCTTCCCAACTGCCTGGTCCATGGAGACAGTCTGTACTGCCTCCGTGAATGTATTGATGACCTGATTAGTGAGGAGAGGGGGAGAGAGGGGGTAAGGCTGATTGTTTTTCCAAAATTCACTAGAGGCAGTTGTATTATGCTCCCATTAAGGGATAAAGATAGAGATGGTCTGTTGATATGGTGACTTGAAATGAAATGCCTACTTCTCGTGGCTTGTCTTCGAAAAGTTTAACTCTTTTCAGCCACTCGTGAACGTTGTGAGGATTCTGCCTCAGCAGCACACTGCATCAGGAGAGAGAGAGAGAGAGAGAGAGAGAGAGAGAGCAGAGGAAAAGGGGGTGATAATGTATCATCATTTCCACTCACCTGCTGAGTAGGAACGGTCTGCGATCCATCAGCTCCTCGAACCTGGCCAGGCGCAGTTCCAGATCCAGGTCGTCTGTGGAACGGGAATGAGACAGTGTCTAGCCCCGCCCACTAACTAACAAAGCCCCGCCCACCGTCTCCGCTGGGGCCCATGTCTGCCACGGTCTCCATCTTGGCGTGGATCATGCTCTCTTCAAACTGAACGTAGGCATCAAACACCTGACTGAAATCTCTCACCGTCGTCACAGTCTGTATGGCTTCTTCATAGATATCTCGTGCCTCAAGAAAGAGAAGACATCTTTCATTTACTACTTGCTTAAGTTTTTGAGGTTCACTAACACTTCAGTGTATTTTTTGGCTGTTAATCTACAGTTTTTTCGCCACATTACCAATTCTACCACTTTCAAAATCTCATAGGTCTAGGCGTGAAAGTAAATATTGTATATACATGATTGGGAAGGTGATGGAATGGAAGATTGAGATTTAATTATCTTTATATGTGTTGTTGTTATGGAAACGGACTAACACGATGAGTGGTGAAGAGAAAAAACATAAATCCAGAATTCCATTCACCTTTTCAAAGTGGCCAGCTCTGATGTAGTAGTCAGAGAGAGAGCACCACAGCTGACCAATCATATCGGTGAACCGGCGAATTCCTCCGCGGATGATCGGATCAACTTTGACCGATGTCACCTGAACAAACCAAGGACACTCTCTCACACATGACGCAGTGATTGACGAAGACACTTTGTACATGAGACACATGCAACTCCAAATGTATGGGTATGATAGAGACCGAATGTATGGGTATGATAGAGACCATTTAAAAATGTGCCACGAGATGATAGAAAGCATTTCTATTGCATACATCATATTACATGGACCCATCGGAACCATTACATCATATTACATGGACCCATCGGAACCATTACGTCATATTACATGGACCCATCGGAACCATTACGTCATATTACATGGACCCATCGGAACCATTAGTACGTTGTGAGGTTGAGTGGAACCTGTGTCTCACGTACCAAAGTTGCCTCATGTATCGCTGCAGTAACACACAGTGTGATATATATAATTATATACCTTCTCTGGGTTCTTGGAGATGAGGATGCACAGCTCCTGCCACAACTGATGCTTGGACTTGCCCTCCTTGGACACAAACTTGTCCTGACGACAACCAAATAGAGAAAATAAACAACAGACAGACAGACAGACACACTTACAAACCGAGTACAGCATGCGCACCGAGGGTTAACGAGTGAGGGTTCCTTACATCATTGACAATGTCGGCCATCTTGACTGCGGCCTCGTCAAGTCTGTCAATAGACATCAGATATTCCACAAATTCCTCTGTGTTCTCTGGCATCAGCTGTGGTGTGTGTGTGTGTGTGTGTGTATGTGTGAGAGAGAGAGTGAAGGAAGATAGAGAAGAGAGTCTAATGTCTTCCGAGAGGTGTTCCTATATCAGGGGTTAAATTTACACGTGGGAAGAAAAGGGTGTCTGTATTAAAGGTGTCCTAATTTAAGGGGTTTCCCCAAGAGAGGGGTTCCACCGTGAACCCTGACCTTGAGGTGTCTGCGATAGACTCTGATGGCAGTCTCGGGGAGGTCATGAGAGCAGACAAACTTGATGTACAGTGGCCATATCCTCCGGTGTTGGGTGAGAGGGAGAGCCTGGAGTGCTCGATCTAATGTCCTCCTCGTCTTGGTCACCTTCCTCTGGTCCATGAGGAACTGGCAGTAGTCCAGCCAGATCCGAGGCATCTGCAGTGACACACAGTGACACACAGAAAATGAACCTCCAAATAAAGGACACCTCTCTATAAAGGACACTTGGTTCTGCCCCATACTAATACATAGGGACACCTCTCTATAAAGGACACTTGGTTCTGCCCCATACTAATACATAGGGACACCTCTCTATAAAGGACACTTGGTTCTGCCCCATACTAATACATAGGGACACCTCTCTATAAAGGACACTTGGGTCTGCCCCATACTAATACATAAGTACACCTCTCTATAAAGGACACTTGGTTCTGCCCCATACTAATACATAGGGACACCTCTCTATAAAGGACACTTGGGTCTGCCCCATACTAATACATAGGGACACCTCTCTATAAAGGACACTTGGGTCTGCCCCATACTAATACATAAGTACACCTCTCTATAAAGGACACTTGGTTCTGCCCCATACTAATACATAGGGACACCTCTCTATAAAGGACACTTGGTTCTGCCCCATACTAGACATAGGGACACTCTCTATAAAAGGACACTTGGTTCTGCCCCATACGAATCACATAGGACACCTCTCTATAAAGGACACTGGTTCTGCCACATACTAATACATAGGGACACCTCTCTATAAAGGACACTTGGTTCTGCCCATACTAATAACACAGGACACCTCTCTATAAGACACTTGGTTCTGCCCCATACTAATACACAGGGACAGCTCTCTATAAAGGACACTTGGTTCTGCCACATACTAATACATAGGGACACCTCTCTATAAAGGACACTTGGTTCTGCCACATACTAGTGTGGTATATTGTAAGGGACACCCTTGAATTAAGGACACTTCCCCAAAGGTTTTCTCTCTCTCATTGTCAGTGTGTTCCTTATTCTGAGAGGATCTTCCTCCCTCATTGTCACCTTGTGCATGAAGACCAGAGCCCTCTCGAATGCATTGTTGACCTCCTCGTAGGCTGGGTCTGTCACACACTTCTGTTTAACCTGCTTCCTTCGCAGCTTCAAGTACTTGTACCACAACTTGTAGCTGGACAGAGTCACGGAGAGAGAGATAGGTTAAAATGGACCGCGAGATGCTGAACTTTACCTTCCAGGGAGCTGTTTGAGGGCTCGTTCGAAAATGAGGTTGATTACGGCCTTAGGAGCGCTGCCCTTGTGCTCTATGTAGCGGAGCCAGCACTTGAGCTGGAACGGATGGCGCAGAATCTCCTCCTCGTGCGGGAGGTCCGACTCGTCCTGGTGGTGGGCACCAATTAGAGTGGGAACACCGCTCGAAGAAAACCAGAAGGTCGCTGTAAAGCTGGGCTTACGAATATGAGATCTCTTTCCACAACTATCTCCGGCATCTTAGTCTCCTGCTGCTACTGCTCCCGATCGCCAGACGCCAGACGCAAGAAAACTCTGCGCGCGATATGCGACACCTCGATCGCCGAACTGAGCTTTGTGCGCATGCGCATGCTTATCGCCCACTGTGATTGCAGTGCAACTGTCTAATAGTGACACACACAGACAGACATAATACATGAGATTCCGTTTGCTTGCATGACGTTACTGCATGACATTAACTATACACAAGGTCTAACTGTTCATATCGCAGACTGAGACTGAATCTGCAGAACGAAATGTCATTGTCACACAATGTCGTTGCAAATTGATATTAAACTCACATGATCATTGGAGGAAGCATTAATAAGAGAAGCAATGGTGGGGTCAAAGTTGAACTCTTGACCTCTGGCAGTAGCGGCGGAGGAGGAGGAGGAGATAGTAAACTGATCAGATATCTGGTCACCTCCTCTCCTTTGTCCCAGCAGAGGTACAACTGGAGGAAGAAGGCTTCATGTCACTTTGCAAAACCACATCGAAATGACAAAATCACTACATCAAATTGGATTCAGGCAACTGTGATACGTTTTTTTTTAATAGCCTGGAACTTTTTGTTTAGTGGCAAAAGTCACAGTTTTTCTCTGAAGAATCATGGTTTCTGACAAAATTTTCTGCTTACCTGGGGCCTGAAGGTGGGGTTTCTTGGTCAAGTTTGATGGCTGCAGATGAGATTGGTGGGCTCGATGAGGAAGAGAAGCTGGGGAGGAGAGAGAGAGAGTTTGATGAAGAGGCACAGTTGTTCCAACCTTCCTTGTCGAAGGGGAAGCCAGCTGGGGTCAGTTCATAACCTCTCCTCTGGTGAGAAACCTGTCTCGACGGAGTGTAGCGAACATCTTCATACACTGCAGCAGGTACCACGTTACGTCTGTGAGAAAAGAGAGGGGGAATAATTAGCTGATATGACCAGGGGCACCTCTCAATTTACCTTCTCATTGTATCATACATTCCCTGCAGAAAGGTAAGCTGTGATGTACACAATACTAACAAATAGAGAGAAGGTGTACCTGCAGTTTCTGGTACTGTCGCGTTTTCTCCACTAACTTCTCCGAGGCCTCGTTGAACTTTGTCCTTGTAGATTCCAAATCTCTTTTCAGAGCTTCAAACACACGCACACAACACACACACATTACCGACTGAACGTGTGACATGGCAGCATCTATTAGCCTCACCTGCTACTTGTGTCTTGAGAGCTGCAAATGACAAACATGGAATTTGATAACATGTAACCAGTAACAGGCAGTACACTTCTTGTGCATACATGAGTTTTCTGTTGAGTGGACTGCTATGGTCTGCCGATAGTGGCTCTCCTGTGCCTGAGCCTTCTCCATGGCTTTGCTGGCACAGTACTCCTGGTAGGCCTTCTCCTGGTGGGACTGAGAAACAAACCTTCCCATTACTTCAACACTCTCTCTCACTCTCTCTCTCTCTCTCGCACGTGCACACACACGCACTCTCCCACTGCTACCTGATAGGTCCAGAAGGACAGTGCTCTAGAACATATCTCCATGACGACCTCCGGTCTGTGACCTGCCAGCACCATCTACCAAGAGAAGAGGCGGGAGAGAGTTTTAATTAGGATTCCAATTGAGGGAGAGAAGATAGGAAGACTTACTGATTTGTACTGCTCGCTGGGGTGAAGGTCCACCTTTGTGATGTCCAGTTGTGCAGGAAGCTCTGTCTCACCTACAGCCAGTGAGATAGGGGATTGAGAGGTATGTCATTAAAATAGCCAGCTGACATGCAGGGCAGGTGGCCTGTCTACTGAACTCCCTGCTACCATCTTCATCGCAGAATATGTCTGCAACCAACTTCTGTCAAGGTTTATAACTGACATACAGATTCTCAATTGTTCAAGGAAAAATGGTGGATACGAGAGCAGGAAGTCACCTGTGAAAATAATCATAAGAGTCAATGTTTCATTGGAGAGACCGAATCAGTCATGTCTATATATATACCCAGGCAAAGTTAGTGAGTCTTTTCCGACACTTTCTGTAGTTACACACCAAGTCGTCGTCCATGGCTAGCTAGCTCTACACTGACACTGTGCTGCGCGCTCTCACTCTTTCAACGCACGCACAGGTCAAGCGTGCTAACAAAAGTTCAAAAGTTGAAATTCGCGCGTGAAATCGCGCGCGCCGCCAATTTTTGCGCATGCGTAAATTGTACAAACTACGAGAAGAAGGAGGATCTAGGAGAATGGCCTTGGTTGTAGGACTGATCTCAGGGACTAGTATGGACGGCATTGACGCTTGTCTAGTGGAAATCAGACCTTCTCCTAACACTGACGAAACAATAGATGAACATGACCTTGAGTAAGCTGCAAAAAAAATGCTGTTGAAAATTGGACAATTTCTGCTCTTCAGAATGAGATTGCTGCAGTTCCTGACGAAACCATACCCTCCAGCTGTAAGAGAAGGTCTGGTGAGACTGTGCAGTGGAGGAGAGGGAGAGAGAGGAGTACTAGGTGATGTGTGTCGCTACAACTACCTCCTGGGGCAGCTGTTTGCTGAAGCGGCTGATGAGGTGGTGACAAGAGCTGGACACTCAATGAGCGACATCACTGCTATTGGATCACATGGGTGGGTGATGATGTATTATGACATCACTGACCTCAATATAAACCTCAAGTGTAATGTCCTATACTAGTGTACCTCTGAATAATGGATACCTTCAACGTCACAATGGTGAATTTTATTCTGTGTATGCCTACCTACAGGCAGACAGTGTGTCATCTCCCGCAGCCCCGCCCCCTACTACATGGCTACTCAGTCTCCTCCTCCCTCCAGCTGGCCGATCCAGGTGTCATAGCCGGCAGGTGTGGAGTCACTACCGTGGGTGACTTCAGAGTTGCTGATATCGCTCTTGGAGGACAGGGGGCTCCCCTCATTCCCTACCTCGACAAGACAATTCTCCAGAAACACCACACGTTAGCTAACACTTGATTTTCTCCCCCCTCATGTTGTTTACTTACAGTGGGAAATTAGAAACAAACTATCTTTTTACAGAGGTGTCCTTATATCTCTACCAGTATAAAAAAATTTCTGATTTCAAACACAATAGAAACAACTTTGCATTTTTTCACGGATACTTGGTTATTGCGTATTACATAAACCTCTGAACGAATTTGGTGTCCATAATAAGACATACCACGGTATTAGTAAGTTCGTAGGAAGACAGGTGGAGTGGGCATGCTGCTGAACATTGGTGGAATCAGCAACATCACAGCTCTACTGCCAGTCTCCCAGGAACTCATTGGGTTTGACTGTGGCCCTGGTGAGCTTGTCATGTGACCTCTGTCGATGTGTCACATGCTAGTCATGTGATGCCAGGGAATGTCCTGATTGATTCTATGATGAAGAAGTTGTACGGTGTGGAGTTTGACAAAGATGGACTGATGGTAAGTCAAGCCCTCTTTTAGCTCACTTTCTCTACCCATATTCTGTATATCACTGTTCCCATCTCCATGCTACCTTATGTTGCTTTCCTCTATATTCCAATCCCGCTGTCCCTATCCCAATCTTGCTGTCCCTATCCCAATCTCGCTGTCCCTATTCCAAGCTCGCTGTCCCTATTCCAATCTCACTCTCCCTATTCCAATCTCGCTGTCTCCTATTCCTCTGTCGCTGATTGCTGCAGGCACTAAGTGGCTGTGTTAATCAACGTCTTCTCGATGCTCTGGTTATGAAGACCAGAGACTACACTGACAGAGAACCACCAAAATCACTGGGGAAAGAGGTACACAAAGGAACACCTCTCTATACCACATACATACAGTATTTAATGAGTGAATAAGGAACACCTCTCTATAATGGATACTACCACATACATACAGTATTTAATGAGTGAATAAGGAACACCTCTCTATATTGGATACTTGACTAATACAGTGTTTACCTCTGATTAAGGGACACCTCTTAATTAGGGACACTGTAGATGTCCCCAAGGTGTCCCCAATTCACTGTGTGCGGTCTGAATCACGATGCTGCAGCTGGCAGTCCAAATGTGTTGAGTTTCATCAAAACTGAAGTACACTCACTTAGAATTTTACTATTTCTCATGCTGGAGATTATGTCGAGGGGTTCAGAATCGTCTGTAGGCTTGGTATTGATGTGTCGCAGGAGTTTGGTGAGGATTATGAGGAGCTGATATCTGCCCACAGGACAGATGGAGGTCTGATGAGTCAAGACATCATCGCCACTCTTACTGGTATAATATGGGGCCATTTCCGCACACACGAGCTGAATAGCAAAACATTGCAGTATAGTTGTTGTAGAGATGCTGGGTCTCTTTCGCCCTCAAAAGTGGGTGCAGCTTTTTTCCTTAGAAGAAAGAGTTTTCCTAGGTTTTTCCCTTGATCTCATTGATGACACGTGCCCCTGCTAATTTTTTCCTTTTGCCTCCTCCTTTTAAAAAACGATTGCTGAATCTTGAATCTGAAACGTCCAAGAGTTCACAGCAGTCATGGTGGCAGAGAGCTACCATCGGTACATACGACAACGTCTGGACAGAGATGCTACCGCAGCCACTGCTGCTAGAGATCTGTTTGTCAGTGGAGGAGGAGCCCACAACCCTGCACTCATGAGGTCTCCACTTACTACTGAACACTCAATAAGAAACCCATATCATAATGTATGGGAAAAGCAAGTTTTCTTAAATGAGAGAGTGTTTACTGCTGAACCACCTGACTATATACACTGCTGTTGTATATATGCAGTGGAAACTAAGAAAAAGGACCTCCTGATAAAGACACCTCTCTATTAGGTTCTGCCCCATACTAATACATTAGCGCCTCCGAATAAAGGACACCTCTCTATAAAAGGACATTAGTTTCTGCCCCTCCGAGTATATATAGGACACCTCTGAATAAGGGATACTTCCAATGTCCCGAAGGTGTCCCCTGTTCAGAGGGTTGTGTCGGGCCTCAGATCTCTGGGAGATCGGCTCCCTGGAGTTGATGTAGCCACTACTGCTGAGCTGGGTGTGGATCCGGATGCCAAAGAGGCCATGTGTTTCGCTCTCCTCGCCCACCAGACACTGCGGGGACTTCCTACCAACGTCCCTGGTGTTACTGGAGCCAGTAGGCCAGCTGTACTGGGCAAGATATGCCCTCACACTGTACACCTCAATACACACACTAGTCCATGAGTATTCAATTTGATTTGACGTTCATTTTCAATCTGCTGCAAACAAACAACGAATATGCAAAAATATTTTCTTCAAATCAAAGACTTGTGTATTTATAAGGGTTTGAGGTTTTTGTGTCTGCAGATCACGTGATATTCTATATACCTGCACCATCCCTATATCAAGTTGTCACTATTTGTTTCTGGTGGGATTGATCAATAGTAATAAAAGCAAGGAAGAGTATGTGTTTATTAATAATTTAGAGGATCATGTGAGCTGTCATGTGATGAAAGCGAGAGCGAGACCAGTTCGAGCGGTGGCCACCAGTTTCCTTCACCTTGTCCCTCAGCTTCAGTCGCAGCAGACTCTTCATTCTGGTGATGTCATTGCTGCCACACACAACCAGGGCCAGTGTGCCACGAGGAAGGCTCACCAGGAAGTCCGTCGCCTCACTGTCCAGCTGGCGCAGCACTCGATCTCTACTGTGCTCCGGAGGAGCCTTTGCCTTTCCCTTGATCGAGTCTTCGTAGCTGTGCAACTGGAGAAAGGTGAGGTCATGAGATGAAACTGCGTCCCTCCCCTCCTCCAACACCTCCTCGTCTCTCGAGACAGTGTAGTGACTAGCCAACCCTCCAAATAACTTTACGATGCTACTGCGATCAACTATGGCCGTCGGTCGACCGCGACTAGCTACTTCGCTCAGTATGCTCCGATCTGTCTTGTGTAGCGACATTTTGTCTCCCAGTTTCAGCTTCCTCAGCACCAGTTCCATGCAAGACTGTGCATCTTCAGTGGGCGAGTGCCCGTTCGTCCCAGTCTGTATCTCTTTCCCGAGAAATCTCTTGGCCAGCATGCGTAGTTTGGGTTTGAACCAGTTAGTCATGGCTTCAGGGGGGCCCTGGAAGAGGCAAGACGTGTCGATAACAAAGGGATGGGTCATCTTGAGAGCACGGAAATCATTCTCGAGCGAGTGTCCGATCAAGATACATGGCTGGGGTAGGAGGGTGCTCAGGTCTTTCTGAACCTCCGACAGAGAAGTGGTGACGTTTTTCAGAATTTCTTGTGTGATCCCGCTGAACTCCGTCTTGTAGTCCAGTACCGGATTGTCCGGTTTTACCAGTTTGTCGTAGACGCAGACCAGCTTTTCGTCGACGACTGACACCCTGGCGAGCTCGTATCCATCTTTCGTGATGACCATCTCGCAGTCCACGGCAAACATGGGGCAGCTGTCGGGGAGGGTCTGCCCTGGGCACCAGTCCTCACACAGCGAGACATAGTCGCTAGTGTTCTGTATATTCTCCTCCATTTGGAGCTCCTGCGGGAGAGGGAATTCATTGTCATTCATGTCGCCACGCTCAAAAGATACCATAGTTTTGTCAGAGCCTTCCTCCCCACCTCCCCTCCTCCTCCCTCCTCAGTCTCGCCGGGGGACTTGAACAGGAAGGCCTCGAGACCCAGCTTTGCGCTGGACTCGGTTCCGGGGTGGTTCAGGAGGAGTTGAACCGAGGGAGAGAGGGAGGCAAGACCGGAGAACAGGTCCGGACGAGAGAGAAACATTTCAGCCGACACCATCGAGAGCCAGAGGACAGCCACGTCGTGAGAACGGAGCTCGGCGAGCCTAGGATCAGGGGGCGTGTCGTCTCCAAGTAGGAGGTGGAGGATAGCTGCCTGGAATGCTGCTGTTTTGAACAGAGGCAGAGTACACTCCGGTGGAGTAGAGTGGTTGGCAGTCTGGGGCAGTAGGCCCACAGCAGTAGAGGTGGGACTGTTGGTAAAGGAGGAGGAGGAAGGCAGGAGAGTTGCCAGCTGGGTCAGTATGGCTCTGTAGTCTGAACTAGGTGCTCCTCTGATCTTCAATTTTACCAGCCGTCCCTCCTCCCTTGCCAGTTCTCCCACGGCTTGTTCCTGTTTGACCAGCTCTAGCACGGTTTTGTCCTGTCTGGTCAGGTTTAGCTTGGCTTGGTTCTGTTCTGCATGTTCTCGTTTGGCCATTTTCTTCATCTTCTTTCTGGCCCTTGACCTCGACTTACGGCTGGTCCCTTTGGGGTCCACGTCACTGCATCCTGCCTCGTTCCCCACAGGCGGCTCCTTCTTGGCCTTCTTGGAGAGTGGCGGCTTCGCCTCTTCTTCTTCTGAGTCGCTCAACTCTCCCTCGCTCTTCTCCATGTCGCGTCGTGTTCGCCCACGGCTCGTGCGCATGCGCAATACTCCATTGGCGATCGTTCGACGGGATGGAGAAGGTTGCGGTGATCACAGGAGGGAATAGGTACATCCAGTTCACCGTGTTTTTCCACTCTGCTAAACCTTTTCTTCCGTAGTGGGATTGGTTTTGCGTTGGCTCAGCGGCTGCTGGCGGAGGGAGTGGGAGAGGGGGAGACGGTGAGGGTGTGTCTGGCCTGCAGGAACGTGGAGAAGGCTGAAGCAGCAAGGCAGTCTCTGATGACTGACAATCCCGGCTCCGAGGTGGACATTGTTCGTGTCGACGTCAGCTCTATGGCCTCAGTCAAGGCTGCATGTGCAGAGATAGAGAGAAGGTATTGTACCATCATGTGATGGTCATGTGGTCGTCACGTGATCTGTGGATGGACTTCAGATATGAGTGTGTTGATTGGTTGTTCTGCAACGCTGGTCTGATGCCAGTCTCTGGAGTCAACTGGAGAGCTTTCTGGCCTCCCACACCGAGGTTCAACCCCAGCCCCTCCCACTACTTCGTTGTCAACCTCTCTCTCTCAGTAACCTGGGATACCAGCTGGGTACAGGAGGTGACCTACTGCCAGTGACTGACTGGCAGACCTCCGATGGTCTTCAGCAGGTTTTCTCAACTAACCTCTTTGGACATTATCTCATGGTGCCCACCCATACAGCTCTGTACGAACCTCTATATACTGCCTTTCTGTTGGTGTATAATGGTAGGTGCAGGAACTGGAGGGTTTCCTCTCTGCCCAGACCAGAGACTGCCACGTCATATGGACATCTTCTGTCACCGCCTCCAGGGCCACCTTTGACCCCACTGACATCCAGGGAAAGAACAGGTCATCATTTTATACTATACTCTCACTATGTATACACGTTTTTGAAGAAATGAAGACACCTCTCTAATAAGGACACCTTTTCTTTCCAAAGAACTGTTCTTGCATGCAATTGAAATAGGACATACGGACACTTTCTTCTTGCCAGTTGCCGTGGAGTTCCGTAGGGAACTTGGAAAATGCAGAGTGACCATGAAATACTATGTGTCAATCGTTTCCGTGCAGTGCTGACCCATATGCACACTCCAAGAGAGCAGTGGATCTGGTCAGCAGAGAAATCAACACCCGCATGAACCAAAAGGTATCACGTAACCTGTGAAGTGATCACATGATAGTCACGTGACTCCTCTGTCACAGGGGATCTATTCCAGCACGACGTGTCCTGGTCTGGTGGCCACACAGCTAACGTACGGCATCATGCCTCAGTGGTTCTGGTCGCTCATCCTTCCTCTACTTCTCCTGGTTAGTTTGGGCACTCCCTCCTCTTACTGCCAACAGTGCTAAATGGTTGTAACTTTACCAGGCAAGGCCTGTTACAGTAATCTCTCTTCCCTTGCCTTCCTCTGCTCAGTTAAGGATCTGTCTTCCCTCTATGACAATGACAGCCACCAGTGGAGCAGAAGCTCTGCTGTGGTTGGCAAGGCAACAGCCCTCCTCCGTAGACCACACCCACAAGTACCTCAGTCGAGCCAGCGTGTCTGGACATCGCTACGTGGACACTGAGCAGATAAGAGGTGCTGAAGAGCTGTCAGCCGAGGTGTGGAAACAACTTGAAACTCTCTCTAGGACACTTTCCAGTAGCTAGTGATTTTCTTCATAAATTATTGTGTGTTCGACTCGATGTATGGGAGCAAAGCAAGTGCAAAGAACGGTTTGACGAGTATATGCAAATTTGAAAAAAAACACGTCACTATTATACCCAATAAGTTACCATGGCTGCTTAGGGCTCAGGTCATGCATATATACAACAGCAGGCAATGCAGTGCTAAATCACTTTATACTATATACCCCATACTACTCCAGCTGTCAACAACTGGCACAAGAGATGAAAATTGGTAACTTCATGATTGTACAATCTTAGTATATATCAATGATTCATGATTGGGTGGGGAGTGAACCAAAAACATTTCACGAGTGAAGTTTGCTGCTGAGTGTAGTTCAGGCCTTTTCATTGGAGAGAGGGTCGAGGTGTGCGAAGACATTCATCCAAGAACTGCCTTTCTTTTCCGAATCTTTCCCACCTGCCTTGGCAGACGGTGCCGGTGGTGGGTGTGGCTTACCACTCGAAGCCCCGCCCACAGCTGCAGCAGAGGAGAGTGGTTGGTATGGAAGAGAAGAGGGAGGGAGGGCATTAATTGGAGCAGCAGGCGACGGGATGAGAGATGGAACAATAGCTGGCGGTGCAGACATGGCACTGCCTAGACTAAGAGACAGAAGATCGTCTGCCAATCCGGCTGCACCCTGACCTGTAGCAGTGAGACCTGTCTTCCCCTGTCTCTTTGCAGCTGCCAGGGGATCCAGATCCTCAAACGGATCTCTCTCTGTGCCAGCGCCATCGGTGGGGGGCTGTGTGGAAAACTCTCTCTCCCACTCTGACAGGGAACTCTTGTTCGACGTGCGCGTGGTTCCCATGAACGATGAAAAGTTGTTCCACTGATCGATCAAAACGTCTGCACCCTTCCCCTCTCCTCCCTCCTCCCCCTCCGCCCCCTCGCTCGAGACAAGCGGTCCGAAATCCGGGACCTCCCCCCCCTCCAACCCCAGCCCCATACCCAGGAGATCGTTGAGGTCCATATCAGCCGATCTGAGATCACCCCGCGACCCCTTCTCCCCGTCTCCCCCCTTCCCACTCACAGCCCCTGTCATTACAGACCCGTCCCTGGGTGGGCTGCTGCTCCCAAACTCCTGCAGCAGCTCTCTCTGTAGGGCCCTCAGGTCTGCCTCAACTCCGCTCAACGGCAAGTCGTTGGCAATCCCTGCTTCCTGCTTGGCCAGCTCTGTCAAATCTACTCCGCTGTCTTTTGGAGGAGGACTTAGCGGAACTAGCGTGCCTTCTGTGGCTTCCTTCCCGACCTCCGTTCCTCCTCCCGCTGTGCTCTCCTGAGGACCGTTCATATCAAGCAGAGCATCATCGTCGTTATCGGCCGATGATTGCAGGGGCGAGAAAAAATTTTCCCCCTCCAGCGTCGAGAGTAGTTCCGACTCGGTGAACTCGTGAGCCTCCAGATCGCGAATCTGGACCATGTCGCTGTGCAGCTTGTACTGGTGGTGGTGGTGAGATCGGAGCTCCACGAGCACTCGATGAAACTCTGACGCTGCACTGTCGCTGAATGCCAACATAGCCTTCTGGTAGTTGGGGAGCGAGCGAGAGAGCAGGTTACATCGACTGGCATTCACCATCCCTATCTTCTCCGTGAGATCAATCTTCAGTTTGTCAAACTGTATCTTGGTTTCTTTGACCGCTGCCTGAGCCTATGAGGAAGGAAGGAAAGCAGTGTGGTTTCATGTGCAACTATAGTGACAAGGGAAGAAGGGAAGAAGGAAGGGGTGTGTGTGTGAGCTAGATATAACAGGAAATGGATGGTGAAAGGCTTTGGGTGTGTGTGTGTGTGTGTGTGCAGGTCACATGCCCGAAGGAATCACACTCATGCTGAAAGTGGGGTCAATACCCACTGACAGTGAGGGTCATAGCACAGAATCCAGGCACCCTCAAGTCAGAAATCACGAACACCACTACCTACACCCAGGGGAGGAAATCTCTTGGTCACGTTCACTCGATGTTCGTGCTTTGAGACACCCAATCAGATTGCAGTATTGGGTATGCGAGTAAAACTTCACACCCAATGTTATGCAATCATTTGTAATGCAGTTCTGTGAAATCCACAAACGGAACCAAAATATGCCTCAGAAGTTCCTCAGTACAGTAACATACCCCTCTATGGGGCCAGGATCTCTAGGCTCCAGACCAACCAAGATATTGATCAGCAGATAGGAGGGAAACTACAGCACCTCCTTTGGGTCTGTATCTACATTAGTTACATGCCACAATACCCAACACTGGCCAATTTGACAATCCTCGTAACAAACACCCAATTACATGAACAGAACACTTTACTCTAACCAACTTTTCAGTTGTACTAACACGAGTACAGAGCCAGGCCACTATTATACAGTTACAACACATTCTTGGTGAGCGAATGCCGAGTAGTTCAATTGTTGGCGCACGTATTTTGAACCACATAACACATGTGCAGTGCCCGTCACGTATAAAACAGGGGAAAAAACCTGCATTGAGACGACTAGGTAGGCTTGTTTTCTGGGCCAATTATGTGAGCCAGGCCCCTATAATTATTAGTGCAAACCTCTCTGAATCGGACTAGCTGGTCCCGATAGTCTGGGTTTTGCAGTTTCCCGGACACGTCCTTCATCCAGAGGAGAGCAGCGCGATAGTCGGTCCGGGCCTTCTCCAGGGTCTGAATGGAGAGGGAGAGATCGGAGAGGGCAGACGCCTCAAATGTCGCCATCTCCTGGTACAGCCTTTGGAGTCCAGGCAGAACACTCAGTCTGAATGGAGAGAGATGGCCAGTGGAACCTCTTACAACGGACACTCTGAATAGAGCACACCTCTATGCTAATTTTCTAACATACTCAGTGTGTGTAAACCTCCAATAAAGGACACATACAGAGGTGAACATGGTCCCTGGTGTCTGGTTCCATAAATTCCCCACTGGCAAAATAAGCATGACCAAATTATGTAGTTAGTGTGACTGTCAACAAGATATGTTGCACAATTACAAGCCAATAATATTTGGACATTACTACATGTATAGGCTTGCCTGGCTTGCCAACATTACTATAGTGGAGACCCATTACCTAATGCTGAGAGTAGGTGCAAGATAATGGAGAGCTGACCTGGCCTTTGCCTCCAGTTGCAGAACCCTCCCTGTGCTCTTCATGACTTGGCCAGCGTTGGTGTACTCTCTCTCACTGTATGCTCCCAGATACTCTCCAAACACCAGCTCCTGCGCTGACATATCTAGTGAAGGAGAGAGGAGAGGAGGGGGAGTGAGGGAGAGAGGAGAGGAGGGGAGAGATAAAAGAGAAAGGGAAGAGAGGAGAAAGGAGAGGAGGGAGAGAGGAGGGAGAGAGGGGGGGAGGGGTGAAGGAAGGGTCTGTACACCCTGTTACCCACAACACAATATGCAACAATAGTGAGACGGTGAGGTGAGGTGTGGTGTGCCAAGTCCGTTTGAGTCTCGGATAGACCACTAACAAATGTCGCAATACATCGGACTCTAAAGAGCAGTGGTGACGAGCAGTCCACACACACACACGTACCTCGAAGTCTGAAACAGCATTTCTCAAGCGTGTGGAGGAGTTGGTGACAAGAGGACCTCAGATGATAGGCAATCTATAAATAGAAACAGGAAGAGGAAACAAAGGGTGTCTGAATAGCCACATACACACAAAACCAGGGTCTATTGTATAACACATACCTCTAGTTTGGTGTCAATGTCAGCATCTCCAGCCACTACAAACTCGTCCTGCGATTTGTTCAGTTTCTGAATGACCGTCTGTTTCGTCTTCCAGTACTTTTTCTTCAGCTTCTGTTCCAGAGAGGGATTGTGGCGAATTCCGTCCGCCACCGAGCCGTAGTGGAACGGAGTCGTTACGTCTGCACTGCCAAACCCCTCAAGACTTGTCATTTCCTTTGTCTGCAGATAAGAAAGTGTGGCGGAATTGTGAAGATGATAGGGGGAGGTGGGGTAAAGTAGTTGCCTCGTACACAGAGGCATTGTATTGTATTACAGCTGTGTACTCGAGTCTGAATAGCGGACATTTAGGGAGCACGTAGAGAACATAAGCGTGAAAGTGTCAGACAAAGAACTGAATGTAATGCAATTCAGTACCTCATGAATCACATTCACAAATACACTGTACATACGCAACTGTACACAACAGTGGCCTTTTCAGGAACAGTACTACAGAGAACAGTTGAACCGCGAAAACATACCTCAAATTGCCACCTCTCCGTGACAGAAATGCCGAACTTGGACGAGACACAATCGACCCAAGGATAGGCGCTAATTAGGGATGATCTTTAACCTTAGAACTCGACGTGTGCATGACGTCATGGCCGGAGTGTACTGACCAATCAGAAACCAAGAAACATGCTTAGCCCGCGCGCGCGAACTTTCGGCGCAATAAATCCCGTGCGTCACGGTCGGTCACGGTCACGGACGAGAAAGATCTTGCAGGCAACAACATCTCCATTTTTTGCTACCCTGTGCTGACTTTCAACGATCGGCAGATACCGAACTTGCCTCGACCGCCGTGTGATGTCAGTAGCAGTACAGACGGGCTTCAAACAACAGGAAGGCCATCTGAGAAGAGTTCCGGAACACGACGGGAAGGAAATGGCCCCGCAACTGAGCGTGGTGGTGCGGGGAAAGAGGGTGGCGTGTCTTCCCCGGGCGCACCTGCTTCTGGGCGCCGTACCGATCGCACAGAAGGATGGATTGGAGATCAGACTGCCCGACGAGCGACACGTGGAAGCTCTCCAGGCGGTGGTGGGGTATCTAGCCGACGGGACGATGGACGGCGTGGACGCGCACAATGCGACTGAAGTTCTCGAGTGTGCCCGGCTTCTGGGTCTGGGTAACGTGAGAGACGCGTGTGAGGAGGCTCTGGCGGAGAGGGTGGCGGCCGAGAACTGTGTCAGACTCCGACAGCTGGCGTCCCAGTGCGGCCTACCTCGCCTCAAACGAGTCTGCGACTCGTTTCTGACGGATTCCTTCGCCGGCGTCCTCGCCGAGCGTGCGGGTCTGGATCTACCACGAGTCCAAGTACGTCTGGACGTCTCCAGCCAAACGCTGGAACTAGGGACTGATCTACTGGAGAAATTCGTGCCAAGAGTCTTGGTCGCTCTCGACACGATCCGCCGGTCGACTCGCAAACGCCTGGAGGAAGCCGTCGTGCAGCTCGTGTTGCAACCAGACCTCAGAGTAACCGAGTGGTGCCGCGAGCCCAGCGATAAACTGCGGCAGCACGCCCCCCTTTCGCCCGAGAGGAACTCCGCGGAGTTCTACGCCAAGCTTCGCGGTGGGTGCTCGCCCGCTCGCCAACTGATCCTCACCCCTACAAAAACCCCGGGAAAGACGACCGAATCATGTGGGATGCGGCTCCTGGCCACTGCAAAGTTGACAGATGCCTCCTCTGCCTGTCTCGTGGAGGAGGGGGCCTCATTGATCGTCGTTTCTATCTCTGTCTGTACTCTACTGCACAACGGACAGCTCCCCACCAGCCCCACCACTGGTCTCCCCACCTTCTCGCAAACCAACGGATGCTTCATCTCCCACATGAGCCTCGCCAGGAGCGGGTTTGGCATCGTCGCAACCGAGTCGGAGATCCTAGCGGTCGGGGGATTCAACAGATCTGGGTGTCTCGACTCGACCGAGAGCTACAGTTCAATTACCAACTCGTGGAAATCCAGAGAGAGAATGAACGTTGCGAGGGGTCGTCTGTGCACAGCTGTAGTAGAGGACAGAGTGTACGCCATTGGAGGCTCAGACGGCAAGCGAGAACTCTCCACGGTCGAGGTCCAAGACCTGAAACACTCTCGCCAGTGGCAGAAGCTAAAAGCGGGGATGCCAACCCCACGAAGCTGCCACGCTGCAGCAGTCCTAGATGGAGTGGTGTACGTGGTTGGAGGAGAGCATTACTCCGTCCCACTCAAGACAAGTGAATCTTTCAACCCTTCCACCAGGTCCTGGCGGACACTATCTCCCACCACGACTGCTCGCTCTGACCTAGCTCTGGCCACATGTTCAGGGAAAGTGTACGCCATTGGAGGAAACGCTCCGGGTCTAAAATGCCTCTCCAGCGTCGAAGCGTACGACCCGGCGAGAAATCTCTGGTCCCCTGTTGCTAGTATGCAGTTCCCTCGTCGGAATGCCGCAGTAGTCACCGTCGGCGATAAGATAATGGTGATCGGAGGATACAGTGGAACTGAAGTTCTCCGATCGGTGGAGATTTACGACCCAGCAACTAACGAATGGAGAGAGTGTCCTCCATTGTGTGGAGCTCGCTCCCACTCCTCAGCTGTCCTCTACAACAAACAGGTGTACGTCTTTGGTGGCTACTCTGGTAGCCTGTTCCTCAACACGGCCGAATGCTTTGACCTCAGAACTGAGCAGTGGACTCCATTTGCATAGCACCGCAACATACATGCACCTGTCACCAACACTGTTCACACAACTCCACTGCTGTATATGCCATGTGTAAAGCTTTTTATGCCATTTTGTACACAACTCCACTGCTGGATATGGCTGTATAAATATTCTCTCTGCCATTTTGTACACTTGTACTTAATGAGTTGTGTTACGGCTAGCCAGTTTAGATCTGCATTTGATAGTCCCACACTTTGCACTACACCACAAGCTTTGACAGGGAGGTGTGCACACAATGGCAACATGGGACGTGAATAATTATAGTAATAGCCGTGAATATAGTAATAGCCGTGACATCACACATGTAGGTGTAGTAGCAAAAACATCAAGTTCAATTGTCCACACAGTTTGCAATTGAACTCTCATGACCACTATCACAGTTATTTTAGGGATGAACATGAAAATGATTTAGAGAAGTTTTTCGGAAAGAAACTCCACGACTGTGTCAGTGTCCCACCTATCGATCCTGGGTTGAGGAGAAGAAAGAGGGGGAGTAAAATCACTGACACACCAGCTGCTCCAACACACAAAACAAGTAAACATGTACAAGCTGTGTACAAGTAAAGAACACTCGACTCACGCAAGAGTGTCCTGGACTGTTTTGGTGTCGTCGAGGAGTTTGAGAGTGGGATTGGCTCCCTTCTTGTAGCGGATTTGGAGGCTTGGAAACTGTTTAGGCTGCTCCCCCTTCACAAAAGCTGCAGGGCAACAAGTGTGTCGAAACCACAGTTGCAAGCTGTGCCAAACATACTGAGCAGGTGACACTGGGAAAATGTTATGGCATGAGTGCAAACCACACAGGAACTTGGCTGGACCCTGCAATGTCCCCCCACTAGCTAATGATTCTATACCTTGGATGTGGGGGAACTGCGCCAATTTTCATCCACAAATCTCCAGAACTGCCCCTGCATATTTCTGCAGTAACAACAGAATCCTAATAGCTACATCAAACAACAAGGATCATCATGTCCCCAGCAAAAAAAAACAATTTTAAAGTGCCCACTAAAGAGGCACAGTTGAATAGGGTATCCATCTACACTACTTGGCAGTCTGTCTCTCTCTTACTTTTACCTCGCTGGCCGCTCCGTCTTCCTGGCAGCAGGAGCGGCACTCGTCCTCCAACGGCTCCAGACCGAACTGCTTCAGTTCGGTGCACGAGCTGCACATGAGGTTGGGTGTGAACCCCCTCGAGAGACAGTGGCTCGAGTCTATTGTCCCCACACACGGCGCCGAAGACAGCGCCAAGAAGAGGGAGAGAGTTGCGAGAGCGACCGCCATCTTTACGCGCGATGTTCTCTATTTAGAATTTTCGTCGTCACGTGGTCTTTTCTCTAACGCGCGATCCCAAGATGGTGAGTTAGTGAGTGGAAGAAAAATCCTAAAGCCCAAAAGCGATCCTTCTTGTGACAGGCTTTACTGCATCTGCAACTTGTAGACAAAAGGTACATTTTCCCTGTGTAGGTGAAGCTAAAGGCGCACGAGTTACGGGGGAAGAACAAGGATGAGCTGACGAAGCAGCTGGAGGAGCTCAAGACCGAGCTCTCGCAGCTCAGAGTCCACAAGGTCACCGGTGGAGCCGCTTCCAAACTCTCCAAAATGTACGTGTGAGAGTGTAAAAACGGACACCAGGACACTTGCATGTACTATGAACACTTCTTTCCAGTAAGATGGTGCGGAAGTCCATAGCTCGCGTGCTGACGGTTATAAACCACAACCAGCGGACCAACCTGAGGAAACTCTATGCTGGGCGCAAGTACAAGCCTCTGGACCTCCGCAAGAAGCTGACTAGGGCCAAACGACGTGCCCTCACTCCCAAGGAACTCAAGTGCAAGACGGCCAGGCAGAAGAAGAAGGCAATGTACTATCCTCCACGTGTGTTTGCACTAAAGGCATGAGTTGTGGTGTGATTGCATTGATGTGAATACTTTTCATGAGTTTTCCTGGCAATCAAATAGGGATCACAAATACAGGCAAGGGTAACAATGTGAATGGTTATACAATATAAAATGGTTGAGTGTCAGACGTTCATCTTCTCCTTCGATTCGAGATGTGGAGCGACTCTTTCGCTTCCGTTCACGAGACCTGCTCCTTCGTCTGTCCCTCGAGCGAGATCTCCGTCGTCCCCCACGCTCCTTTCGACCTCGAACGACTCCTAGCTCTCCGTTCTCTAGAACTGCTTCTCCTGCGACGATCTCGTGACCTCGATCGACTGCGTCGTCTCGGTTTCTCTCTCGAGTGACTCCGCCTCCTCTCTCTGGACCTTGACCTCCGCCTCCTGTTGTCTCGCCGATCTCTATCCCTCGATTGGCTCCTAGACCTAGAGACACAGATGTGAAGTTTACACGACAGGTTTTTTTGCTTACCTTTTTGCTGGTGGAGGTGGAGAGCGCTTCTCTCTCCTCTCTGGCTGATCTGGCCTGGCTCTGCGAGCAGCCTCACCCCACACGTCCCTCCCAGCCCGCTCCTTCTCCCTCTCCCTTTCCTCCTCAGCTCCTCCATTCTCTCTCTCGTCCCTCCTTTCCTCATCCCCTGGTAGTGCCCTGCACATGTACACCCACCTAACATACAATACGTGGCTAGTGTATAAGTACGTACCTATCAGGTTGGCTTGCAGCCGTAAGTTTCTGTTGAAGAGTCTTGCTAACAGATACTGATATTCTGGGCAACATTGTTCCGAACCAGTCCAGTTTTATGAGCATCATGCGACACATGGCACCGACAGTCGTCTTGAACCCTCCACCAGCCTTCAGATCAATTTCCTGGATAACCAGTGTGTGTGTGTGGAGGGAGGGAGGGAGAGGAGTGGTGTTACAACGGGAGGGTGGGGGGTGTGCAGTGCACGAGGTAAAGTAAAGTGCCCTCCAGCAGGCGTTCTCACTGCTTGCAACACTGGGCCACTAGCTGGTGGTGTGGCGGCAGAGCCGGCCTGCACGGACCTCAGGGTCGTCCAGGTAGGGTTCAAACCAGTCCCACAGGTCCAGCGGAGGCTGACAATACCTGTATGTATGTGACACAACAAAAAACCTGAACACTCCCTCTTAATTGTGGTAGTATAGTGGAACTACCCGGGAGAAAATTTTTGCTTTTCTGAGGCTGAGAGCATAAATTTATGGGTGGGGATCCCAAATTTCAACAGAATGTTTCGTCCATGAAATTATCAGCGAATTGTTTCCCTAAAGTTTCTCCTCTATATTATGACGGTAAAGAGAGTCAGACGGACCTGATGTACATGAATCCAAGGCCTCTGATGAAGGGAGAGTCAACGTGGTCCAACATTGCCTGCACCTGTCGGCGAGTTAGCTTCAGAGTGAAGAGTTTGAACAGGAGGCAGTAGGCAGAGGACACTATACCCCCCGCAGCCACTCCACGTACCTACAGACACACACACACAGCGACAGAAGAGACGAGAGAATTTTCAACACTGGAGAGAGAGAAAGTCAGTCAGTACACACGGTTACTGGTTATAGCCTGAAACAGGTGGTAATGATTACCCATCGCAGGAGGCGAGGGCAGGACTAGAGACAGACACAAGTGCCACAGACTGGGGAAGGCATCTCCCTCTGCTGTGAGACACGGAGAGAGGAGAGGGAGAGTTAAATCACTACGGTACACTGGGAGCCAGTCTCACACGAGGCAATGTGTGGGGGGCTGGGCCACATTTGACCCTGGCTCCTGCCTCTTTGAGCGGTAACACGAAGAGCTGCTGACTGGAGCACACACACAACACGTACACACACAGAGATAGTGATGACTTACCCCGCCACACATCCCCACTTGTCCTGCCAGCTTCCGGCTTCCCTTCTCCCAGGGCTCCAAGTGTTCAACCTGGGGTGAGAAAAAAGAGGAGGAAAGAACAAAGGGAACAGAAAGGGGAGAAGGATGAGAAACTGGGGAGTAATCAGTGGCCGCTTACCTTGTAAAAAATCTCGTCAATGACTTCATGAAACGTCTTCATTTTGTACAGCTCCTCCTTGAAGTAGGCGGAGCCCTGGATGTTGCTGAGGATCATGGGATTGATGTTCATCGTCTCCTTGTTCCCGTACACCGGAAGCGTGTTCTTTTGCTTGCCGTTCAGGACGTCCCCCATCGCTTCCTCCATTGCTTCGCTGTGGGACTGCGCCTGTTCGGCCTGCTCCAATAGCTGCTGTTGCTGCTGCTGTTGAGCCGCCAATAGCACCGTCATTTCGTAGTCCATTGTGCCTTCCACAGAGAGAGAGAGAGAGAGCGAGAGAAAGGGAACAACGCCGACGTTTTGAAAACGTGAGGTTAAAGTGGGCGGAGACAATCTATTTATCCGTACAATAGTTCACACGATCACTGAAAAATCACAAAACACTTGCGCTTGCGCGCGCGCACATGCTGTCGCGCTGCTATATATGGCACGCCGCAGTGCAGTGTGCTGAGCGCGTATTACGTGACACCAGGTATTGCGAAATGACTGTTATTCTCAGTCGACAAGCGTTTCCTACCCCCGAACTTCCCCACATGATTATCATTTTTGCATGCACACTGGCTATGTCTAGTGCGGAAAAACTAACAAGCTAACGCACTGCAGCTTTCGCATTCGCAGGAATGGCTCGTTTTTTCAGTGCAGTGTTTCTGGCGATTCTGATTGCTGCAAATGGCGCTGCAGCTGACGACAAATTAGAATTGGTTCTGACAGTGGACGATGAATTCGAGGATTTCAACCTCACTTTCTGGAAGCACGCAAAGTTTTGCAAAGTTTTGCGACGCGCGCACAGTAACGGTATAGAAAACAGTAATCACGACGGCTATAATCCTTTGTTTATGTGCAAAATAGTGTATTTACCTGGATATGTACGCTGCAAGCCATACAGGTTAGACGTATCGCTGCTGTATTCCGAATTACCGGCGCATGCGCAAAACGGACGGGACCGTCCCGCGCGGACAAACGAAAGATGTAAAATTGTTTGACAGAGAGTAAAGGTTAGTGTATCTCTGCGTTGGTTATAGTATTCCCTGGTGTTGATCTACAATCAAAGAAGAACGTTTTTTCTGAAGTTCATTCCGAATTACCCTCCCTTACCTTACTTACATCGACAGTGAAGAAAACACGGTTCTTGCAGTCGATACTACAGAAACGTCTTTCTGGGAGCGAGGCGGTGGATTTAGTGGCTGGACTAACCCATGGAGGGGTCGAACCAACGCTGCTCCGTTCGACCGATCGTTCTACCTGATCATCAACCTTGCAGTCGGTGGGACCGGAGGATATTTTCCAGACCTCGGAGAAAACGACACGAAACCGTGGACTACTACCTCCCCTAATGCGGTGAACGAATTCTACGCTGCGAGGGAGCATTGGGAACCAACGTGGACTCAGGACTTTGAAATTGACTCAGTCAAGGTCTGGACCTACGAAGAAACGTGGTGCACAAAGTGAGGTGGCTAGCACCTTTATTCGCCACCCACTGGGGCTGCTAACACTCTTCCTACTCTGCATGCTGGCCATGTGAGAGCTTGAGGTCTCCTGGAAACCAAACTGCGCTGACTTTTGTAGTCCGTAGCTAGCTAGCTAAAAACTCTAGTTTGTAGAACTCGTTTGTAGAAAATGCTGTCCTCTTATATAGAATGGAGATGCAGGTTGGCCGCGCGAAATTGTCAGCGAAAGGGAACGTTCACTGAGACGCATGCGCAGAAAGCTGTACATTTAGCGCTGACATTGGACGTACGTTGGGCGGGAAGGCTCTGCATGCACTTTACTATACCTATTATTACATCACATGGTGTGTGGGGTGTCTGCAAAGAATCTGGTGGTTCACGAGTTTTATGTCCCCTGTGTTTTGGTATATAAGTAAATATTTCGCATCGTTACGCCAAGACAAATCACGACCCTAGCTATATAATAGCTGCAGCCAACACTGACATATTTCGCAAAACAATGGCTCGTTTCTTCGGTGCAGTGTTTTTGGCGCTTCTGATTGCAGCATCGCTGCGAACTAGCGCTGCAGCACGTTGGGCGGGAAGGCTCTGCTACACAAGTACATACATTGGCGAGGGAGGGCGCGCCAACCCAGTTGTCCGCATGTGGCCCTAGTTTCTCTACCACAAACCGTGCGAAATTGCGCATCACACATTGAAAAGCCTGCGCTACATGTGCTAACATTATTATGCGGGTGTGATCTACCCATGCATGCATAACTGAAGAACTCCCCAGTGACGTCGCGCGGCAAACAGTTATGTCATTGAGCGGGGGCCCGCTGGGCATGATGGATCCTCGCGGCTCGCGCCTCCGCTGCGCATGCGCTCCGAGGGTTAAAGAGAGGGAGCGTTGCCGGTCTGGAGAGAGTGAGTTCTGTTCCAGTGCTCCACCTCTTGTCTCTGTCTCTCCTCCTCCAGCTCTGGGTGCCACATCCCAGCCAAGGCCCTCTCCATGTTACACACCAGCAGAGAATGCACCGGGATACTAGACCTGTTCAACTGGCAGACAAACAGCAGAATGAATAATATTGTTCAACTCCTTTAATTATCCTGCAAAATTAGCAGGTGGCTCACCATTAGAGCATCTCTGAAGTGGAAGAGAGAGATTGGCTTGCCCTCATCAGCTGACAGAGTGCTCTGAGCTGCCAACATGGCAGACACAGCCTCTCTCCTGTCTCCCTCGTATCGACACTCGGGGACACAACGAGACCGAGTGAGGCCACACCCACTAGAACTATTCCCAAACGAGTGCTGAAACTGTCCGCCTGTTCTTGTTTGCCAAGTGCTCATGTGGGCAATTAGGGTCTGTAGTACATTCTTGAGATGGTTCTGAAAACAAGGATATGAACCAACATTCTGACTGAGTGCAGTGTACGCGGACAGACCTCTAGAGCGAGCAGCAGAAGGTCAGCTGCCTCTTCACTGACTCCGTCCAGCCCAGCTTCCCAGGCCAGCAGAAGCATGCGAGTGTGGAGGGTGGGTCTGTCTGGCAGGAGGAGTTCGTGTGAACAGAGTAGCAAGGTGTCCAGGTCTCTTCCTACCACCTGCACCTGATATCAACATCACAGACAGCCTTATATCTTCTAAATTTGAGTCTCAGTTTCTCTATAATTATCTTTTGCATTAGAATTTTTTAGACTTTTGCTACATTCGAGTTTGGCTAAATCCTTTGTGGATCGGTAGAGTTTGAATTGTCCCAGCTAAGAATTTCAGTTAATTAAGCAGTTATTTATGGGCAAATCATGGGTAAAAGATTACAGATATTCCAGGTGAAGTATTTTATTTTTCAAACCTAGTTTTTTAAATATGTATGCGAGGATTGATGCAAATCACAAGTTTAAAACTAGGTACTATAGAGTGGTGGTAGAGGGTAAATGAAAGACAACAGACGTACTGTTGGTGGTTTCTGGTACTGACGGACGTCGAGTGCTCCGTACGGAATGGGCTCCAGTGGAGGACTGACAACACGCTGTCGTTTGGGGCGTGGCTTGGAGGCAGTGAGAGGAGGAGGAGGAGGTGGAGGAGGAGGGAGTGGGGGTGGAGGGTGAGGGCTCGGCGTGACAGACTGTCGCTGAGAGCTGGGGGGCTCACTTGCAACCGCAGATCGAGAATCTGCCGGGTTTGGGGTTCACGACCCAGTCAAATGCAGAGTCCAACCTCTTACCTCTGGTGGTTGGAGTCCAGTCTGACATTTGACCAAGATGGCGAACAGAAACTCGTTGTGGAGATGGACGTTATCGTCCCCCAGGAAACCTCGAGCCTTCGTGTCAAAATCTTCCTTGGCGATCTGCGAATACATGGAACCTCTTACACACTTGACTAGTGGCTCTACAACATACCCTTCTTCTGTACCAGCTCTTCATGAGCTCCCAGTAGCGAGCGGTCCTCTCCTTCAACGCCTCCACTAGCCTCCCCTTCGCTCCCTCCAGATCGGCCATTTTCTGCGGAGATAAGATGGGCGGGGTTTAGACACTCGCGCATGCGTACAATTTCCACCGTTTCTATAGTGATACGCGCTGGCACATGGTTCCATGCGCAGAATCGATCTGGGGGTGTGCAGCTGAGGAACCGGTGCAATTTGCGCAACCACTCCAGATCAGCAGAATACCCAATCTAGGGCAGAGATGGCGGCATCGTCAGTAGCCGAGCCAGCAACGTGTCTCCCTCTCCCTGACAGCCCCTCCTCCCAATCTCCACCGCCACCTCCCCCCACCGCATCTGGCCTGGAGCTGCAAGACCCACTCTCCTCCGACAGGGAACACGAGCAGCTGGGGGTCCTGTTGAGTCCTAACAAGTCTCAAAGAACCCCAGATTTCCTGCCTCCGCGGATGCTGCAAGCTCTCAAACAACAACAACAACAGCAACAACTCCAGTGGGACAAAGAGCAGTCAACTTCACCCAGGAGGCTGCAACAGAGCCCGAAGAAAGATAGCGAAGTCTGTTTTGTTCGTTCTAGCTTCTTGCTTTTCACAATTTTCTCACCCAGTCCGACTTCATTTTTATTTTCTCCCTTTCTTTTTCCTCTAGTGTGGTCTACCATCAGTGAGACCTCCAGCCAAACTGTGGAGCTACCCAAGACAGAGGTCAAAGTTCACTCATCTCACCACCCACCCACCGTGTGTGTGTGGAGCAGGCAGCAGGTATGGGCCAGTAACCGACTCGCAATATCAACAGCTTACCACTACTGCTCGCTTTTCAGGGATATCTCATTTCTTTACGACGTCCCTGAGGACCAGAAGGGAAAAGAGCAAGTCTGTTTCTTGTTTCCAATGAGTGTATGCAGTTCTCCTTGTCTAATGATAATAGAAGGAGCTTCCTCCCTCCCTGATCCCTAATGAGTACCACATTCACAAGAAGGTTGGGGTTGTGGGTCTAGAGTTCCGCGAAGAGTGAGTAAACTCCTGCTATTATGTCATTAATACTAACGCAATTCCATGTCTCTTTCTCCTTCAAATTCAGCCAGTACACCACTCAGAGTGTGGCACATGATAATCATGTGACAGTGTTCCCTTCAATGTCAGTCTAACACACTCACTCACTAAGTATATAGATGAAACTGTTTGTCTCTCCACATGTGTTAGAAATCCCAGCAGTCGCTATGAAGTACTGGCTCTGAAGGTCCGCACTGTGCAGCCTATAGGATATGTATTGCTCCACTAGAGTCTTTATAGTCTGTATCTGACGCTGCTCTGGCTTTGTGTCTACAGAGTACAATGGATGCTATGCTGGAGAAGGCTGGTCTGCCGCGTGAAGACACACAAATGAAGGGACCGACTCAGGTATATACATGACATCTACTTGTGCTTCTCAATTTGCACAGACATTTTCCGTGTTTGTCAAAGTTTGCCCATTTTCCGAAGCACCGTGTCAGTGTCTTGTGTCCACAGGTGCACAACCTGCTGGAGCTAGTGAGGCAGGAGCAGATCATCTACAGCGTATGTTTCCACGAGGTCATCAGACAGGTAGGTGTACCTGAGCTAGTGAGTGTATAGTTGTGTACTCTGTGTGTGTGTGTGTGTGTGTCAGGTGAGTGTCCAGTGTGCAGAGAGGGGGGAGCTGCTGCAGGAGATCCGCAGCAGATACACACAGCTCCTCGACCGCATCCCCAGACAAGTCATGAGGTGATGACCACTAACCCACCGAGCACTCTAGCTAACCCTGCCTCTTGTTTAGTCTGCACGAAGACATGCTGTCCCAGAGAGCTCTGTGCAAGAGGATCTCTGCCGAATTCAGACAATTCAGATCCAAAATTGCATCAGTCACCGAGTGAGTGCTCACACTAGAGAAGATTGTATCGGTTTTTCTTCTCAAGAGGAGGGAGGAGAAATTGGTTCTTTGAGAGTATAGGGGGCAATTTCAGGAGGGGGATTTGCCCCCTTGACTCTCCGTCCTCCCGAGAAAAATCCCGCATACCCAACCTTTCTTTCTTTCACTCTGCTCTATGTATAGTCGACTGGGGAGGCTGAGGGAAATTGATACGCAAGTGGTGAAAGAGACACGCACTGCCCACAGAGATGTGAGTGCATGCACCAGCATAGTGTATTGTTGGTGCTTTCATAAGTGGCCCAAGTTCGTGCTGGTCATTTTGCACGATTGTCACATGAACAGGGCATGTTGTGAACTAATGTAAAATTTCCTGCAATATTGTGTGTTCAGCCCTCTCTCCCTCACTGCGTCGTTCCTCCCCTCAGCTCTTGTCTGCTCTCACAGAGTCTGAAAGGAACGGCAAGTAAGTGACCTCCCCGTCTAGCTAGCCCACCATCACCTGTATGTACACCAATAATGAGAGGATACATCTCTAGTCTGTTGAAGGAGTACCACGGAGTATACGAACTGCAGAGGAAAAGACTGCTGGAATCTGTTGGTAGGTGGTCCACATGATCGCAGGATATTTTTTAAATGGACAAGTTCATGGCATTTGTTGGTAGGGTATTAGATTCAATTGCTGATCAATTTTCCCAGGCGCGTAAGATTTTGCAATTCGGACACTTCTCAAATGCAAACCTTTTATCGCACACATTATTCAATGCTTACATCATGTGATGCAGGACTATGATAGGTAGTGGTAGTAGTGAAGTATAGTGTGTGGTGTGCTCTGTCACAGACAAAGTGAGACAGGAGAGGTGTCTGTGGGAGGGAGCTGCCTACAGTCTGGCTAAGGAGGTCATGAAGGAGGAGGGCACGCAGGAGCTGAGGACTCTGAGGAGACTACAGCTGTGGGAGAAGGCCTGGGCTCAGCAGGCCCGTCATTTCACCACTCTCCTCTGTCAGGCAGACATTAGACAGGTATATACTGTATCCACCACAATCCTTCCTAACACACACAATTATCACATTTCGTACTCTGTTTCCTACTCTGTTTCCTCCCATGAAATTTGTTCTCACAGAGTTTGTTTTGCTCCTCTTCAACAGCTGGGGGAGGTGGATGAGTGTGTGAGGAGGTGGAGGGAGGGAGTGATGAGTGAGAATGGGAGGCTGGAGGAGGTGGAGAGTGCCTTGAATGACAGGGTAAGTTGGGGAATCAAATAGAAGACTGACATTTATGTGTATGTAAGGAGGGAAGACTTTGTTTTAGTTTAGTGTATTGTTCCTATCCCCCTCCCACCTTGTTTTCCTCACTCCGTTTTTTCCCTCTTTTCTTTCCTCGACCCAACAGCTGTCAGAAGTGGAGGATGGTATGAAGAGATGGCGTGAGGAGCTAAGGTACATTGTGTAGGTCACACGCTATCCTCCCCTTTCTCCAATGCTCTCTCTCTCTCTCTCTCTCAATCAGTGGTGCTGATGGGAGGGTCATACCCCTGAGTCAAGGGAGGCTCCAGCAGCTGTGGGAGGAGCTGGGGGTGTGGCTTCGTGTCCTAAACTCAGAGTCAGACCAATACTCTGGCGAGACTCAACTGGCCAGGACGCAGGGACTCCTCACTCTCCACTCGCTGGTCTGTCTCTTTCATCAGCCTAACGATTCCTTGCTTTCGCTTTTTCACTCCTCAAATTTTGAGGAATTACCCTGCGATACTGCATGTCTATGGGTGCATGCACATGCAGAGTATCAGGCCACGAAAATCTGTTTTGGTTGCTTGAAACAACTGATTTTGTTGTGTAGAACACACAATGGTACGTTGTGCAGGTGGAGAGATGGACAGAGGTGGGACTGGAGGTCTTCTCCCGGCACCAGGAAATGAACCAGTATGACCGCGCCCCCTCCGACCACACCCACTCCCCGGAGCACGAAAGGATGCTGTCTCTGGGAGGAGAGGTGGAGCTGGCCATGAGACACTGCACTGCCAGGGCCTCTGGTGACAACGGTAACAACGTCACATGAACACACACACACACGATGTCTCTTTTCATAATTATATCGGTGGCTACTGTACTTGTCCTGCTGCCGGTCAGAGCTGCCCGGTTAGCTCAGTGGTAGAGCATCAGACTTTTAATCTGAGGGTCGTGGGTTCGACCCCCACACTGGGCGACTGCCGTTTTTTTTCTTTTCACTTTTTACTCACTTTTTCCAGGCGTGGCTGTCGGGTTTATTCGGCTTGTAACACCTCTTGAAACGTGGTAAGATCCTGTTCATCACAACATGCCTACTCTGCTCTACTCTGCTCTGTAGCAATAGGTCTCTGTTGTCCCTCCAGGGAGTCTAGGTTGGGTCAATGTGTTAGTGGCAAGACCAAACTGCCTGAATCTGACTGGATCAAGTAAGGCCGCACTGCCTGCATACGGCAAAACTTGTGCATTTTTCATGCACAGTATGTTAGGTTATGCTCTTATCGTCAGCACATCAGCTATCTCCATATATAGGCTGCAGTTGAGGAGAATAGAGAAAAGTTTTCGTGAAAACTATCTTGAAATTCCAGAAATTTTTTTTTCTGTCAATTCTCTTCCAACAGTCTGCGAAGTCTGTTGGGAGAGTGGTTGGAGCATCTGCAGAAGATCAGAGGATTCGTTGGAAAAGTCACTGACGAAGAGGGGCACACCCTGAAATGGTTAGGTCACCAGTTATGTAATTAGATGAGTTAATTAGAGGGTCTTACCCACAGCACTCCGATGAGAGAGCTGTCGGTCGCAGTGGAGAAATGGAGAGGTGCTCTCTCCCATGCCATCTTCAACAGACATACCAAGATAGTCAGTATGGTGGGTCACATGACTCAGGTGGGGTCATGTGATGATCACATGACCGTGCTACTGTTGTCAGGTGACAGACCTGCACTCTAGTCTGGTGTTGTGGATGGTTCGACTTCTGCTGACCTTCACACGTACAACGTGGGTCCAGCCAAGAACGCTGAGGGAGAGAGGAGGAGAGGGAGAAGAGGAAAGAGAGGAAAGAGAGGGAGAGGGGGAAGAGACGAGAGAGGAGACGAGAGAGAAGGAAGAGGACGAAGGAAAAGGTCTGGAGTTGGGGCTGGAGGGAGAGAAAGACAGCTGGGATCAAGGAATGGGTCTCTCTCAGCTCCTCGCAGTCGACCTGCAAGAAGAATACAAAACCTTGTCTTCGTCCATCAAAAAACTAACGACTTCCTTGACCAGGTGAATAAGTGTAATAAATGAGAGTGAAAAAATATCGCTGTGGACAGGATTCGAACCTGCGCAGGGAGACCCTAATGGATTTCAAGTCCATCGCCTTAACCACTCGGCCACCACAGCTGCTGTTGGTGGGCACCGACAAATGCATTAGCCTGAAATGGAATCTTATCCACACAAAAACTATTTAGCAGTATCGTCAAAGATAATGCCTCAATGCAGTGTGAATATCTAGCGTTTCAGATGCTAATTTTTTTCACGCACTTTTATAGACTAGGGACTTACTTGGGTTGAGAAGCAAGCCCACCTACCTACAGGCGTCCGAATTGCGTAGCTTGTGCATGCGACAACATCAGGTACAGTGGTTTTAAAATGTGCACATTCTGCTCTACTAGTAATTAGGCCTATGCGGATTATTCCTTGTTTTTGCCCTGTTACTCTGGAATAATTCGCCCAGGTTTACTAGTAATACTTTCACATATTGGCCACATGAAACTGTGTCTAAAACAGCTGTACTGTGTACTCCCTAGGAGTGTGGTTGTGGTGGTGGAGAGGGAGGTGGAGAGGAGGCGAAGAGGGGGAGACCCTCACTCAGACCTGGAGAAAGAACTGCTGGAGAGACTCGGGAAGGAGGCGGGGCAGTGGGCGGAGCAAGCAGAGCTCCTCATGACTCGGGTCTTGAAAGAGAACACAGAGAGACCACCAGTAACTGAGAGCTCTGCAAAGGTCAGGAAGTTCTCAAGGCTGGGCATCTTGTGTCCTTCTGGCGTGTATTATGCTATGTTGGTGTGGTCTATGTCGATGTGTGTGTGTGTTGATGTGTGTGTGTGTTTTGTGTTAAGAGGATCTGCTTCTTTCTCTCTTTCTACCTGGCCTAGTGTGCTATTGCTATTGTCATGATGTTCCAGGTGGAAGTGGGTGGAGATGAGCACAGTCTACAGCAGGAGATATTTGTGTTGGGGAGAGATCTCAATCTTCACTCTAGGTCTCTCATGGAGGTCGTGAGCAAGGCAAGCCACTCCCCCTCCTCCCCTCCCTCCACCTCCACTGTAACCATTCAACACCAGGTTCCTCGACCTCAGCGACCCTCTCTCGCAGAACTTGGTCTCCTCTCTGAATCAGGTACATACTCCAAATAAAGCACACCTTTGATCTTATAAGATGCGTCCCATCTAATTCATAGCCAATGGTATACACATTAAGTTCCTTTGTAGAGAGATGTCCTATTTTCGAAGGGTCCCTTTTCGCGGTTTTAATGTCTCATGGAATGACCTGTTAATAAAAGGAGGCCTCCACTCTTCTCTCTCTGTCTCTTCCAGACATGCCGCAGAGTAGTGGCTACCTGCCAGAAGACACCGAGAGACTGGCTCGACAACTGCACAAGGCACAGGCTGACCTAGAGTAAGGGACACCCGTACACACTGTATATACCAGTACACTTGGCACTATCGTGAGGACAATAATTATACACAGACAATCAGGTGTTCATTTAGTGGGGGCTTGATCAAATAGTCTCTCCCCTTGGAGTTCAGGTGCATACAAGCACAGTGAGTGCTTTGCCTCTTATTCACCACTGCCCCATTCACACACACACACACACGATCAATTTCCAAATGAGGGCCTGACACAATGGGTGTTCTGTATAGAGACTTGTTTTGTTGTTTTTCAAGAGAGCAGAAGAAGCTGACGGAGATGGAGAAACAGAGAGCTGAAGAAGCAGAGAGACAAGTGGAGAGTTCTCAAGTTCGCCTCTCGACACTCGAGAGCCAGCTACAGCAGACTGCGAGTGAGCTGCAGGAACTGAAGGGACAGCAAGCCGCAGCAAAGACAATCTCCCGGGGAGGGAAGGGAGGGGGGAAGAGAGCCAGAGGAGGGGGAGGAGGGGGAGGAGGGGGAGGAGGGGGGAGGCCTTCTTCTAAAAAGTAAACTGTATACTGAGCGTTGTTGTGTACGCAGGTGTATGTTGGAAAATTGAACTTCTGTTATTATTGGGAATTTCGTATTGACAAAGTGAATGACAGGTGAACCTGCACACAATAAAGTGTTTGTGAGTTGCGACTCTGGCATTGTATATTCTGGTGACAACATGAAATTGCAACAACAGTAAAATTGTGACTGAGGAGGGCTTGGCTGTGTCAGATATATGTTTGATAAAAAAAGAAAAACACAAAGGAATATACTTTTAGTTAGGTACAAAAAAATGTGAGATCAAAATGGCAATGACCAGGGTGCCTGGGGAAATACCTCACTTCCTGTCAATGAAATGATCAAGGGCATGTTGCAAGTCTCCACTCTCAAAGTTAGTCTTGTGGGTGCTTCTTCCGCAGTCAACAAAATAGGCTCTCTTACTCATGTAAGGGTTCCTTCTGCGAGCCTCTAGGGCTGTCTCGTACATCCTCTGGCCGAGGTGAAATGGTATGATGACATCGCTGTGTCCGTGAGCAATGAGGAGGGGGAAAGGGAAGCTTATCAGCCGCAACTCAGACTCAAATCTTTGGTGAAAGCTCTCCAGAACGAGGTAGCGGAAGACGCTCATGATAGGCCAGTAGGGAATTGCAAACGGATGGTTTGAGGCAGCGTCGACCATGGAAGTAAAGGGAGCATCTAGAACGACTCCTTTAGGGTATGTGTGTCTGCGTGCCCAGATCTCTTTGGCTAGGTAAGTGGCAGCTGCTGAGCCCAGGGAGTGTCCCCAGATGTACACCGGGCTGTGTGGGGAGTGAGATTGGATCCAGTCCCACTCGAGTAGCGCGTCCTCCATCATACCTCTCTCACTTGGGACGCACTGAGAGTCCCCGTAGCCCCTGTAATCAAAGGCAATCACGTGATAGCCTCGTCTGGTGAGCGACTGGTAGGCCTCTATCCTGTGCCTCGTCCCCCTTGTCCCGGTATTCCCGTGGAGATACAGCACTATGGGGGCACCGTCAGAGAGAGCGGAGATGTAGGCCTGACTCTCAGTAACGTTGTCCGGATAGGTGTCCGGTAAGATGTGCCAGGTGCTAACCGGACACCCGTCGTATTGCATCAGGTCGTAGTTCCTGGCGTTTCTGACGCCCAGCTCCGCCGGGTCGCTGAGGTTACCGAAGAAGGGTATTCTGACGTAGTGGAGGAAGATGAGGTGCGACTGGACCTCGGCACTGATTCGGAGCAACACCGCCACTGATACGTAGACGAGCACCAGTACCACACAGACCAGGGCCGCCACATTGCGCAGAGTCGCTATCTTTCTCTGTGGTCTTTTCTTGGCACCACCACCAGCTCTCCTAGTGATGGTGACGGTCTGCGTGGAAGATCCTCCCGTCGAACGCATCGCTCGTCGTCTCTGTCTCTTCTCTCGTGAAAACAGTTCTGGTAAAGGGCCAAGTTTGGAAATACTACGAATCACATGTCCGGTCGGTGTTTATACCCTACCGATGAACTTCACAACCCTGACACACCCCCTTTTCCCGCCGTGTTACATCATTCGTACTCTGAACTCTGCCACGGCCACGCCCACATAATGTTTTCCATTCCCATACCGCGACTGCTCGGAACTGAATAAAGACACTCCAACCGCGCACGTTGAGCTGCTGTTCGGCGGAACACTACAGACAAAGCTTCTTTTCTGTGAGAAAAACAGAACTGCAGGAGAAAGAGGGCTAGAGAACGAAAGATGTCCGGAGGAGGTGGAAATTCGTACGAGGGACTGGTCTCCAAAGCGGACGACCTAGCCGACCGTTTCCTGCGCAATTCGAAGCACTATCTCCCGCACCTCGCTCGACTGTGCCTCGTGTCCACCTTTCTGGAGGACGGCCTGCGCATGTGGTTCCAGTGGACGGAACAGAAAGACTACATCAACCTGACGTGGAGGTGTGGAGAGGTCAGTTACTGCTGAACACCCTTTGTCTTCCATTGTTGACCCTCTCAAATAGCTAAAGTTCTTCCATCCTTGACTTGACTATATACACCCCTCTCCTGTTGCAGTTCCTGGGCCACGCGTTTGTGGTGATCAACATGTTACTCCAGATCAATGGGTGCCTCATGATCCTCATCAGGAAATATGTCACCATTGCTGTGGGTATGCTATTTGGCATCATTCTTCTCCAGGTAATGCAGCTAACGGCGTCCCCTGTGTAATATCATGTGTAAGCATGTGTTTCTTGCTTTTTGACAGACTGTGACTTATACAGTGCTGTGGGACTTTCGTTTCTTCATGCGGTAAATATCTGTTTGCGTGTTTTAACGGTAAATTTCTTCTGTTTGTGTTTTTTTAGTCATAACATGATGTTTTGTGCCAGCTTAGCATTCCCCTCCCTCCCCCTTTTCCCCCCACAGTAACTTGGCTCTAGCAGGGGGCCTAGTTCTGCTGCTAGCTGAAGCCAACACGGAGGTGAAGACGATGTTTGCTGGAGTCCCGAGCATGGGCGGAAACCAGAAACAGAGCTATCTCCAGCTCGCCGGCCGCGTTCTCGTCATCTTCATGTTCCTAACGCTCTTCAGCCTCGAGCTGTCCGTTTTCCGACTAGTTGAGCTGCTGATCGGGTCCGTACTGGTCGTTTGTGTGGGCGTCGGCTACAAGACAAAGCTCTCGGCGCTCGTCCTAGTTGCCTGGCTCACTATCACTAACTTCCTTCTGAACCCCTTCTGGCTCGTGCCCCACAACCGCATCATGCGTGACTTCATGAAGTACGACTTTTTCCAGACCTTCTCTGTGATTGGGGGGCTGCTGTTTGTGGTGGCTCTGGGGCCCGGCGGAGTGAGTGTGGACGAGCACAAGAAGGAATGGTGAAAACTGGATAGATTTTCCTTTTCGTAGGCATGATCATAGGAATACAAATCACATTCATCTTTTATTGAAACAATTTTTGGTTGATTTCTGATTCTCTGCTGCGTTTTTCGAACGTGGACCAATGGAATTGCAGCACGTCGGACCAACGTATGCGCATGCGCGCCTGAAGGCGCATGAGGTGAACTTCGACCCATTGTCACATGCTCAAACTCGCATAACTTACCATAAACGCGAACGACCTCCGATCGTGTGGAGGAAACGAGAAAGAGAATGCGACGGACGTGGAAGCTGGTGTTCTTGTCTCTGCTGGCGGTGGGGGTCGGCGTGGTGTGGCGGAGCGAGCCGGCAAGAGCCCAGCTCTTCCGTGAACTGAACAACACGAGAGAATTCTTCAACGATCTAGCAGAGGGTCGCGAGCCATGGCAGGTAAGCCTGCGATTCAGTTTTATGGTAGGGGAAGTGTGGTGTATCAATATAAAGATGGCCACGAGTACGGAACTTCGGTCACTGTTCTCTCTCTCTCTCTCTGTCTGGTCTGCAGGTGATGTGTGTAGCGGCAGGAGTGACGCTAATGGCGGCGAGTCTGGTCTCGTGGATATTCCAAGACGACGTCGACTCTCTCGGAACTCGAATCAAAAAGACAATCTTTCACTGGGTTCGCAAGATTCCGTTCGTGAAAGTCAAAGTTAAGGAGGAGATGGAAAAAGCGAAGGAAGGGTTGGGGAAGAGCTTTATGAAGGAGATCCGCGGCGAGGTCGTTAGGGCGGAGCTCCCAGCAGAGGGCGTGGCTAGGGCGGAGTTACTCGGGGAGCTGGATTCCTTGGGGAAGGATGGAGAGAAGGACTGGGGGAAAGGGGGTGTGTCTGGCGGATTGTACAACTGCAGCGAGGATCTAACGGACCTCAACACAGAGGTGTATCGGAGGTTTCTCTGGTCGAATCCACTCCATCCCGCCGTCTTTCCCAACATCCGGAAGATGGAGGCCGAGGTGGTGAGGTGGTGTTGCCGTCTGTTCAACGGAGGGGCGGAGTCTTGCGGGACAATGACTTCGGGCGGGACAGAGAGCATCATGCTGGCTATGAGGGTTTACCGAGATATTGGATACGAACGAGGGATAAAATTCCCCGAGATCATGATCCCACTCACGGCACACGCTGCGTTCACGAAGGCAGCGGATTACTACCGAATGAAAGTCACTCGTGTTAAGATGGATCCTCTCACCTGCCAGGTCGACGTGGGCGCCATGGAGCGTGCGATATCCAATAACACGGTCGTTGTTGTGGGGTCTGTCCCTCCGTTTCCCCACGGGGTTGCGGACCCGATACAGGAGATTGCGAGAGTTGCTAGGAAACACGGAGTGGGTCTTCACGTGGACTGCTGTCTGGGAGGATTCCTGGCAGTCTTCATGGAGAAGGCAGGTTTTCCTATCGATCCCTTCGACTTTAGAGTCGATGGAGTCACCAGCATTTCCGCGGACACGCACAAATACGGCTACTGTCCAAAGGGAACGTCAGTTGTTCTGTATGCCAACCAGGAGCTCCGTCACCGCCAGTACTTTGTGGAGACCAACTGGCCCGGGGGGTTGTACGCATCGGCAATCACCGCGGGGAGTAGGCCGGGGAGCCTCATTGCTGCCACCTGGGCCACGATGCTCCATTTCGGGGTGGACGGCTACGTGGAGCTGACAAAGAAAGTGGTCGATACGACTCGCTGGATCGTGAGCCAGTTACGTAACATCCCCGGGATCCATGTCATGGGAAACCCTACGATGTCAGTGTTTGCAATAATTGGCTCCGAGGAAATCAACATCTATCATTTGAACGACGCGATGGCAAAGAGGGGGTGGTCCCTTAATGCACTCCAATTGCCGCCCGCCCTCCACATGTGTGTTACCGTGGTAACCACAAAGGAGGGCGTGGCCGAGAAGTTTGTCTCGGACGTGAAGGAGTGTGTAGTGAAGTTGAGGAAAGAGCCTGGCAGTTCAACGGAGGGATCGGCCTTCATGTACGGTGCATCGCAGGCTGTCGTGGATCGCCGCATTGTCGCGGAAATGGCATGGATTTTTCTTGATCTTTGTTACACATCTAAATAGTACAATACTACTACATTGTAGTATAATGATGTGTTGCAGTATAAACTGGAGTTTGTAGTGTATTAGGTAAACTAAAGTAAGCTTCCAGAATACACTCGTGTATTGGTTTGGTTCACAATTATGTTGACTGTGTGTACAATTCTCTGATTTTACACATTTTTCTGATGCAATATATTTGTCATATTCATGAGGATAAGAATGACGGACGGTTAAAATTCATAAGCACACGGATTGACACAATGAGACCAGACCAGCAAAATTATTTGGGGAAGTTATCAAAAATTTGGAAGACGACCAGTGTCGGTGTTCAAAATTGTGAGGTTAGTGACATTCGACAGTTACAGTGATGGTATTAGGTGTGGAGGGGAGTGTGGGGGGAGAGGAGGTGGGAGGGGAGGAGGAGGAGGAGAATCTGGGAGGTGTGGAGGAGGGGAGGGTGGGGAGGGAGGGGTGTTGGACGCCGGAGTCAGTGTCTTCTTGGTCAGAGAGGAGATGGAGGGACATAGAAGGGTGCGAGATGTTGTGGACTGGACGATGGTGAGGTCTTAGAGTAAGTCTGGACAGAGAGAGAGAGAGAGTTCGGTATTGCTGCTGGAGGTTCCTTTCTCAAGAGGTTCAGTACTATATATATACACCCAGTAAAGTACAACAGAGACTATAGTCACTGCTCACAGCACATCTCCCTCCTGAAGTTGCGTCTTGGGAGGAGGGTTGGCCAGGACGAAGGACTGTGTCTGGGGCAAGTCGACATTTCTCCAGCAGCACCTCCAGCTCCTTGTCCACCGCCTCTCCCATCATCTCCAGACGAGACCGCAGGTAGGCAGAGTAGCGGGCCTCCGAGTCCTCCGACCTCTCAGCGTAGTACTTCTGTGGTGGGGGAGGAGAGAGGGCGGGTATAACTCACAAGTTTGCCGTGCATTTGGGTGCATGCACCACGCATGAGAACAAATATTAGGAGACGATAACCAGTTTTGCTTATTAAGAAGTGGGAAACTATGGAGAAGCTATACAGCCTACTATAATAAGAGGGCCGACCAGCTAGAGAATAGCTAGGGAAGTGTTGAATGCTGTATACATGTCTAAAGCCCAGCATACACAGTCCCACTTCATGTAGCAGGAAATAAAGTTGTGCAGCGTGCATCGAGAAAGAAAGTGATATGAGACAAGTTGCATGGAACAGACAATTCTATTTAAGTTGCACGAGTGCTTCACGTAACGTCCGCCCAGCATACATGACGAACAGACCTGGAAGACTGGGCAAGAGGGGAGGGGAACGGTGCGGTATAGACCGAGGGGGACACAGTGATGGACCGTTACAACCTTCTGGAACAATCTGTCGTACGTCTGCATCTGCAACAGCTCCTCGCTGATCTCCAACTGAGGAGAATGAGGGAGGGAAGGAGAGGTGTTTGGACATTGCCTTACTTGAATTCTGAACAGAAAAAAGCCAACTTTGTGTTGGGGTTTTGTTGATGGCTTAAAATATTTTCTTAAAATCTCCAATTGGTTATACTCCCACTTAGTTACATATCTAGGCATTTTAGCAAAAAATGAAAGACTACACTCTATGATAACTACTTTTCTGGAAGTGAAATGTCAGAGAAAGAGGCGTGGCACCTTCCAGAGGTAGGCGGAGTCGTCGGCCTGCTGACAGCCAAGCAGCTGTCTCACGAGGTCGACGATGTAAGGTTTGAAGTGGCTCTGATAGAGCATTGTGTCCAGCATACTGGCACAGAACGTCCGTCCTCCGGCAAACTGGGGCTGGAACAGGTAGGAGAGGTGGTCCGCCCTGTTTGACTGGGGGAGGGAGGAGGAGATGCCTTCAGTTTCATAATTATATGTAAGTTTAACACTAGATGGTTCGCCTGTTGCTCTGCGTGCATGGTCGATGGACAAAGTGCAAAGTGCACTAGGCGAAAGAATCTTATAATAGCTGAGGCTTTTGAAGCCTCTAATAAATGTATCAACTTCATCATTTCCAGGATTGGATAAATAAGTTTGTGAAGACACGTCGCGTTTCACCTCCACAGTACAATATGTATGTACATTATTGTATTGGGGCATTTGAGAGTAGCTCAAAAGTAGTCTGTATAATGCGACAAGGGGACGCAGTTTGTCTGAGGAGACAAGGGGGACGCAGTTTGTCTGAGGCGACAAGGGGGACGCAATGAATTTTGCTGAACCAAAGTCTAACACTCACCCCTCCGTACATGACGTAGTTGTCAGGCTGCAGGAACTTCATGTTGTAGCGATAGTGGAGCTCTGTCATCACATTCACGTGAGGAAACAGTCTGTGGGGACAGGGAGTGGCTAGTAATCTTCAGTATTGTGGCTAGTATCTTCAGTATTCTTAGCAGTCTGACTATAGTCATCTCAGTATTGTGGTTAGTAATCTTCAGTATTCTTAGCTCTGACTAGTACTCTTCACTGACTAGTAATCTTACCTAGTCTACTGGCATGTTGTGACTGTGGACAAACAGTCATAGATTTAGAAAACACAACGAATATGACGCCCTTGAAAGCCCATAATCTGAACACAGAGGCAATACATCCATGGCAAGGTCTTGCAGTGCAGGAAAAACACACGAGCATTGAACTACCAGCAGCTATTAAAATTTCAAAGGCCTGAATAACCCAGTTATAGAGCACTGACTTGCTGATCTTCTGAGCGGCCATGATGTGAGCTGCGTCGACCATATGTTCCTCGTCATGTGGGGGTCTCCTGCCCCCGGTGATGATGACGTACTCAGTGACAGAGGACGCCCGCTCTCAGCCAGGTGTCCAGGTCGCACACCTGGCCCTGCATGTAGTGGACCATCGGGAGGGAGGATATCAGGTCCAGGAAACGTGGGGGACGGGCTGTGTGTGGGGGGGAAGGATTTGTGCTTTTTCACTTGCAAAGTTTAGGCCACCCTATTTACTCTTGAAGACTATATATTTGCACTGAAATCCCAAGCTATAGTCAAGGTATCCACGATTATTGGTTTGTTTGCCTTCCACCAGCTTGCTTCCTCCTTAAAATATTATGCCACAATTTTTTTATGCAAGAGACAAACGTAAGTCCCCTGATCCACTACAGTGGAGCCCCTCTCTGAGGACACCTCTGAAACGAGGACACCCCTCTCTGAGGACACCTCTGAAACGAGGACACCCCTCTCTGAGGACACCTCTGAAACGAGGACACCCCTCTCTGAGGACACCTCTGAAACGAGGACACCCCTCTCTGAGGACACCTCTGAAACGAGGACACCCCTCTCTGAGGACACCTCTGAAACGAGGACACACCTCTCTGAGGACACCTCTGAAACGAGGACACCCCTCTAAGGACACCTCTGAAACGAGACAACCCCTGTATTCTTTACCAAATCCCTGAAGTAAGGGACACCTCACTAATATGGACACTTTCTTCTGCACCTTGGTGTTCAGATCCACTGTTACCACTTACTCTTTTTCCAGCAACAGTAGAATATGTCTCACTCTGCAGTGTGGAGATAGTGAGCTCTCAGTGGTAGGATCAGATTATACAGTTCCTCCGTCCCTTCCTCACTGTACACGATGACTCCGCCCCTTTTCCACCGATGAGACACGCCCACTCTCTCCTCCAGAACACAATCCGGTTCCTCCGAGGGCTGTGAGTTGTCGTGTGAGTATCATGTGAGGATCATGTGACTATGGATTACCTCGTTGTCAATGTGTAACGTGTGGTGCGGTCTTTGCTCGGGGAGGAGGTGAAACCGCTCGAAAGCCACACCCACAATACGGCACTCTCGGCAGGCACCCTTTGACGAACCTGTGGGTGGAGTCGGGGGTGTGGCTTCAATACACAACACACTCTAGTATACCTACAGTTCAACCTCTGAATAGACGTCGAAACTCTCTCTTATTTGGAGGTAGACGTGAATAAGGGACACCTTTGGGACATTGAAACTGTCCCTTATTTGGAGGTAGACGTGAATAAGGGACACCTTTGGGACATTGAAACTGTCCCTTATTTGGAGGTAGACGTGAATAAGGGACACCTTTGGGACATTGAAACTGTCCCTTATTTGGAGGTAGACGTGAATAAGGGACACCTTTGGGACATTGAAACTGTCCCTTATTTGGAGGTAGACGTGAATAAGGGACACCTTTGGGACATTGAAAGTGTCCCTTATTTGGAGGTAGACGTGAATAAGGGACACCTTTGGGACATTGAAACTGTCCCTTATTTGGAGGTAGACGTGAATAGGGACAAACCTTTGGGACATTGAAACTGTCCCTTATTTGGAGGTAGACGTGAATAAGGGACACCTTTGGGACATTGAAACTGTCCCTTATTTGGAGGTAGACGTGAATAAGGGACACCTTTGGGACATTGAAACTGTCCCTTATTTGGAGGTAGACGTGAATAAGGGACACCTTTGGGACATTGAAAGTGTCCCTTATTTGGAGGTAGACGTATAAGGGACACCTTTGGGACATTGAAAGTGTCCCTTATTTGGAGGCGTCCTTAACTCAGAGGTAGTATAATACACTAATGTATTATGTAGTATGGGGAAAAACAAAGTATATATCTGTAATGGACTATAGTATATATGAGGAATAAACGTTCTGCAGATGGTCCTTTATCAAAGAAGTGAGGACTGATTTTTCCTCACTTGTGACTGGTGCATGGTGGGGTAGGGGTCAGAGGTCGTTTTGTGGAGTTTGGGGGTACGACGTTGACTTCGTCTTCACTCTCCTCCTCCTCCTCGTCTCCCCCGCACTTCCCGTCCTCCAGCTGCTCCAGCTCCCTCTCCTCCTCCACATCCTCCAGATCCAGTATCACCTGTTCTCAGAGGTTCAGAGAGAGGGAGAAGATAGAGACGTCGACCACTTTTTATAGGCCGCTAAAATTCTGGTAACTAAATATTAGAGGGGTTCCACTGTATTAAGCAATTGCTTAAGGTTTGGAATGAGGTTGTAAATGTAATGAAGGGAACAAACGAGTTCAGCTATAAAACTAGACTCACAACTCACCTCCTCAGATCCTCCAAAGTCAACAACGGCACCAACAGACGGACGATGAGCATTCCACGAACTCATCCGTCGAATGACCTTTGCCAGCGGTGGGAACAGGTGGGCGTGGCTGTCGACTCGACTCAGGTTGTCGCCCTTTGACCCCACGAGGGAGAGCTGACTGCTGTACATGATCCCCTTGTTCTTGGTGGGGGATTCGGCCATTATCTCCGCCATGATGCCCGACAGACTGCTCTCACTCACCGAGCGACGCAGACTCCGCCTCCTCGGACGACTAGTGGGCGGAGTCACAAGAATATGGGTGGGCGGAGTCACTAGAATCGGATTAAGTGGCGGTTTTAACCCTCCGTGTCCCTCTTCAACGAGTCTCATGTCGTCGTGTTTCAGAGGTCGAAGGTCGAATGTGCTCCCCTGTTCCTCCGGAGTAGGGATTGGAGTTGTGTTACAGAAATGGACCTTCACCACGGGGTTGGCGTGACAGTCCATGTTGGAGTGGAAGCGGAGTAATTTTAACCCTCTTTTCACTATCGAATACATGGCGTCAGAGGAAGGTAAGTCAGATGTCGAGGGGTCCTGTGATATCAGACAGCTGGACGGAGGCTCCATCCCCTCATCCTCGCTGGCTCCGCCCAGCTGGAACCGGACTGCGGAATGAGACACACACGACAGCACTTTCTCCATTTCTGACTTCTCCTCTCTCTCCTCTTCCTCCTCTTCCTCCTCTTCTTCCTCCACGTACCCTCCATCAATACTCTCCTTCTCTCCCTCCTCCCCAGCGGGAGACTCCGCCCCAGGCTCCACCCCCAACTGCTCGGCGTTAATCCCCGCGATCGATATCGCTAGGAGACCGACATTGGCGCACATCTGCCAGATGGCCGTACGAACGGCAGAGGGCGGAGTCTCGCGAACCTTGCTGTACTCTTCGCGGGTGAAGCCAATGTAGTAACAGACGTCGTCCTCCTCCAGAATATAGTGGAGTCCGGGGTTGAGCAGGATTTCTCGCGAATCTCTCCGTTTCACTCCAAGTAGAGTGACCTGGTACCTGTATTATCAGGACAGTATATAGCAGGACAAGATTAGAATAGCAGGACAAGTAGAGTCACCTGGTACCTGGGACAGATTAGCAGGATAAGATAACAGGACAAGATTAGCAGGATAAGATAACAGGACAAGATTAGCAGATTGTAGCAGGACAGAATAAGACAAGATAACAGGACAAGAATAGCAGGACAGGACACTTCACACAATCACCAATTCTCTCTCTCTCTCTCTCTCTCTCTCCTCTCGTGTCACCCTAACCTTCTGTAGGCCACGACGCTGGCGTAGAGGAAGTTCTTCCCGATGAAAAGTGGAAGTATTTGCTGTCACCGACACGAGAATCATACACCTCACATGACGAGCACATGTCATAGAGACGGTAGTCCGGGCTGGAGAGGTCGTGCCGCCTACAACAAATGACATCATCACAAGCTCTCCCCATACATTGTGATGGGAAACAATGATGTAATCTCACTAGGTTTTACGAATGACATCATCAAAAATTATCCCCATACATTGTGATGGGAAGTGACGATGTAATGATGGTGTAAATGACACCATCACCAACCACCCCCATACAATGTGATGGGAAGTGACAATGTAATGATGATGTAATCTCACTCTGTTTTGAAGGTGTGTAGGAGGAGAGTGACGAGGTGGAAATGCCAGGACAGTTCACGTGGTTCGCCATTAGAGCTAGCTTCACCTCTGCTTCACACATTACCTGCGGCAGAAAGCAGAGAATGTCTCAGCAGATCGGGAACTTGCTGGTCAGAATAACTACACACTACACATAATATTACGCTGCGCATGTAGTGCTAATTATGGCGGTGCAGACATATACCTTATTGCGTAAATAAATAGACTCAACCTTAGAATATATGTGTATTGATGTATGTGGATGTACCTGGTCTGTGAGGTCAAGGTGCATGCGTGTATGTATGTATGTATGTATGTACCTGGTCTGCGAGGTCAAGGTGCATGCGTGTCTCTGGCTTCAGAATGTGGACGTACAGTTTGCAGTCGGGGGCAAAGTTCTTTACCGACCACGCACTTATCACTGTGTGTTGGTCCTGAGAGGGAGGGAGGGGAGGAGGGAGGGAGGGAGGGAGGGGGAGGAGGGAGGGAGGAGGGGGGAGCGAGCCAAGGATTATATATACAAGAAGAAATATAAAGATTAGAAAGAGGGAGTAAAGTATTGAGAGAGAAAGTTTGTATTTTTGCAGGAATAAGAATGTCAAACTACACAATAAACTGTCCCTTTTCACTAGTCCCATTCTCACCTCATGCCCCTACTATCTTAAACCCCCTCCCCCCCCCCTAAAAACAACGCGGAGATGGTGAAGAGTGGCTCACGGCAGTCTCGGGGTCTGGTCCGGAGCGAGAGGTGTGAATGAAGCATGCAATGGCGCTTTCTGCACGAGCCCGGGCCAGATCAGTCCGTCTCATCGGAGACCCGATGAGGATGGTGATCCTCGACGACCAGACCGGGTGACTCAGGTACACCTGCATACGTGGACACAGAACGGAAATAGTAGATGTTTGCTTTAGCTGCCCTGGGGCACTATAAGAATTTTCAATTTAAGTATTGCAGCAGCCTTTGATAATTTCACTGGTCGCTACTGCGATCTGAAAATTGCAGTGCGTTTTACAAACGAGTAAGATATGTATTACTCCTTACTCACTTCTAACCTATTACTGCCGCCTATAGGGGTGCAATGAGAATCGAAGACTCGTGGATAAATAGTAACTTCACGCTCTCTCGCGGGCGACGAGGTCGCCAGACGCGTGTCCTTCTCCGATTTTGTGTCAAATATAAGGATGTCACAGAGTCACATCACTAGTAGAACCTGCTGAAATCCATCAAATAAATTCGGTGAATAACTTGTTATAGTAGCGGTACTCTTCCTAACCCCCTCTCTTTAACCGTACCCCTCTTCCCCCTACTTGCGTTATCTGCTGCATGATGGATTATATGACAGGAGATAAAGTCTTCCGCCGGCACCTGACAGTCATTTCCACGACACGCAATGCATGTCCTAAACCAGGAACGCTAATGTTAGTGACCCTCGACACACTCCATCATTAACTATAGATAGGTGGTAACGTCCGTCTGACTAAGGGACGCATGATACAGGAAAAGACCATCCATAGCTCAATCGGTGAAGACGGAGGGTTGCGCACGTCTAAAGTTTGTCTGGTCAAAAAGTCTGATACGGGGATTACTCCATATCCATTAGCTCTTACGATGACCAGAATATGGTCTCAAACCTCCAAAGAGACAGGACAACCTCCCTGTAAAGGAGAAACTGCTGACCGGGCCCAACACGTCCTTATTCTAGGCGAGGGGCTCCACAGCACAGGTGTTAATGACATTATTATCAAGCACTTTTATGTTTCCACCGCTTACCAAGTGCTATTTATAGTGACATCAGAGTGGCAGTAACACAACTCTGTCGTGACGAGACATCATGGCAAGCATGAAGGGTGTCCATCCATGGCCGGCGTTTAGTTTTAAGTGGTCCCGGTGTGGTTGTAACGATGAGGATGACGTGTCTCCATTTTGAGACTTGTCGGGTAGTTGAGCAGAGTCAAATGTTGAGCCAACCAGTTTTGCCGCTTGAAGCTGGAATATGGATGTGGTTAGAGGTGCATACACTATTCGTCGATGGGCACGTGGGCGCAAGGTTACTATGACGATGAAACCGAGGATGATGAAGAGCATCACGAGCACGATTTTCCCCCCGCGTGTGGTAGTTGGTTTGTGGTAGAGATTGTCGTCTTCCTTAGCCCACCTCTGCGCCCTGAAGGAGTATCTTTCGTCTTCCTTTGGGACTGTGGCCGACTCAAACGAACCATGTATCAGTCCGAGAAAGGTCTGTCGAAGAAGTGAGCTGACTTGTTTGGCGATTCGACCACTCTGCCCGAGACCCGGTGTGAGGCAGCGTCCATCGATTCCCCTCCGTGTTCAGCACGAGGACTGGCGGGGTGAGGCGAGGTGGATTGGGTTCTTCTATGGGGCGTTAAGGACTGGGGGTGTGTTCCTACTCGATCATCTTGGGCTAGTTGGAATTTTGAACTGCGGGCTGTCGCTTCGGTCACAACTACAAAATCGCGTTTGGGATAGGTGTGTACAAATCGTTCCCAAACGGTCAGTTTTCCCGTTTTCCCTTCGTGTCATCCCGCGGTAATCCTTTGCCGCAGTCATCTCTTTTTTTGCGGACTTTATAAGCCTTTTTTTGACAAATTCGACTCTGGAGGGTTGGCTTGTTGTATGTGCAATTTCGAGCCATGATCCGACTAATGCCTTATTGGTGTTCTACTATACTGCTGTAACCGTTTGCTGCCGATGAGACTGGCTCTGGATCGCGCTGATTGCAGGGCGGCTTTGAAAATAATTCCAATTTGTCGGTTTTGCGGGCGCGATTGGCTGCTTTTGAAGCAAAAATTCCCCAGGCGGGCGCGTTGGAAGCATCCGCTTTTTGCGTTTTTGAGGTAAGCATTTCCCGCGTTGACGACTAACTTCAATTTTAGCATTACGGTTAGAAGTCCATATAGGCCGCTTATTTTTTCATCCTATTGCTTTGAGTTTGGCCTTATGCGTAGGTTCCCATGGCTTCTTCTAACGTTTTGTTTGATGACTGAGCTTTCCCAATTTTCCCAACCCGCTTATATCTCTTATCTCTCCTGCCCTACCTCCCCGTTTATTTCACCCTCCAGCTTGCCTTGTTTACATTAAAGCAAGTTCGTTTGTTTGATTTTCTGCCCCTCTCCTTTTGTACCCTATTATATCCCCCCTGGGTCTTTAGGTTCCTGCCTAACCTATATTTTTTCTCGCGACGTAGTAGTTGCTTATCCTTTTCCCCGCTCCTTAAGAGGAAGACCGGGGTCGCCACACTACCCTATCCCCTCTCGTGCTTTACTTTTGTTTTGCAAGTCTGGTTCGCATTGCCCGCACGAAATACTCCCTTCATGGTAAAGTGAAGGCGGTTGCTTGTGATCTTTCTACTCATGAGTGATGTCATGTTATTTGTATTCTTTTCGTTTTTGTTATAAAATAACATAGAAACCGCTCCTAGGTTATTTCCGTCATGTCGGCAACTTGACACGCGTTTGGATGATTTGTTCGTGTTCGGGCTGAAAAACAATGGCAGCGGTAGACTCGCGTGTGCGTTAGAATCTTGTGAAAATCGGCCTGTGCAAAGTCCTCTGGGTACGCCGCCAGATACTATTGATCTTTCGGGCGTGCCCATGACGGTTGATGCTTTGCAGGCGCAGGTCGATGAAGCACATCCGTCCCTGATGCGAGTGAGCAATCGGATTATGATTTGCAGGGGCGCAGGTTGATGTCGCACGTCAGCGAAATCTTTGGCCGGATATGACGGTGAATTTGGGGTATCGCCAACGCGTATTTACGCCCAATGATCCGCTGGTGAAAGGAAGCGATTTTATATCTGTTGGTATCGGCATTCCGCTGCCCGTGTTTGGCGGGCGCAAGCAACGCCAGCAGATTGCAGAAGCGCGGGCCAATATGCGAGAGGCTGAGGCGCAAAAGGCCGCTGAACGCCAACAGATTTACTACGAGATTCAGCGTCTAATTATTCAGGCCAGGCAACACCGGGAAAGTGCCGAGTTGTTTCGCACTGCGATGTTGCCTCAAGCAGAGCATTCGCTGGCGTCGGCGTTGTCGGGGTATCGGGTGGATAAGGTGGATTTTCTGACTTTGTTGAACAATCAGATGACGCTGTTGAATTTTGAGATCGCATATTATCGACATGTGATTGAGCATGAAAAGCGGGTGGCAGATTTGGAGGCGGCGGTGGGACATTAGATGCGAGGTAGGGGCAGGCTCTGTGCCTGTCCGTCTAAAAAGGAGTTGAGACATGAAATATTTCCTTCCAATTTTAGTATTGATCGCGGGATTGATCACGGGATTTGTTGGCGGGGTCTGGATTTCGGGAGATGCGCATATAGAGCCGGTGCAGGCGTTGAAAACATATATCTGTCCAATGCATCCGACGGTGGTATCGGACAAGCCGGGCAGTTGTCCTATTTGTGGTATGGATCTGGTGGAGAAGGAGGCTGATGCGTCGTCCGCACAAAATGGAAATGTGCAGATAGATCCCACGACGATTCAGAATATTGGGGTGAAGACAATGGTGGTGGAAAAGCAGCCTTTGAGGCGCACGGTGCGTGCAGTTGGCAGGGTAGATTATGACGAGACGCGAATTATGGATGTGAATAGCAAGATCGCCGGGTGGGTTGAGCAATTATATGTGGATTATACCGGTCAGTGGGTGGAAAAGGGGCAGCCTTTGCTCGCGCTTTATAGTCCGGAACTGGTCGCGGCACAGGAGGAGTATTTGACGGCTCTGGATTATGCGGAGAGAATGCGCGATGGTGTGACTCGAGATGTGGCTCAAAGTGCCGATGATCTGCTCGCTGCTGCGCGGCAAAGATTGTTGTATTGGGATATTTCGGCGGGTCAAATTGCGGAGTTGACAAAGACGCGACAGGTTGGGCGGACAATGCCTATTCTGGCCCCCCGGTCGGGTATTGTGACGCACAAAGATGTGCTGGAAGGCGCGCATATCGGGTCGGGTCAACATCTGTATCGCATTGCGGATCTGTCGATGGTGTGGATTTATGCAGATGTGTATGAATACGAGATGCCGTGGATTTCCAAAGGGCAGCGCGCAGAGGTGTCACTATCTTATTTGCCGGGCGAGCAATTTGAAGGCAAAGTGGACTATATTTTTCCGTTTATGAATAAAAAGACGCGTACGGTTCAGGTGCGGATGGTTTTTGACAATGCAGACGGCGCGCTTAAACCCGATATGTATGCCGATGTGGTGATTCGTCCAGAGGTGGCAGGTAAAGGCGTTGTGATACCGGCTCAGGCTGTGATCCATTCGGGGACGCGCAGGGTTGTTGTGATAGCCCAGGGAGACGGCAGGTTTGAACCGCGCGAGATTCGCATCGGGGTCGAGACTGAGGATGGCTATGAGGTGTTGCACGGGCTAAATCCGGGGGAAGAGATTGTGACTTCGGCGCAATTTTTGATTGATTCGGAGAGCAATTTGAAGGCTGCACTGGCGGGGATGAGTGGGGATGTGGGGGGGCATGGTGGACATTGAAGCGCGCATTTTAACGGAGCTATAACGCGATGTTAAATCGAATTATTGAAGCGAGTGTGAAGAATCGATTTCTGGTGGTGATTGCCACTTTGATGGTGATTGGATGGGGGGTGTACGCGATGCTGAATACACCACTGGATGCGATTCCCGATTTGTCGGATGTACAGGTGATCGTGTTTAGCGAATATCCGGGGCAGGCGCCGCAGGTGGTGGAAGATCAGGTGACGTATCCGCTGACGACGGCGATGTTGTCTGTGCCCTATGCAAAGACAGTGCGGGGTTATTCGTTTTTTGGCATTTCTTATGTGTATGTGATTTTTGAAGATGGAACGGATATATACTGGGCGCGCAGTCGCGTGTTGGAATATCTCAATTCCGCGTCTGATCGATTGCCACAGGGGGTGACCCCAAAGCTGGGGCCGGATGCGACGGGGGTGGGCTGGGTCTATCAATATACGGTTTTGGATACGACTGGAAGACATGATCTTTCAGAATTGCGGTCGATTCAGGATTGGTATTTGCGATATGAGTTGAGCAGTGTGCAGGGCGTGTCGGAAGTGGCGTCTATAGGTGGGTTTGTGAAGCAGTATCAGGTGGTTGTGGATCCCAATCGTTTGCTGGCATACAATATTCCCTTACAGAAGATTCGGACAGCGATTCAGCGCAGCAATAACGATGTGGGGGGGCGACTGGTCGAATTGGCAGAGACGGAATTTATGGTGCGCGGGTTGGGGTATATCCAATCTGTGGCGGATATTGAGCAGATTGCCCTGGGCGTGGGTGAACACGGTACGCCGATTCGCATCAAAGATGTTGCGACTGTGCAGGTGGGGCCAGAACTCAGAAGGGGATTGGCCGAGTGGAATGGCGAGGGGGAGGTGGTGGGGGGTATTGTGGTGATGCGGTATGGGGAAAACGCGCTCAAAGTTATTGATCGGGTGAAAGAGAAGATAGCGTCGCTCAAACCCGGTCTTCCCGAAGGTGTGGTGGTGATCGCCAATTACGATCGCTCGGCACTTATCTTGCGCGCGGTTGATCATTTAGAAAAAAAGTTGATTGAAGAGATCGCGGTGGTGGCTGTGGTGTGTATCGTTTTCTTGCTCCATTTCCGCAGTGCTTTTGTGGCTGTTTTCACATTGCCGATGGGGATTTTAATTGCGTTTGCCGCGATGCATCACCAGGGTGTCAATTCGAATATTATGTCTCTTGGCGGTATTGCTATTGCCATTGGAGCGATGGTGGATGCAGCTATTGTGATGATCGAAAATGCACACAAGCATCTCGAACGCGATGACGGGACAAAGTCGCATAGTGAGATGATCATTGCCGCTTCGAAAGAGGTGGGACCTGCGTTGTTTTTTTCGCTGTTGATTATTACGCTGTCGTTTTTGCCGATTTTTACGCTGGAGGCACAGGAAGGGCGGTTGTTTAAGCCGCTCGCATATACCAAAACTTATGCTATGGCAGCGGCGGCATTTTTGGCGATTACGGTTGTGCCGGTGCTGATGACTTTTTTCGTGCGCGGCAAAATTCGGCCTGAGTCGGAGAATCCCATCAGTCGCGTGTTGATGTATCTGTATCGACCCGTGATTGATTGGGTGTTGCGACATCGGGTGATGACTGTGATGTTGGGTGGGCTGGTGTTGTTTGTGACTGTGTTTCCCTTTCGCGATATGGTGGTGTCGCGTTTTTCAGATCGACCGCAGAGTTTGACTTATAAGGCACTGGTGAAATTGGACGCGTTGTTTCCAATGGAAAAAATTGGATCGGAATTTATGCCGCCCCTGTACGAGGGGGATTTGTTGTATATGCCCACGACATTGCCGGGGGTATCGATTACGAAAGCGCGGGCGTTGTTGCAACAGACGGATAAAATTATTCGCACTTTTCCCGAAGTTGAACACGTATTTGGCAAAATTGGTCGGGCGGAAACTGCGACAGACCCGGCGCCGCTGTCGATGATTGAGACGACGATTATGCTCAAGCCCGAGTCCGAGTGGCGCGAAGGCATGACGCCTCAAAAATTAATTCGAGAATTGAACCAGGCAGTAAAATTTCCGGGATTGACCAATGCGTGGACAATGCCGATTAAGACGCGTATTGATATGCTTTCAACAGGTATTAAGACGCCTGTGGGCATTAAGGTCGTGGGGGATGATCTGGAGACATTGCAGGTGCTGGGCGAGAAAATTGAAACGGTGGTGCGCGATCTGCCGGGCACGCTGAGTGTGTTTGCCGAGCGCACTGCGGGTGGCAATTATCTGGATTTTGAGATCGATAGACAGGCTATTGCGCGTTATGGGCTGACGGTTGGGGATGTGCAGGATGTTATTATGTCTGCATTGGGCGGGATGAATATCACGCATACTGTGGAGGGTTTGGAGCGCTATCCAGTGAATTTGCGTTATGGACGAGAGTTGCGCGATAATTTGCCAGCACTTCGGCGCGTGCTGGTGCCCACGCCGATGGGGGCGCAAATTCCCATTGGACAATTGGCAGATCTTCACATTCGGAAGGGGCCGCCGGGTATTAAGAGTGAAAATGCGCGGTTAAATGCATGGGTTTATGTCGATATTGAAGGTGTGGATGTGGGTACTTATGTCGCGCGGGCGCAACAGGCGGTACTGGAGCAGGTGCCTATGCCGCCTGGTTATACCGCGATCTGGAGCGGTCAGTATGAATATATGTTGCGGGCAGAGAAAAAGCTGAAGGTTGTGGTGCCCGTGACGCTGGCGATCATTTTTCTGCTGTTGTATCTGAATTTTAGAAATGTGGCTGAGAGCGCGATTGTGATGCTTTCTCTGCCCTTTGCACTGGTTGGTGGGATATGGTTGATGTATATTTTGGATTACGATATGAGTATTGCCGTGGGTGTGGGGTTCATCGCGCTGGCGGGTTTGGCTGCTGAGACGGGGGTGGTGATGCTGATTTATCTGGATCAGGCTTATGAGAGTATTAAACGCGAAAAAGGCGATAAATTGACACTAACAGATTTAAATCAGGCGGTGATGTCCGGTGCTGTGGAGCGGGTGCGGCCCAAGTTGATGACGGTGTTTTCAACGATGGTTGGCCTGTTGCCGATTATGTGGTCAACGGGCACGGGGTCCGAGGCGATGAAGCGCATTGCGGCACCTATGGTGGGCGGGATGGTGTCATCGACGATTTTGACACTGTTGGTGATTCCGGCGATTTATGCGTTGTGGAAAGAGAGAAAAGCAACCACAGATGAACGCAGATGAAAGACGAGAAGATACAAGAAGGTAGGGGTGGTGCCCCTGTGCCCGCCCAATGAGAGGTAAAAACCCTTATCAGGAGGTGTGTTATGAAGTCTCGTATTTTCGCATTATTGGTTATTGGCGCGACAGCTATAGGCATGGCGGGATGGGTTGGTTGTGCGTCAAAGTCGGAAGCGACGACTGTCGAGGTGAAGTTGGCAACGATGCAGTGCTCTATGTGCTCGAATACCATAGAGAAAGCACTGAAAAAGGTCGATGGCGTTCAGGGTGTGGCAGTTGATCTGGAGACGAAAACAGCGAAGGTGACTTTTGATGACAAGGTGACCAATGTACCCGCTTTGGAGCAGGCCGTTGTCAAGGCGGGTTATGCGGCTAATGATAAAAAGGCCGATTCCGATGCGTATGCCAATTTGCCCAGTTGCTGCAAAATTCAGTGAGTATTAATCTGTAGATTTTTGGATCAAAGCCCCGGATATTTTAATAATTTCGGGGCTTATTTTTTTTACTGGAGATGTGACACGCAGAGGTCGGGAGGTTTTTGAATCAGTTGTGTCTTGAATTATTCGCAAGTGATGAGTATATTCGCTTGAATTATTCTTCGGTATTGCTCCCGTATATGGATATGCAGGCAAAAGGAGGGATTTATGGCCCTTGCGATGACAGAGCAACAAGAGAAAGACTTTGATGAAAAGGGATTTATTGTCCTCGATGATTTTTTTGATCAGGACGAGGTCAATCGGCTCCTGCTGGCTATTGACGAGGTGGCAGAGCGGGTTCGAGATGCAGAAGGGTTGGGGCCTGATGATCCTTTTGCCGTGCGCAATGCCCTGTCGCAGCACGAGGCTTTTCTCGATTTGATCGATCATCCGCGCATGTTGCCTCTGGTGGTGGATGCGATTGGATGGAATATTCAGATCCGAACCACGCATCTGGACTATCGGCCGCCATATCCCGAGGGTTTGAAAGCGGGTGATGTTGGCGTTGGAAAGGGTGAAGATCAGAAGGTTGGGTACCGCAATGTCGCATGGCATCCCGATTTGGCGAGCGATATGCTGTTTCTGGGTCCTTCGCTCGATGGACGGCTCCCGTTTATGGAGATCAAAGTTTTTTGCGTGCTTTCCGATATGACCGAATCCAATTGTGGCAATTTATGGTTGGTGCCGGGTAGTCACAAGCGCAAGCCAGAAGAATTGCGGGAAATGGGGCGCGAGGTCAATCCAGAAGAAGCGGTTGAGCTCAAGTTGCGTGCTGGTTCTGCCGTGTTGTGGCGAACCGCTGTTTGGCACTGCGTGGGTCCCAACTTGTCGAGAAAAACGCGAAAAATTATGCATGTGGGGTATAATTACCGGTGGCTTCGTCCGACTGATTATATCGAGCAGGATGCGGAGCTTGTTGAACGGAGTTCGCCAATTCGGCGTCAGTTGTTGGGCGCGCTGGCATCGGGAGAAGACCCGCTGGGGCCAGAGCCAGATTTCCATCCCTCGTCACAATACTGGCTCACAAAAAATTGGGATGATATTCCACTGCGAGCCTGGGCACAGGCGCGAGAAGCAAGGCAGACGCAACCACAGATAAACAGCTATCGCAGTTGCACACCAGTAGTAAGATGAGAGGCAAGAGGTGCATGTAGAGATGTACTCCTGTGTGCGCCCAAAGGTATAGGATTAGAATGGAAAAACATCAAGCTGAAGTCTTATTGAAATGCGCTGTAGGTGATCCCTACGCCCAGTTTCGAACGGGTCAATGGGAAGCTATTGACGCGCTGGTCAACCACCGCCACAAGCTGATGGTGGTACAGCGCACTGGCTGGGGCAAAAGTTCGGTTTACTTCATTAGCACGCGCATATTGCGTGATCGGGGGAGCGGAGTAACAGTTATTGTGTTCCCCTCTTCTTGCGTTGATGCGCAATCAGATAGAAGCGGCCAATCGACTTGGTATCCGTGCAGAGACGATCAATTCCACAAACCAGGATAACTGGCCTGAGATCAGTCAAGCCATGTTAGCCGATCATGTTGATGCCATTCTGATTTCGCCTGAACGTCTCGCAAATGAGACATTCGTTGAGGAAGTTTTGACACCGGTAGCTGATCGCATTGGCCTATTCGTAGTAGATGAAGTACATTGCATTTCTGACTGGGGTCACGACTTCCGCCCCGATTATCAACGGTTGATCAATGTGTTACGACAAATGCCACCTAATATGCCGGTACTGGGCACAACCGCCACTGCTAATGACAGGGTGATTGGAGACGTACAGACACAACTCAGCGATATCGAGATTCAGCGCGGTTCGCTGGTTCGGGATAGTCTGGCACTGCAAACACTACGATTACCCGATCAGGCATCCCGGCTGGCTTGGCTGGCACAGCATATTCCAGTACTGCCGGGTACTGGGATCGTCTATGTGCTGACGATTCGGGACGCTGAACAGGTGACAGGCTGGCTGAGGCAACAGGGGATAGAGGCCTGCGCCTACTATAGCAGTGTCGAGCATGAAGGCTTCGAGAATAGCAACGAGTACCGGCAACATCTTGAAGACCTGCTGTTGAGAAATGAGATAAAGGTGCTGGTGGCGACCACTGCGTTAGGTATGGGTTACGACAAGCCTGACCTTAACTTTGTCATTCATTACCAAGCTCCCAATTCCGTAGTGGCCTATTACCAACAGGTTGGTCGAGCCGGAAGAGCAATCGACAATGCTTATGGTGTGTTGCTGGCGGGCCGGGAGGACGAAGATATCCACGAGTACTTCCGCAGTAGCGCGTTCCCTGACGAGCAAGACGTGAACAGAATCCTGGATGTGCTGATCGACCACGATGAATTATCTATATTTCAACTTCAGCCGTATCTCAATTTGAGGCAGGGACAAATTGACAAAGTCTTGAAAATTCTCAGTGTTGAAAACCCATCTCCTATAATCAAGCAGGGTAGCAAATGGCGTCGGACACCTGTTCTATACCATATGGACCACGCGCGAATTGAACGTCTGACACAACAAAGAGAAATCGAGTGGCAAGAGGTTCAAGATTATATCGACACGGATGTTTGCCTGATGGCCTACTTGAGAAATGCCCTTGATGATCCAGAAACCGATAAGTGTGGTCGATGTGCTGTTTGTCTGTGTGAACCAGTTGTGGATATAGATATAGAACGCTCTCTTGTCATTGATGCAACCCGGTTTTTGAGGCAGGCGGAGATGCCCTTCAAACCAAAGAAACAGGTAGCTACTGGTGCATTTCCTATATATGACTTTCGAGGCAATCTACGGCCTGAACTTCAGGCATCGGAAGGACGGATATTATCGCGCTGGGGTGATGCTGGTTGGGGGCAACTGGTGGCCGCTGACAAGCATGCAGGCCACTTTCAGGATGCGTTGGTGGAAGCTATGGCAGAGATGATCAAGCAACGATGGCAACTAGATCCCACTCCGGAATGGGTGACCTTTGTTCCTTCATTCAGCCATCCTACGCTGGTGCCGGACTTTGCGCAGCGACTCGCAACCCAATTGCAGCTGCCTTTTGTGGACGTCATTCAAAAAATAAAAAATAACGAACCGCAGAAGAATCAGCAGAACCGTTTCCATCAATGCCAAAATTTGGATGGCGTGTTCGAAATTTCGGGAAATACTATACCTGGAACACCTGTATTACTGGTGGACGATATAATAGATTCCGGATGGACGATGACCGTACTTGCCGCCTTATTGCGGCAGGCGGGAAGTGGGCCGGTCTTTCCGGTGGCGTTGGCCTCGATGAGTGCGGGGGATTAAATGTCGATATCAGACAATACACAGGCGATCCTGTTGCTGACGGCGCATTTTTCCAAAGTAAAAAATGAGGCGGTTAAGCCGTTGACGATAACAGAATGGGGGCGTTTTACATGGTGGCTTAGAGAGCACTCTCTAACCCCAGGACACCTGATGGCTGGATGTCTTGATAAGCTCTTAAATGGTTGGTCAGACGAGGAGATTACCCTGGATCGTGTCAAGGGCCTGATGCATCGCGGTTCCGCCCTTGCGCTGGCCCTGGAGAAATGGCTCCGTGCGGGTCTATGGGTTATGACAAGATCGGATCCAGATTACCCGACGCGATTCAAGCAACGTCTGGGAATCGGCTCACCTGCTGTCGTGTTTGGCTGCGGCAACAGAGCCTTACTCAATGGTGGCGGCTTGGCAGTCATAGGTTCTCGCAATGCAACGGAAGGGGATTTGGCATATAGTCGTGATCTGGGTGCCTTGGCTGCGGGTACTGGTTATTCGGTCGTTTCGGGAGGTGCAAGAGGTGTTGATGAGGCATCCATGCTCGGAGCCCTCAAAGTAGAAGGCACTGTGATTGGTGTGCTTGCTGATAGCCTTATGAGAGCCTGCTCAAGTGTCAAGTATCGCAAACACTTGATGGCAAATAATCTCGTACTCATTTCGACTTTTTATCCCGAAGCAGGGTTCAGTGTGGGCCATGCCATGCAGCGCAACAAATACATTTATTGCCTTTCTGATGCAGCCTTGGTGGTTCACTCCGGTGAAAAGGGCGGTACTTGGAGCGGGGCGATGGAAAATCTCAAGAAGCAATGGGTATCGCTTTGGGTGAAAAAGACTAACGAGAAAAGAGCCGGAAATGCAGCCATTGTCAAGGCTGGTGCAGCATGGGTACCGGAGAATATCGGGGATGTTGATCTTAATGCACTGTTTTCGACAGATCGTGGAGAAAAATCCCCGCAACAAATGACGCCGACGAAATCGGAACAGTCCGTTCAAGTTGTTAAGGAGGATGCTGAGATATACTCTTCAGTCGAGAATATTGAGTTCTATGACCTGTTTCTCTCAAAGAGCCCAAATCCTGTGTCAAGATGTCCCAAAGACTCCTGATGAATTGGCTGAAGCATTGCAACTTCACAAGACCCAACTCAATATCTGGCTCAAGCAGGCTATTGCTGATCAGAAATTGAAGAAACTGTTCAAGCCGGTTCGTTATGAGTGGTTCACCGAGCAGCAAGGCGCGTTATCTGTATAAAAAAAATGAGATATATCGCAGCAGAATATTTTCCATTGTGCAGCTTTGATATGAAATAGAAAACCCCAAGAGCGTGCTTCTGGGGTTTATGGTGTGTCAGGTCGATTTTTGAATATTAGGTCAGGGAGGATCAAATTTGTAGCCGACACCGCGCACTGTGGTAATGGCTTTGCCCGATTCGCCGAGTTTGGAGCGCAAGCGGCGAATGTGGACATCAACGGTGCGCATGCCGCCGTAATAATCATAGCCCCAGATGCTGTCGAGCAGGTCTGATCGGGTAAATACGCGGGCCTCGTGGGTGACCAGATGCTTGAGTAGTTCGTACTCTTTAAGTGTGAGTTCGACAACGCTACCCTTGACGCGCACTTCGTAGCGCGCCATATTGATGACCAGGTCATCTATTTTGAGGGTGTGGTCGTCGGGGGGATGGTCGTCGTTCCAAAGGGCCAGGCGCAAGCGAGCTTCGAACTCGCGCAGGCTATAGGGCTTGATGACAAAATCTGAAATACCGAGTGAAAAATCGAGGTTGAGTGCGGTCATTTCATCGGTGATGACGAGCAGGGAACAGTCGTTGGCGGAGCGTTGTTGTTGAAGGTACGCGATGGCCTGCGCGAGGCGATCGAGGGAGGATTCGGGATCAATAATGGTCAAATCAATGCCGTCAGCGGGAATGGGAGGCAAATTGCTCCGCCCGCGCAAGAGCATGTGTTCGACACGATGCCCGATGTATTCGAGGTCTGATTTGAGACGCGCGCCGTAGGCTTCGTCTGCGAGAAGAAGAATATTTGCCATGGGAGACGAAATTGGAAATAAAGGAGGAACTGATATTACGCATTTTAATGCGCCCGTGTGTAACATCAGTACTAAAAATAGAAGCCGAAAATTAGTGGCCTCATGGCATTTTGTCAAGCCGTATCTAAGAATACAGGCGCGAGCGCTTGATAGAAATTAACAAAGCATCTCATCACTTTTTATCGAAAACCGTCTCAGGAGCATATGATGTCTTCCCCTCATGCAATCGTCCAACCCGCCTTCAGACCGTCCATCATGGGTAGAAATGGCGTGGTCACATCGGGACACCACCTCGCTTCTCAAGCAGGTATTCAGATCATGATGGCCGGAGGCAATGCCATTGATGCCGCCATTGCCACAGCCGCTGCGCTTGGCGTGGTTGAACCGCAATCTTCAGGCGCAGGTGGCGATGGATTTATCTTGATTTACTCAGCCAAAGACAGGTACAGTATCTGCTATCAACGCCACTGGCGCAGCGCCAACGGGCGCGACCCGAGAATTTTATCTCAAACGCGGTGGCATCCCAATAAAAGGTATTTTGAGTGTTTCCATCCCCGGCCTGGTAGATGGCTGGCTCGTTGCTCACGAGCGCTTTGGCACGCGCCCGCTTGGCGATATTTTTGCGCCGGCAATCGCCCTTTGTGAAGACGGTTTTCCGCTCAGTCATAAATTAGCGGATAGTTTGAGGGGGGAAACAAAACGCTTTGCATCCGATCCACATACGCGGGTAGTCTTCACAAATGATGGTCAGCCCCTCAGTCCCGGAGATATTGTCTATCAGAAAGACCTGGGCAAAACCTTGCGGACAATCGCCGCAGAAGGACGCGACGCCTATTGTACAGGTGAAATAGCTCAGGCACTTGTTGCATTCAGCCAATCGCGAGGCGGATTGCTCACCGAAGCCGATTTGAAGAACCATCGCGCTCGCATTATCGATCCCATTGCCGTGACCTACAAAGGTTATACCGTATATGAAACGCCGCCCAATTCGAGTGGGCATATTTTACTCCAAGAACTCAATATCGTCGAAAATTTTGATCTTCGGGCACTGGGCTGCAATACTGCTGAGAGTGTCCACCTTATGGTTGAAGCCAAAAAACTCGCTTTTGCAGACCGCGAAAAATACGTAGCCGATCCAGATTGGATCGATGTGCCAATTGAAGGACTTCTCTCGAAAGATTATGCAAAAGAACGCGCCTTGTGCATTGACCTCGAACGCGCTGCTACCCACGTTCCTCCCGGTATCCCAGAATCGGTTGAAGATACCACCTGTTTCTGCGTGGCTGACAGGGAGGGCAACGCGGTTTGTCAACTGCAGAGTATTCAATCCGGCTGGGGGTCGAGTCTTATTGCGGGTGATACGGGTATCCTCCTCAACAACCGCATGACTTACTGGCATCTCGAAAAAGATCATCCCAATTGCCTGATGCCCGGCAAACGGGTTCGCCACACGATGAACCCCGTTATTGTCACCAAAGACGACAAACCCGTTCTGATATGCGGCACGCCGGGCGCAGATACACAGGTGCAGACCAATTTGCAACTGGTGACACATATTCTGGAATTTGGCCTGACACCTCAAGAGGCTGTTGAAGCCCTCGCTGGCGTTCTCTGCAAAACCCTATGGAATCCACTGTTCCCCATACCTGCGAAGACGCGCTTCAACTCGAAAGCCGTTTTCCCGATGCACATCCGCCAAACCCTCAGACAGAAAGGCCACGACCTTCGCATCCTTTCAGATTGGGGTGGGCCTGGAAATGTGCTCAGGCCATTCAGATCAATCCGAAACCGGTATTCTGATGGGTGGTTCAGACCCCAGACGAGATGGATACGCCATTGCTTTTTAAGAAGGAACAACCATGCAAATCAAAGATATTCGCGCAGTTGCCGTTAATATTACTCCTGTTCAAAAAACAGAACCTCGCGTCCCGAAGTTGCCCACAGATGGCTTTATCAGTCCTATGGCGCGACATCCCGAACTCAAAAAATCGGAGTGGAATCCAAATTGGACTCGCACAGCCTGTGTCGTGACCGCTCAAGACGGCACATGGGGGGTGGGTTTTACCAACCACAGTGGCCCGGTGCTCAGCATTATCAACGATCACTTTGCTCCTTTGCTCGAGGGACAAAATTGCATGGCGACCGAAAAGCTGTGGGACATGATGCGTCGCGCTTCCTCGCCTTATCATACGGCGGGTTTGTCCAGCTATGGCATCAGTGCTGTGGATAATGCCCTGTGGGACTTAAAAGGAAAAATTTTGCAGCGCCCTGTTTACGAGCTTTTGGGCGGTCCGCAAAAAGACAAAATTTTTTGTTATGCCAGCAATACGGATATATCTTATGGTACGGAAAACAGTATTGAATGGTTTCTCGAATTGGGCTTCAGAGCGGTCAAGCTCTTTGCGCGATACGGGCCGGAGTCCGGTATTGAGGGGATAAATCGGACTGAAGAACTGGTTGCCAAAACGCGCGAGCAGATCGGCGATGATGTCGAACTCATGCTCGATGCGTGGATGTCGCTCAATGTCGAGTACACGGTTCGCCTTGTCGAAGCCCTAAAACCGTATCGCCTCAAGTGGCTTGAAGACTACGTGCTGCCCGAAGATATGGAAAGCTATGCGAAAGTTCGCCAACGCGTCCCCGGGCAAATCCTCGCAACGGGAGAACACTGGTACACCATTCACCCCTTTGCCACAGCCGCGAGTCAGGGGCTTGTCGATATTTTGCAACCCGATATTCAGTGGGCCGGTGGTATCACGGCCTTGATGCGGATATGCCATATTGCCGAGGCGCATGGGCTAACGGTCATCAGCCACGCGGGCATGAATTACCCCTACGGTCAGCACCTTTCTTATGCTATGCCAGCGATACAGTGGGGCGAGCGTTCCGAAGGGGTATCGCCCCCGGGCGTTCCACTCGAAGAACGCGTTGCACTGCCGGGAACGCCCGTGATCAAAGACGGTTATCTCAATCCGAGCGATGCGCCCGGCTTTGGTATTGAAGTCACGAAAGACTGGCTGGAACAAAAGGCCGTATAACTATTGGAGACGACATGGCGCAAGCGTGGAAACACTTGCTCAACTTTCGCTGCACTCGCTGTGGAAATTGCTGTCGAGATCCCATTGTACTGGTTACTGACGAAGATGTGCGCCGCATTATTGATGGCACAAATCAGGCCGCTTATGATATTGTCGATTTTTATAAGCCCAGCGAAATTGAATGGGGCGAAGACCAGCCTGGTTGGATACGTTTGAAGTCTGGCCAGCGCATTATGGGATTGCGTCGAACCGAAAGCGGATGTCAATATCTGGGCGAAGACGATTTGTGTACCATCTACAACTATCGCCCTGTGACCTGTCGAAGGTATCCATTTGATCTCGAGTTTGACGAAAATGACAATATCGAGTTGCTCAGCATTAACCAATCTACCGATTGCCCGTATGAACTCGATGGGTATAATCCTTTGGGCGAAATCAAGGCCATTGCAAAATGGGAAGCGTGGGAAGAAGAACCCTATTATGCCAAAGTTGAAGCGTGGAACGCGCGTAAAAAGGCAGGTGGCCAAAAGACATTTCTCAAATTATTGGGTTGTAGTAAATCCGCAAACCGCTCGACTGGGCACAAACGCCCGAACATCCGCTTCGCAAGTACTTTCGAGAAGAGGATATCGCTGCAAATCTCGACGCAATCGTTGCGGGACAACAGGCAGATGGAGGCTGGAATATCACCTGGCAAGCTGTGAGCCCGGGTTGCGAACTCGAATGGCGCGGTTGGGTGACGTTGAGGACACTGCTCACGCTGCGGGCGAATGGGCGGTTAAGATTGTAATATAGAGGCATTATAATGTTGATTGCCAAGATAGAAGGACACTACCATTTTCTCAAGGGTATTGACCCTTATTCGTGTGGTGTTATTGCCGACCCCGGCTGGGAGATCGTCCATGTCACTCTGGAACAGGTCCTGCCCTGGCGCGAGGGCTTTGACCGGGTCGAGGCGCATTTGCAGGGGGTCGATAGGGATCGGCAGGCATTGTGTGGCATGGAGTTGCGATCGCCAGCACCTTTTGCCATGGCGGGGTTTATCGCCTTCAACCGGGATTATTGTCGGGTGCTCAGAGATTGGGATCTGTACGTGGGGGAATTGAATCCAGTGGCTCGCACCAATGTGGCACCGCTGTTCGATCCGCCCGGGGAACCGGTGCTGCACGCATTTTCCTATACGGTGCCGGCAGCGGCCAATACTCCCTGGACTTTGGTGGTCGCCGGTGCCGGGGAATTGCGCGAGGGAGTATTGGTAGAGCAGGGCATTATCCGCAGTGGAGATACCAGTGAAGGAGCCATGCGCGAAAAAGGTAGCTATGTGGTGGATGTAATGGTCGAGCGTCTGTTCGGCCTGGGGGGATCGTGGGAGATGATCAATGCTGTGAATGTGTACACTGTACATCCTCTGGACGGACTGTTGGAGGATATTTTGCTCAATCGCCTGGGATCTGCCCGGCGGCACGGTCTTCGCTGGCACTATACCCGGCCGCCAGTGGTCGATATTGAATTTGAGATGGATATGCGCGGGGTGCGTCGAGACTTAGCGATATAGGCGAATTGGGGACTGCATGGGTTGATAGCCGCCGCGAAATGATATTTTTTCTTGACATATTCCACTGAGGTTGCGTAAGTTACTTACTCTAAAACATATTATCACTTCTATTCCCAAGTTTTCTATTATGCGCTCAATTTCCACATTGGCGATTTCCACAATGCGAAGCGGTGTACAACTGCACACCCGATCTTCGCGCCTTTCTATTGCAGGGCGAGTACCTCTGCTCATTCTGCACCTTCTCCTGCTCGTGAGCCTTTCTCTATCTATTCTCGCTCATTAGTCTCTGGCTCTTTCCCCAACTCTTGCGACAACGCCTATAAACGGATAGAGCCTGTGACTTTACTCATAGGTCGTTGTCACCTCATGTATTCAGGAAATGTTTAATGGCCCAAAAACACACGATAAGTGCCCTGGTCGAAAATCATTTTGGCGTTCTGTGTCGCGTTGCTGGTCTTTTCTCCAGTCGCGGATTCAATATCGATAGTCTGTCTGTTGGTGAGACAGAAGACCCGAGTATTTCTCGCATGACCATTGTCGTCGGTGGCGATGATAGCGTGCTCGAGCAAGTGGTCAAGCAATTGGATCGCGTTATTGATGTTATTCGCGTGATCGATATTACACAGGGCGCATTTGTCGAACGCGAACTCATGTTGATCAAAGTCAAAGCCGATACAACAACACGCGCAGAAATCATCCAAATTGCCGAAGTGTTTCGCGCACATATCGTCGATGTGTGTCCCAGGTCGATGACCATAGAGGTTACGGGCAAAAATGATAAAATTCAGGCTATCATTGGCATGCTCAGTTCTTTTGGTATCGAAGAAATCGCGCGCACAGGCACGGTTGCTCTGTTGCGAGATTCCGCGGTACAATAATATGAATTTGAAACTCTACACATTCCTAAGGAGGTGATGCAGATGGATCCCGATCTCGGTGATCTTACCGAAGAACTCGCTCTCGTTTGGCAGATGGAGAAAGATAGCCAGAGTGTTCCATCTGCCCATTTCACTTCGATTCTGGCATGTTTAAGGAAAAAAAATGTCAAACGCAAAAAACAAAGACCGCGTCATTATTTTTGACACCACTTTGAGAGACGCGGAACAGACGCCGGGGGCTACGCTCGCGTTGCGCGAAAAAGTTGAAATTGCCTATCAACTCGCGCGGCTCAATGTCGATGTTATCGAGGCCGGATTTCCCATATCGTCCGATCAGGATTTTAATGCCGTGCGGCGCTTGCACACGAGGTCGAAGGCCCTGTTATTTGCGGTCTGTCTCGCGCAATTTTCAAAGATATTGACCGCGCAGGTGAAGCCCTAAAAGACGCGCCAAAACCGCGCATACACACGTTTATTGGGACATCTCCGCTCCATATTTCTATGGTTGGCAAAACGCCCGATCAAGTCTTGCAAATGGCCGTTGATGCGGTTGCACGAGCCAAGTCTCATTGCGACGACGTAGAATTCTCGCCGATGGATGCTGCCCGCACAGAGCCGCAATATCTCCTTGATGTGATCGAAGCTACCATTGAAGCGGGTGCGACAACCATCAATATTCCCGATACCGTGGGCTACGCAGTTCCCGATCAGTTTGGGCGCATTATTCGCAATATTTGCGAGAAAGTGCCCAATGTCGATCAAGCCATTATCAGTGTCCACTGCCACGACGATTTGGGCATGGCGACCATCAATGCCCTCGAAGCACTCAGAAATGGCGCGCGTCAGGTCGAATGCACCGTCAATGGATTGGGTGAACGCGCGGGCAATACCTCGCTTGAGGAAGTGGTCATGGCTGTCAAAACGCGCGGGGATTATTTCGACCTCTATACGGACATCGAAACCCGCGAAATCGTAAACACAAGCCGTCTGGTCAGCCGCCTTATGGGCATTGTCGTTCCGCCCAACAAGCCCATTGTGGGAGCCAACGCATTTGCACATAGTTCGGGTATCCATCAGGATGGGGTGCTCAAAGACCGCGAAAATTTTGAAATTATCGATCCCAGGTCTGTGGGCTGGGAAGAATCGAGTATTGTGCTCACAGCGCGTTCTGGCCGTCACGCATTGCGCCATCGTCTGGAAGAACTCGGCTTTCAGCTCAGTCAGGATGAATTGAACATCGCTTATGAGCGATTTGTCAAAGTCGCAGATAAGAAGAAGGAAGTTTATGACGAAGATCTCATGGCTATCGTGGAAGATGAAATTCGGGACTTTCCCATGCGTTTCGCGCTGGACTATTTGCATACTGTGAGCGGTACTGGCACGATTCCTTCTGCAACGGTTCGCATTGGCATTGACGGCAAAGACCACGTTCAGGAGTCTGCCTGGGGCGATGGGCCGGTAGATGCAACGTATCGGGCGATTAAGAAAGCCACGGATAATACAAATACAAAAGTCGAAAATTATACTATCCGCGGCGTTACCGGGGGTGCCGAAGCGATGGGAGAAGTCACGGTCAATGTGTCGTGCAATGGTCGCATATCCAGGGGGCGCGGCGTTTCAACTGATATTATTGAAGCCAGTGCCAAAGCTTTTCTCGATGCTCTCAATCGCCTGGCCATTCAGCAGGATAGCCACAAAGAGCGAGAACCAACCGTTTAGTATCCGCAGATGGACGCAGATGAAATGTAGGGCAGTGCCGTGTGCCTGCCCGTCTGTGGTTCCATAGGATTTTAAGAAAAGAGGCCATAGATGGGTCAAAGTTTATTTCGCAAAGTTTGGGACGCGCATGCGGTGCGAACGTTGCCATCGGGACAAACGCAGTTGTTTATCGGCCTGCACCTGGTTCACGAGGTTACCAGCCCGCAGGCTTTTGATATGCTCAGAGAGCGCGGTCTCACTATTGCGTATCCAGAACGCACATTTGCCACGGTCGATCACATTGTGCCCACAAGCGATGTTGCCCGTCCATTCGCCGATGAGATGGCTGAGGACATGATGCTCGCTATCGAAGAAAATGCCCGACAGTTCGATCTTTCTTTTTTTGGTCTCGACGACGAGCGTCAGGGTATTGTCCACGTTATCGGTCCCGAATTGGGTCTGACACAGCCGGGCATGATCATTGCCTGCGGCGATAGCCACACCTCAACGCACGGGGCTTATGGCGCCATTGCATTTGGCATTGGCACCTCGCAGGTGCGCGATGTGCTTGCCACGCAGTGCCTGGCGATGGATCCCCTCAAAGTGCGCCGTATTGAAGTATCCGGCACGCTGGGCAACGGGGTTTACGCCAAAGATGTCATTCTCAATATCATCCGCAATCTCGGCGTAAAAGGCGGCACGGGCTATGCTTACGAATATGGTGGGTCCGCTATTGAAGCTATGGACATGGAAGCGCGCATGTCGGTGTGCAATATGTCCATTGAAGGCGGCGCGCGCGCGGGGTACGTGAATCCCGATCAGACGACTTATGACTATCTGCGGGGACGCATGTATGCACCTTCGGGCGAAGCATTTGATCGCGCGGTTTCCTGGTGGCATTCTATGGCTTCCGATGCCGATGCCGATTACGACGATGTGTATCACCTCGATGGCTCTGCCCTTGAGCCTACCGTGACATGGGGCATTACGCCGGGGCAGGCACTCTTTGTATCAGAAAAAGTGCCTGCTCTGACGGATCTGCCCGACGATGAGCGCGATGTTGCAGCCGAAGCGTATGATTATATGGACTTAAAACCGGGTACGGCTATATCTGGTATGCCTATTGACGTGGCTTTTGTAGGCTCGTGTACCAACAGCCGTATCTCCGACCTCAGAGAAGCTGCCAGAGTTGTCAAGGGTCACAAGGTGGCCGATGGTGTCAAAGCGCTGGTTGTGCCGGGGTCCAAATCCGTTCTCAAGACGGCCGAATCTGAGGGATTACACCACATTTTTGAAGATGCGGGCTTTGAATGGCGCGGTGCGGGATGTTCGATGTGTTTGGCTATGAATCCCGACAAATTACAGGGACGCGAAGTGTGCGCGTCGTCGAGCAATCGCAATTTCAAAGGGCGTCAGGGCAGCCCCACGGGGCGTACGCTTTTGATGAGTCCCGCAATGGTCGCAGCCGCGGCCATCGCCGGTGAGGTCATTGACGTACGCGCCATGTGAAGGAAGGGTTATTTATGAATTCATCTGTGATTCAGCATGTAGTAGGACGCGCGATTCCGGTTCGGGGAAATGACATCGATACCGATCGCATTATTCCCGCGCGATATCTTCGCGCCATTACATTTGACGGCCTGGGTGAGCACGCATTTGAAGACGACCGCAAATCAAATCCCGATCACCCATTTAATAATCCGCGCTATCAGGGCGCATCCTTACTCATCGCCAATGGCAATTTCGGGTGTGGGTCGTCCAGAGAACACGCGCCCCAGGCTCTGATGCGCTGGGGGGTTTGTGCCATTGTTGGCGAATCTTTTGCCGAAATTTTTCTCGGCAATTGCACGGCTATGGGCATGCCTTGTCTGACGGCCTCAACCGAGGATATTGTCAAAATACAGGACGCAGCCGCAGCCGATCCGCAACGGGAAATGACGGTTGATCTCAAAGAAAAAAAATTGATATTTGGCGATATAGAAGTCGGTCTTCAAATTGCAGAAAGCAATCGGCTCCAACTCATTGAGGGGGCGTGGGATGCAACGGGTATGCTCCTTGAAGGCCGAGATGTAGTGCGGGATATCGCCAACAAACTTCCCTATGTTACGGGCTTTTAACCTTTTTTATGCCCGCGTCTCGCGGGTTTTTTTGCGAGTTATTATGCATACGCATATACAAATCTACGATTCGACCCTTCGAGACGGCGCGCAGGCCGAGGGCATTTCATTTTCGGCTGAAGACAAAACCATGATTGCGCAGTATCTCGATGCGATGGGCATTCACTATGTTGAAGGCGGTTGGCCCAATCCGACGAATCCCAAGGATCTCGAATTTTTTGACCGCGTGCGCGATCTCGAATTTTCACAACACCAAAATTGTCGCGTTTGGCAGTACATGCAGGGTTGACAATCCGCCCGAAGACGATCCCACCCTCACTACTTTGCTCAAGGCAGGAACGGAAGCTATCACGCTCTTTGGGAAAAGCTGGACGCTTCACGTGACCGATGTGTTGCGGGCGACACTTGAAGAGAACCTGCAAATTATTGAGGATTCTTGCGCCTGGCTCAAGGAAAACGGGCGAGAAGTCATTTACGATGCCGAACACTTTTTCGATGGTTATAAAGCCGATCCCGAATACGCACTGGAAACTTTGTTGGCCGCGCAAGCAGGGGGAGCGGAGGTACTCGTCTTGTGCGATACTAATGGCGGTACGATGCCGTATCAGATACAGGAGATCATCAGTGCCATTCAGCCCAGGCTTGATGTGCCTTTGGGCATTCACACGCACAACGACGCGGGAATGGCCGTGGCGAATAGCATTGTCGCACTCGAAATGGGTGCTACGCACGTGCAGGGCACCATCAATGGCTATGGGGAACGCTGTGGCAATGCCAACCTGTGTTCGGTGATTCCAAATATTGAATTTAAGTTGGGAAAGACAGCTATTGGCGCAGAAAATCTCAAAAGACTTATGGAATTATCGCGCTTTGTCAGCGAAATAGCCAATGTCTATCACGACCACCGCCAACCTTATGTAGGCGAGAGTGCTTTTGCACACAAAGCGGGTGTTCACGTAGATGCGATGCTTAAACAACCCGCCACGTATGAGCATTGCGATGCAGAAGCTGTGGGCAACCAGCGCCGTTTTCTGCTTTCAGAACAATCGGGCGGCGGGGCTGTTGCAGCAAAATTACACCATCTAATTCCCGGGCTGGACAAACGCCATCCAACCGTCCAAAAATTGCTGCAAAAAATTAAGCAACTGGAACATGAAGGCTATGTTTTTGAAGCCGCTGAAGCGTCGTTTGAAATCCTCGCCCGGCAGATATTGGGCAGCATTCGCAGACCGTTCAAACTCATCAATTACAGGACGATTAATCGCAAAAGTGTTGCTGGCTCTGAAGTAGAAGCCATTGTGAAAATCGAAATTGATGGACAGATCTACCACACGGTTGGTGAAGGTGATGGTCCTGTCAATGCCCTCGACTCCGCATTGCGCCTGGCACTTGAAAGCGTGTATCCCACCCTCAAAGATGTGCGCCTTGAAGATTACAAAGTGCGCGTGTTATCCAGTGCCGATGGCACGGCGGCCAAAGTGAGGGTGCTGGTCGAGTCCTCCGACCGGCAGCGCGTGTGGAATACTGTGGGGGTATCTGAAAATATCATCGAAGCCAGTTGGATGGCACTGGTCGATAGTTTGACCTATAAATTGCTGCTCGACGACATCATCGTCGTTGGCTGATCCTTTTCAAAGAGTATCGTATGCAAATCAATTCTCGCCGCATTGAACGCCTGCCGCCCTATGTTTTTCACGAGGTCAATGCCCGAAAGATGTACCTGCGGCGCAAGGGCGTTGATATTATTGACCTGGGCATGGGCAATCCCGACCAGCCGACACCGCCACATATTATTGACAAACTCGCCGAAGTTGTCCGCGATCCCAAAACGCATGGATATTCGCCATCGGCGGGTCTTCCGGCTTTGAGGCGGGCGATTTGTCGCCATTACAAACGCCGTTTTGACGTTGATCTCGATCCGGAATCAGAAGCGATTGTCACCATCGGCTCGAAAGAGGGGCTGGCGCATATTTGTCTCGCGCTTCTCGATCCGGGCGATCTCGCCATTGTGCCAAATCCGGCGTATCCCCTGCATCTTTATGGTGTTGCGATTGCCAATGGCAATGTTTTCAGCTTGCCCTTGCGACCAGAAAAAGAATTTGTGCCCGATCTGCAAATGATCCCGCGGGAACTGTGGCCCAAACCCAAAGTGATGATTTTTAACTTTCCTCACAATCCCACGACAGCTACTGTCGATATTTCTTTTTTTGAGGAGATCGTGGATTTTGCCCGCCGTCAAAATATCATTGTTATCCACGACATGGCCTATTCGGATATCGCGTTTGACGATACCCGCGTGCCCAGTCTTTTACAGGTTAAAGGTGCGAAAGAAATCGGTGTCGAATTTTACACCATGTCCAAGTCCTACAATATGGCTGGTTGGCGCGTCGGATTTTGTCTTGGAAATCCGAAGGTCATCAAGGCACTTTCCATTATCAAAAATTACTACGACTACGGCGTTTTTACCCCCATCCAGGTCGCTGCAATTGCCGCGCTTGATGGCCCGCAAGACTGCGTACAGCAATCGTCCGCTATGTATCAGAGCCGCAGGGATACGCTGGTAGAAGGTCTCAATCGCATTGGGTGGCCCGTCAACAAGCCCAAAGCGTCGATGTTTGTTTGGGCGCCTATTCCAGAAAAATATCGGTATCTCGGTTCTATGAATTTTCCCTCAAGCTCATGGAAGAAGCCGAACTCGCGGTTTCTCCCGGTATTGGTTTTGGGGATATGGGCGAGGGATATGTACGCATTTCGTTAGTCGAAAATGAACACCGAATCCGACAGGCTGTCCGCAATGTCAAACGCGCGTTGTTTTGAACGCGGGTTATACGAAGGTGTGAGGTGGAAGGCAGAAGCAACCACAGAAGATGGAGAAAAAAATGGCTGCTCCTAAAGAAGTTGTTGAGTTGGTCGAACGCTTCAGGCAAAATTTTGAGGCTTACAAGTCTGGCTCGTACAATGAGACCCAGCTCCGGCGCGAGTTTCTCGATCCCTTTTTTGAAATTCTCGGCTGGGACGTGAGCAATAAAAAGGGCTATGCCGATGCCTACAAGGACGTCATCCATGAGGACTCTATCAAAGTCGGTGGTTATACAAAAGCTCCAGACTATGGTTTCTGTATCGGCGGTACGCGCAAGTTCTTCCTTGAAGCGAAGCAACCCTCAGTCAATATCAAGGGCGACATCCATCCCGCCTACCAGCTTCGCCGTTATGCTTGGTCCGCCAAGCTTCCTCTTAGTATCCTATCCGACTTTGAGGAGTTCGCTGTTTATGACTGCCGAATAAAGCCGGTGCAGACCGATGGTGCTGCTACCGCTCGCATTCTTTATTTTTCCTATACCGAATACGAAGATCGCTGGGATGAGATTGAATCTATATTCTCACGTGAGTCAGTCTTAAAAGGTTCGTTTGACAGGTACGCCGAATCGACTAAGGCCAAGAAAGGTACTGCAGAAGTCGATGATGCTTTTCTCAAAGAGATCGAATCATGGCGCAACGTACTCGCCCGCAATTTAGCCCTACGCAATCCTGAATTGACACAACGCCAACTCAACTTTGCCGTTGGGCGCACCATTGATCGCATCATCTTTCTTCGCATCTGCGAGGATCGCGGTGTCGAGGATTATGGACAACTAATGGCACTTCAGAACGGCACGCGGGTCTATGCCCGTCTCCGTCAACTGTTCCATCGCGCCGCCGACCGCTATAACTCGGGTTTGTTCCATTTCAAAGTGGAAAAAGATCGCTCCGAGCCTCCCGATGATTTCACGCTCAACCTGATCATAGATGACAAGCCGTTAAAAGACATATTCAAAAGCCTCTACTACCCCGACAGCCCCTACGAGTTTTCTGTTCTTTCCGCTGACATTCTCGGACAGGTTTATGAGCAGTTTTTGGGCAAGGTAATCCGTCTTACACCCGGACATCGCGCTGTTGTGGAGGATAAACCGGAGGTTAAGAAGGCTGGAGGCGTTTACTATACGCCGATTTACATTGTGAACTACATCGTCGAGAACACTGTGGGCGAGTTGCTAAAGGGAAAAAACACTCAAACAGGTTAAGAAGCTGAAAATTCTCGATCCCGCATGTGGCTCCGGCTCTTTTCTCATTGGTGCTTACCAGTACTTGCTCGACTGGCATTACGACTTTTATTTGGCCGACGACGGCCCGGAGAAATGGATGAAGGGTCGCTCTCCTGCCCTCTATCAAGGCTCTCGCGGCAACTATCATCTAACGACAGCAGAGCGGAAGCGCATTCTTTTGAACAACATTTATGGTGTGGACATTGATTCACAAGCGGTGGAGGTGACCAAACTATCGCTGCTTTTGAAGGTGCTGGAAGGTGAGAATGAGCAGACGCTGACAAGGCAGATCAGGCTGTTCCAAGAGCGTGTCCTGCCTGACCTGGGAAACAACATCAAGTGTGGTAATTCGCTGATCGGGTCCGATTTCTATGACGGTCAGCAGCTATCGCTACTTGCGAGCAGAAAGGAAGAAGATACGCTCCGGCTCAATGTGTTTGACTGGGAGACTGAATTTTCTGAGATAATGAAGGGTGCTTTCGACGCAGGGATTGAGGAATCCGCCGTGGATTTCTTAACAGGAAAATTGGGTTGTTGGAAATTTATCCCAGTCCGAATTGAGTATTTAATCACAAGGTTGCCGGTATGGTAATTAAAAGATAGCCAATATGTATGCGTACTTTGTAGCACAGGAGAATAATGCATCTAATTGTGGATGGCGGATATTTGGATAAATTTGATTCCTGACGATTAGGATTTAACTCTAATGATTAGAATTGCGAAGAGAGATATTTGAAAAAAAAACGCAGATATTCACTATTAAAGTTCCTTCCCCGGAATTTACTGCACGATAACATTGATGTTTATTCTGAAACGTACCACACAATCCAAATTTTAAAGCACCAGTGAGATAGGAGAATAGGACAAGAGTCTTTACAAATTCCGCAAACTAGAGTGCGAACAAAATCCAACCTACTCTTTCCATATATTATGACATTGTTGGTATAATGAATATGATAAGAAGCTTAGAATGTCATAGCTATAGATCTTCATGGGGAAATCTGTGAGAAGTACGTCCGGGTTCGGAGGAAATCAAAGCTTTTACCCCTAAAAGAAAAGTTCCGCACAGATGAAACTATAAGGGGAAAATAGTCTATTGGTAGAGTATGACATTGAGCAGTTTGAAAAAAAGAAAAAAAAAGAATTACCCTTCTGTGAGTAGATCGTCCCCACAGAGGAGGGTAAAGATGC